AGAGAGAGAGAGAGAAAGATCGAGAGAGAGATCGAGAGAGAGAGAGAGAGAGAAACAGAGAGAGAGAGAGAGAGAGAGAGATTGAGAGATCGATTGGTGATGGATGGATGGACAGAGAGATAGACAGATAGAGTGAGTGACGATCAGGGCAGAATTAGGCACCTTGAAGGGAGGTTGGGACAGCGTAGCAAGATGGAGGCCACCAGAGCGCCATTATTTTGGACAATTTCTCAGTGTTTCTTCGTTGTGCGCACGTCAATGAAGTGTTTCCAACTCTTCTGAAAGTGGAACGTTTCTCTCGAAATGTCCAGTTCTTTCATGGATGTTTTGCCTTTGAAAGTCAATCTTCTCAACTTGGAATTTGTGGAGTGCAGCCGTCATTACTTTTGAGTCTCGAGTTAGAAAAAACATTGATGTTTTGCATTCTTCGATAGTTTTTCACATGAAAGCTGCCAGGATGCTTTAAGTTTTAACAAAACATCACGTTTGTGTTTCTTTGGTCGCAGTTTTTTTTCTTGATCCGACATGGTTCTCGACGACCAGCACCCCAAAATGATGGTACGGTACCAGTCTCGGACTTAAGGAACCCACGTGAAGAAGACAAGAGGGTCACCGTGATGGACCTGCCTTTTTTCTGGCTTGCGAGAAAGGACTTGGCCATTGGTTGGCATGGCAACCATTTTTCACGGCAAACATTTGCATGGGAGACTCCATTTCGTGATGTGGCATCTCATTAGTGGCCATTTGGTTGCTATGATCTTCATGTGAATGAATTTTTCCATAGTGTATGTTTGGCTGCCCAAAAGGGCTTATATATATATATATGTTGGAGCTGTTTAAGCGGGCGGATGCGGAGAGTCTGAGGGAAGACCCTTTCGTTCCGTGTTTCCCATCTCCTGAGTTGAACGACCTTGAATTCCATCTGGTGGCTTTCGGCCACGTGCAGCGTCCCCAAGAAGGTAGGGTTGAATTCTTTAATGTTTGGGTTGGAGAAGACAAAAACAGTTTGGTTTGAATTGAATTTTCGCGGCATTTTTGTAAGCAAACACTGTGAGAACTTGGCAGTCCATGAATTGGGCGTATTGGGGATGCTCATTTGTTCGAGGTGTTGCTGCTACCTGCAGTTCTTTAAATCTGCTTCAGGGCATTTTCGCACTTTTGAGCAACTTTCATCCATACCGCAGCATTTGCTCAAAGGAGATGGTTGGTCAAAACTACCACTAGGCAACTTGAAAGCAGCAGGATTGTTTCGTTATTTTCTTCCAAGAATCAGTGTTTGCTGTTCGGCTTCTGGTCAGTCCTAAGATTCTTCCTCAAAGCTGCGTGAACCGGCCATGTGGGGTCACTCTGCTGCACTTTGGCGCTCACAGGGCCTGGGGGGTCTGGGGTTGTCATGAGAAATGCTTCTCTGGCTGAAACGAAGGTCGCAGTGGCGGAAGAAGAGGAGATCCTGACGATGATGCCCCTCGGACGTTGGAGGATGATGTTTCCCTGTTCTTTGCCTCAGGTGGGCCGGGCAGAAAAGGGGATACCCTTCGTTTCGCACTGAATTCATTCAAGTGCACGGAGAAAGAACCTCCGAGAGATCTATAAGATTTCCTGGTTGGTCGGTCTGGTGCCGTTTTTTTGGGTTGGTTTTTGTTTTGGTGTTGGTGTTTTGTTGGTTTTGTTCGGTGTTTCTTGGTTTTTAGCTTCAATGTTGCTGTTGGCCAGATTCTCCCCATTGTTTGTCAGTGGATTTGTGTTTCTCGGTGCGCATAAGCCCTTTAGAGATCTCAGAGGTTGGCCAACTTTCAACACAAAGGTCAGTGGTTGGATATCCTTCGGGTGGTCATCGTTGTGGAGCATGGGTCTGAAGCATTGGACTTCGTTGTGGATGACCAGGGGCCCGCATCCTTTGGACTCATGTTTGCCACCAATCAATACAAAACACTTCTGAAGACCAGCCGAAGTAAGGGATTGCATGACAATGTTGCACAAGCATCTACTATACAAAGCTTAACTTATACCACACAATGCCACGTCTCCTTAGCCCTTCTTCCTCCACCAAGGACCGCTGGTCCACTGGTGGCAATGACCGCGGGGTGGACGAGCTCTTTGGGTTTGGAGAACCGGAGCCCGGAGCTGGGCGCAATTTGGTCGGGGAACCCACGCGTCGGTGCCACGCGCACGTACGGAGCTCGCCACTGTGTGAGCCGGTGCTTTGGGTTGCGACCGTTTCGTGGAGAAAAGCATTTTGGAAGGGGGGGAAGCGCTGATCACGTTCCATTGCCTCTTTGTCTGGTGTTCATTTGGAAAAAGAGATCATGAATTCCAACGTTCATTTTGAAGATCACCAAGCACCTCCCAGCTCAACCCAAACACCTTCCTTCTCTCGCTCCCCGCTGACTGCGGCGTGCCCGGTGCTGCCAGGGATGGGGCGTGAGCGATTTGGCGCTTCCGGGCGTCGGCGTGGGAGGCTTCGGACGTGGTGGAGGCGTCAGCTTCGGAGGCGCGGGAGGAGGCGTCAGTGGTGTTGGGGGTCAAACCCGCCACTAGGTGAAGCCAGTCACAATCAAGGACGATCTTGAATAGGATGACTCTGTGCTTGATAGAAGGACGTGTCGGGATTGAATGAGCTTGAGAACGGGAACATGTCATGAGCTTGCTTTGCACTTGTCTAGATCCAAGCTTGGAGTCTCCTTTGAACTTTCCATGTAGCTCAACAACTTTTTTGCAAAATAGAGAATTCAAAGTAAGAGAAGAAGGTGCCTCTTGTGGAGAATTCGCGAATCAGCTGAACTCTCTGGAGTCTGGACATCTCAAAAAGACTGCTGTGAATCGCCCAAGGTGTCGGATTTGATGACGAGAGCGAGGAGAATGGAGCCAATCTGTGTTAGACATTGTAGCGAAAGTCTTTACGTAGATCTTTCTTACCGCAAACACACACACACACACTCATACTTATATGACATATAATTGCCTATATAATGTATATAATGTACATATATATATATAATATGTATGTATGTATGAATTTTCCACGCAGGTGCAGGATGCTGAGCATTTTCACTTGATCCCATCGATGTCAGCCCCAAATTGGGTCCGCTTCGGCCAGGACGAGACTTGGTGGGGTGGCTGGGAGGCGGAAGACGAAGGCGATCCCAACGGGTCGCAGCGATGTCGACCTGCCGTCAGCTCCGTGGAACCCACGTCTCGACCTGGTGTCACGGGCGACCCAGAGATTCTGAGGACTGGGGGGTGGGGCTTCCCTCCCCAGCCTAAAGCGGAAATCGTCTCATGTTCGGCGGTCAAGCACTGAGCTTGACCGTCTTGACCCGCAACTCCATCCATTCCGAGTGAAACACGTCCGGTCCTCTGGCCGAGCTGCGGTGAAGTGACGAGGGTGTCGGCCTGGATTCATCTCGACATGGCGTGTCCGATGCTGGACAAGTGGCCGACCCACCTCGAAGCTACTTGACGTTGGCATTTTGCCATCCGACGTTGGCGCCAGGTGAGCTTGGTGAATGGAAATGGGCCATGGTGGTCGTCAAAGAGGCGAGCAAACTTGGGCCCAAAGAGATCGACATTTGACCCCAGGATGAGCGGGGTAACCCTTTGATGGGAGCTTTACAGAAGAAACCAGCTGGATCAAATTTAAGAGCTTCAGCGGTGAGTCATACATTTGCAAACGGGTAGGATTCTGATCTAGAGAAAACTCTTTTTAGGAGCTCCTAAGCATTATTGTGGCTCTCATGGATTCTATGGGAATTTGGATGTACACAGAGCAGCTTCTCTCGATGCCCCCATGCTAGATGGGAAGGTCCGATTACACTGTAGAGCATTGTGGTCGTTCAGAACCGTAGTCACTACAGCAGTAGACGTTCGGAACCATGCTTCTGTGAACCAGTCGTCATCTTCGAAATGCTCCATGGAGGGGCCAGACAGTTTGTCTGGCTGGTTGCTGTGTGACGGCAGGGCGAGCACAAGAAGAAGACGGGCATCGTCACTGCATCTCGACGTGCGTTCGCGGGCACCGCGTCCGTTTCGGCCACGGGGAACGGGACGGTGTTTTCACCCCCGCTGCGATGTGGGCCGAGACTTTGAGGGGATCCAAGTGGGACGGCCATCGATCAGTCCCTGAGTCGGAGAAGCTGTCTTTGGACTCTCGAACGCACCTGGAAATAGTGTAAAGGTTCAAGGTGAGTGAGTTGAAAAGAGAGGGCTTCGATTCCTGGCTGCAGTAGACTTTCTGCATGTCCCCTGAGCTGCATTTGGTGTGAGGCCATTCACGGCCACTGTCCACGTCACAAGCATCCCTTGGAAAAGATCAAGGAAGATGATGTGCGGTGGCCCAATGTCTTTGGTACCGTATATTAACTGGCAGTTGCTTTGACAAAAAGTGGATAACGTCAGGAAACCCCAGCTTCTAATAAAGCAGACCCATTCGACTAGCAACCATCAGCAACCATCAGCAACCATTAGACTCATTACCAACCTCTGGCCTATTTTGCCTCTTGGACATTGATGTGACTCCTTGGCCCTTTCTTCTTCCGTGAGCGAGTGAGGATCCGTGGGCGGATGAACAGGTCAAGGGGGAGCCCAAGGAGGCTGGATGAAGCAGGTGTCCACATGAGAAACACATGTGTCCACATGTATATTTTCTTTATAAACTAATTTTTCCCGTGACAGGAGACTAGATCAACCCAGTGAGTGAAGACCAACCCCGTGTTCAGTGTCAGCTCTGCACCAGCAGCAACAAGAATGACGCCGGCGACCATGTTATAACACCGTAAACAACAAGAGCGAGAGCAATATAAACTCCAAGAATGCGAGCCAAGACTACCAAAAGCCACAAATAATGGCAGCAGCAACGACAACAACGACAACAACAACAACAGCAACAACAACAACAACAACAACAACAATGACAACGGCAACGACAACGACAACGAGAAGAGCAACTGGACAGCAACAACCAACACAATGACACTGTCGGCGAAACAGTAGCGCGCGATACCATTCAGCAGAATGGCCAGGGTAAGCCAGCAAGGTCGGTTGAGAATAGCTCGAAGTAAAGTAGTTTTTGCTTGGCCAAGTCCAGTGCTCTGCCAGTCTCCTTTTGAAGTGTTAAAAGCATTTTCCGAACAAGTCAGAAGTTTGTTGTCGACAAAGTCTGAGTCCTGGCACAATCCAGGTCCATGTCCTTGCACAGAGTCTCTCCATGTGGCTCTTACTGAATATCTCTTCTTTGTGTCTCAGGGTTTAGGAACACTGTTTGGCAGGATAAGAAGCAGAAGAAGAAGAAAGGCCACTTGTCAAGCAGAGCCATTTTGGTCCTCCTCCGTTTTGATGACTCTCTAGTTTGATTACGCCGCTGAAGATTGTTTTGGTTGTGCTGGCTTCCCGCTCTCGAAAGACATGTTCACCTGGACACTTTCTATCTGGGTTTTGCTGCCAGTCACCCAGGAAGGTTGGTTGGTGAAGAAGGTCAAAGCAAGTTTCATTTAGAGTTTCTTTGGCGGTGGGATTGTGGGCAATCGACCAGTGTTGTATGAAGTTCCTTAGTGCGTAAACGAGTTGACTATTAATTAGGTGTTGATGTGGGTAATCAAGCTGATCTTCATATCCAAGGTTTTATGCTGCTTTATGTTTGACAGACACATAAATGGAAACTGCCAGAGCTGGGTTTATGAAAGGTACTTTTCTCTAGGGTTGTTGGTCAGTTTTTATGTCCGTTGGGAGAGAGCCAGCTGGTATATCAGGGTGGGCCTTCATGTGTACGACATGGTCAATGCATAAAGGTCTGGAAGAAAGCCCTTAGTTGGTTCTTTTTCGCATCCCCATCGCGGCCGCCCCTCAGGTCCTCGACTGGAATGTGAGATGTGTAAGGCGACCGGTCCAATGGGGGCCGGAGCGACCGGCTGCACCGTTCCAGTCGCCGTTTCGCTGAATCTACAGATCGATGTGGGACGATTTGGGCCGCTTGTTGTAACCCTTCATCTCGACTGCACCTGTTTTGAGCACTTGCATCTAGACCAAAATGCGCCTGGCACGCCTGACTTTCGATGAACGCTTCAATCCTTTTGCTCCCGCGCAGCATCCCCGGAGCCTCCACATCAGAACATGCACAAGCACTTCCTGGGTCTTTCGTCCGTCACACACCTGGCCGCTGGCCGTTTTCACTCTGTTTAGGCGGCTAAGAAGAAGGACAAGGCGTCGGCCGAGGCGGCAGAGGATGGTAAACCCAAGCCGGTGGCCTTCGGATGTGAGGAGCGGCTCCAGTGGAAGACTGGAAGTTCCTGGAAGAGCAGGGGGATGTATATATGATACAGGTGGTAGTTGGGTTTGTGGAATCTTTTTGTGGACCTTTGGATTTTGGGATCACAAGAGTTAAGGTGGTGGAGAAGCATGAAAGCAAGGGCACCTGCAGGCTGTCATGAGATTGTAAGTATGAACTGCTTTCTTTGGAGACACTGATGCTGCCAGGGTCTTCTGCTTCGTGCTGCGTGCGGCATTGTAGAGATCGGTTGGTATGCCGAACCAGTCCACGACTAGATGTACAGGTGTGCTTGATTCATTTGATTTGCTTCTGGACAAGCGCAAGCGCAACCAGATGAACCACTCATTCAACAGGTCCGTCCGAAGACCGTGACCGCACACCCGGTTTGGGTTTGGTTTGACCGGCACGGCTCCGGATGAACTTGTGTGGCCTGAAAGGACTGCAACTGGTATGTCTGCGCAGATTGTCATGGAAAGAAGGGCGAGAAGCAGTGGCAGTGCATGCTGCAGGCGTGGTCCAAGGGGCTTGTTGAGTGGTCTTCCTCTTGAATAGTCAGTTTGCTGTTTTGACCAAGAGGAGTCTAGCTCTTGAAGACAATAAAGTGGAATGGAATGGGATTCTTCAACTTCTTGTTTACCCATGGCAACCTTCGACCAAATTGCACAGGTGGTGAGATAGTTCTGGAAAAATCAAGCCCATCCAGGTTACCATCATTCAGTTTGACCTGATTTCCGGGCGCGAAGCCCGTCTGCCCCGTCTGCACCGTCTTCGCCGTTCCATGCCACGGTGAGGTGGATCTCCGCGAAGGCTTCGAGGTCCACCGCGAGTGGTTCGCCGTGCCTTGCCGGGTTGCGATGGATGTGGTCTACAGAAGGGGGTTGGAAGAGGGCCGGGTTGGAGGTGGGCGAGGAACCATTGACTTAGGGTCTGGTAGGTTGCTGGGTGAGTGTAGCTCCTTTTCAGAGTCTAGGAAACTCTTCAGAGAAGAACAATGGTGGAAAAACAGAAGGGCAGACCATCTCCCTGCTGTCATCCAAAGCGAATGAAGTTCATGGAATGGTCTGAAGGATGATTCTTGTTTTCTGTGAACTCTGGTGCGGAATAGAGTGAGCAGTGAGCATATATTATATATACACATCTTATACAATACATATATATATATATACACTAGTATATGTATATGGGGAGATTCAGCTGCTTTCCGCAGAAAGCAGCCAATTCTTCCATGTCTCGAAGTAGCAACCCTGCAATCAACCGAGTTGAAGGGTTGTCTAAGTTGATCTGGCTCGGACTGGCTTGGTTGGCAAAACAGCGGGCTTGCATGTGCTTGACTGTTGAAGTGGTTGGTCACCCTTACCTACACCAACTGAAGCTTGCCACAAGTCCGACTAGCAGAAACCGAACAGAACAGGAGTAGATTTGCGCATCTTTCCGCCCCGCCCCGCGAAATTCGGAGGCTCTGACCAAACCAAATCCTTGACGAGGACAGCTTCGGCGGTTCTGTGTTAGTCGCGTGACTTCTGTTGTTTTTCTGCCCCGGTCTGTGTTCTCCTGTTTTTTTCCATTGCATTTTTTTGGACACGGTTTGGTTCATGTACAGCCTCTGCAACCAAGCGTCCCACCCCTTGGAGCACCCGTGGGATCACCCGTCTGACCACCCGAGGTGGATCACCTGCGGCTCTTCGCCGAAGCGGAAGATGACATGGATTTGGTGCCCTGGGCACCCAAAAGGCGTCGGGAATGTGAGGAGTTTGGGACGACCTTCGTGATCTTTTTGATTTCTCTGGACCAGAGGTATCCTTCAAGTTTTGCTGAAGCTCTTTTTTTCCCCAAACACATTACTGTTAGGGGTTCTCAATTCTTTCTTAAGATGTATCCGCCCTTTGTGTCACTGCTGGTGTCCGCCCTTTTCCGCTGGCCATGTAGCATTTCTATTCATTTGCAACATTTCTATTCACTTGTCTCCCAGGTCTGTCACTGGTGGTGTCCGCCCTTTTCCGCTGGCCATGCAGCGTTTCTATTCATTTGTCTCCCAGGTCTGTCACTGCTAGTCCGCCCTTTTCCGCTGACCATGTAGCATTTCTATTCATTTGTCTCCCAGGTCTGTCACCTTTTCCGCTGGCCATGTAGCATTTCTATGCATGTGTCTCCCAGGTCTGTCGCTGCTGGTGTCCGCCCTTTTCCGCTGGCCATGTAGCATTTCTATTCATTTGTCTCCCAGGTCTGCCCTGCTGGTGTCCGCCCTTTTCTGCTGGCGTTGCAACATTTCTATTCATTTGTCTCCGAGGTGTGTCACTGCTGGTGTCCGCCCTTTTCCGCTGGCCATGTACCGTTTCTATTCATTTGTCTCCCAGGTCTGTCGCTGCTGGTGTCCGCCCTTTTCGGCTGGCCATGTAGCATGTCTATTCATTTGTTTTCCAGGTCTGTCCGCCCTTTTCCGCTGGCCATGCAGCGTTTCTATTCATTTGTCTGTGAGGTGTGTCACTGCTGGTGTCTGCCCTTTTCCGCTGGCGATGCAACATTTCTTTTCATTCCCCACATAGTTTGCCGTTACGTACGGTTTCTCAATTCTTTCTTAAGATGTTTTTTTATTCGTTTGTCTTTAAAGTGATTTCTTTACTTTTGTCTCTCAGGTTCGCTGCCTGCACTGCTGGTGTCCGCCCTTTTCCGCTGGCCATGCAGCATTTCTATTCATTTGTTTCCCATGTGTTTTTTTTACTTTTGTTTTCCAGGTTCGGTGCCTGCACTGCTGGCATCCGCCCTTTTCCCCTCTCCAGCATTTCTATTCATATTTGTCTCCCAGGTGATTTCTGCACTTCCCCAAACAGGTTACTGTTAGGGGTTCTAAATGCTTTCCAAAAGTGTCCGCCTTGCTGCTGGACAGCGTGTCCGCCTTCCGTCTGGCTTGTCTCCCTTGGTCTGCGTTCTTGTTGGTCACTGTGTCCCCCTTCTTGTTGGTCACTGTGTCCGCCTTGTCTCCCTTCATTCTTTGTTTGTCTCCGGTCTTGTCTCCCTTCTTGTGGGTCATTGTGTCCCTCTTGCCTCCCTTCTGTTTCCTTTTGTCTCCCTTCTTGTCTCCCTTCTTGTTGATCATTGTGTCCGTCTTGTCTCCCTTCTGTTATCTTTTGTCTCCTTTTTGTCTCCCTCTTGTTGGTCATTGTGTCCGCCTCGTCCCCTCTGTCTCCCTTTGTCTCCGGTCTTGTCTCCCTTCTGTTTCCTTTTGTCTCCCTCCTTGTTGTCCGTGTTGTCTTCTTTCTGTTTCTTTTTCCCCAAACAGTTTACTGTTAGGGGTTCTCAATGCTTTAAAGAATGGTCGCCTTGGTGCTGGATGGTCTGGTCGGGTTCCCGGCCGGCTTGTCTCCCACTTCCTTTCATTTGTCTCCCAGTTCTTTTCATTTGTCTCCCAGGCTGGGTGATTGTGGTCGGGTTCCCGGCTGGCTTGTCTCCCACTTCCTCTCATTTGTCTCCCACTTCTTTTCATTTGTCTCCCACTTCTTTTCAATTGTCTCCCAGTTCTTTTCATTTGTTTGTCTCTCAGGCTGGGTGCTTGTGGTCGGGTTCCGGGCTGGCTTGTCTCCCACTTCCTTTCATTTGTCTCCCACTTCTTTTCATTTGTCTCCCACTTCTTTTCATTGTCTCCCAGGCTGGGTGCTTGTGGTCGGGTTCCCGGCCGGCTTGTCTCCCACTTCCTTTCATTTGTCTCCCTTCTCATTTGTCTCCCAGCCTGGGTGCTTGTGGTCGGGTTCCCGGCTGGCTTGTCTCCCACTTCCTTTCATTGTCTCCCAGCCTCTGTGCTTGTGGTCGGGTTCCCGGCCGGCTTGTCTCCCATTTCTTTTCATTTGTCTCCCACTTAAGATGTGTCCGCCCTTTGTGTCACTGCTGGTGTCCGCCCATTTCCACTGGCCATGTAGCATTTCTATTCATTTGTCTCCCAAAAATCTGTCACTGCTGGTGTCCGCCCATTTCCACTGGCCATGTAGCATTTCTATTCATTTGTCTCCCAAAAATCTGTCACTGCTGCTGTCCGCCCTTTTCCGCTGGCCACGTAGCATTTCTATTCGTTTGTCTCCCAGGTCTGTTACTGCTGGTGTCCGCCCTTTTCCGCTGGCCATGTAGCATTTCTATTCATTTGTCTCCCAGGTCTGTCATTGGTGGTGTCCGCCCTCTTCCGTTGGCCTGGTGTCCGCCCTTTTCTGCAGGCAATGCAGCATTCTATTCATTTGTCTCCCAGGCCTGTCAATGGTGGTGTCCGCCCTTTTCCGCTGGCCATGCAGCATTTCTATTCATTTGTCCACTGGTGGTGTCCGCCCTTTTCTGCTGTTTCTATTGATTTGTCTCCCAGGTCTGTCACTGCTGGTGTCCGCCCTTTTCCGTTGGCCATGTAGCATTTCTATTCATTTGTCTCCCAGGTCTGTCACTGCCAGTGTCCTCTCTTTTCCGCTGGCCATGCAGCATTTCGATTCATTTCCCAGGTCTGTCACTGCTGGTGTCCGCCCTTGTCCGTTGGTCATGCAGCATTTCTATTCATGTGTCTCCCAGGCCTGTCACTGGTGATGTCCGCCCTTTTCCGCTGGCCATGTAGCATTTCTATTCTTTTGTCTCCCAGGTCTGTCACTGGTGTGTCCTTGTCTATTGGCCATGAAGCATTTCTATTCATTTGTCTCCCAGGTCCGTCACTGCCATGTAGCATTTCTATTCATTTGTCTTTCAGGTCTGTCACTGGTGGTGTCCGCCCTTGTCCGTTGGCCATGAAGATTCATTTGTCTCCCATGCGGCTTCTTTCTTTTTGTCTTTCAGGTTTGGTGCCTGCACTGCTGTTTTCTGCCGCGTGACTGTCTCCGGGAGTGCATTCCTGCCACACTGTGTAACTCTCTCAGCTTTGTTTTCCTTTTCGGGCAAGCGTTGGATGAATGACCGGATTGGATTTCGGCGGCGTGGCAGCGATCTCTCTGTTCAGTTGGGACGGAGGGCATGCGTCAGGCGCCAAAAATCAATTTCATGTCACATCCTTCCCTCCTCATGCTTCTATTTCTTGTCCTCACGTGGTCAGCTCCTTGCTGATTGAGCAGCATGACCAGCATCATGTTCGCACTTGAAGAATAATTCCCCAAAAGGTTTACTGTTAGGGTTTTTCAATTCTTTCTTAAGATGTGTCCGCCCGCTCTGTACTGCTGTGTCCGTCTCTGCCTTGCAATCCTTTACGTTCGTCTCCCAGCTCTGGGCTGCTGTGGCCGCCTCTGCCTTGGAATCCTTTGTCTCCCAGCTCTGGACGTCGCAAGCTCTAGTTTCGATTTTGAAAAACACAAACTGTTTGGGGTCTACGGTGGTGTAATTGTCTCTGGTCTTGTCCCCCTTGTTGTTGGTCACTGTGTCCGTCTTGTCTCCCTTCTGTTTCCTTTTGTGTCCCTTCTTGTTGGTCATTGTGTCCACCTCGTCCCCTCTGTCTCCCTTTGTCTCCGGTCTTGTCTCCCTTCTGTTTCCTTTTGTCTCCCTCCTTGTTGTCCGTGTTGTCTTCTTTCTGTTTCTTTTTGTCTCTGGTCTTGTTTCCCTTCTTGTTGGGCACTGTGTCCGTCTTGTCTCCCTTGTGTTTCCTTTTGTCTCCCTTCTTGTCTCCCTTGTTGTCCCCCTTCTTGTTGGTCATTGTGTCCGCCTTGTCTTCCCTCTTTCCTTTACATGTGCCTCCTCTCTCCCCCTCTCGCTTGCAACCCTTCACGTTTGTCTCCCAGCTGCTCTGCCTTGCAATCCTTTACATTTGTCTCCCTCTGTCTACATTTGTCTCCCAGCTCTGGACTGCTGTGTCCGCCTCTGCCTTGCTTTGTCTCCCAGCTCTGGGCTGCTGTGTCCGCCTCTGCCTTGCAATCCTTTACATTTGTCTCCTAGCGCTGGGCTGCTGTGTCCGCCTCTGCCTTGCAATCCTTAATTTTACATTTGTCTCCCAGCTCTGACTGCTGTGTGTGCCTCTGCCTTGCAATCCTTTACATGTGTCCTCGCAAGCCTTTGCATTTGCCTCCCAGCTCTAGACTGCTGTATCCGCCTCTGCCTTGCAATCCTTTATTTGTCACCCAGCTCTGGGCTGCATGTCGCTTGCAATCCTTTACATTTGTCTCCCTCTGTGTCTACATGTGTCTCCCAGCTCTGGACTGCTGTGGCCGCCTCTGCCTTGCAATCCTTGTCTCCCAGCTCTGGACGTCGCAAGCTCTAGTTGCAGAGTGTTCCATTTTTGAAAACACAAACTGTTTGGGGCCCACGGTGGTGTAGTTTGGACAACCCTTTTGTTGGTGCTCATGCGAGTTGCGGCAGACTCGGTGTTTTTGCCAGGTGAAAGGTCAGGTCAAGAGGTCCCTGAGGGATGATAAGTGGGATCACATGAGGGTTCAAAGCACCCTGCCCACCTGCCTTGAACCATCTGAGTGCCTGAACCAGGGCCATAATCCGTGGCGTGGTGGTGGGGTTGGGCCATGCATCGCATGGAGTTCCACATTACCAGACTGAGGATGATGATGATGAGAAGGAGGACGTGAACCTCGCCAAGAAGCACCTTGGAATGGAAGGTTTTTAGAGGCAGAGCCCATTTTTTGAGACTTGGGTCTGCTGTCGAATGAAGAACAGTGAGGGAAACCCGGGGGGCTCTTTGGGGGGCTTGGCACCGAAAGCTCTTCGCCACTCCGCGCCGCGAGGTTCTATCCCGACCTGGTGGAGGGTCAGGTCATCAAGGCCGCTCGGCTGCCACTCGGACGAGGCCGTGCAGAGCTCGGACCGCTCGGCGTCGGACGGCTCCGACCGGACTCGACCGGACTTGGCGGGTGGTGGCCCGAGGCGTCGTTGAGCTCCGCCGGGCGCTGGGGCTTCACCACGCGCTTCATGTACGACGCCGTGGTGACCCGGTGCCAGGCACCGCGGGTGTGGAGGCATGGCCTTTTGAAGGCAGCGGAGGAGGTCCGTCGTTCCTATCCAGATAGTCCACCCGCTCTTTGAATTTGATTTGGGGGTCTGGGTCCGCCTTGGTCTGGGTCGGCTTTCAGGGAGAGGCTTTGGATGCACCTCTTGCGACATCGACGACATGTACAGAGTTTGTGGAGTGACATGGTCCGTAACGAACGAGGTCCCCATCCCGTGCGCCCGATCTGGTTCGTTTGATTCCTTCGATCTGATCGGCTATGAAACAGGAGGATGGAAGCTACGACGTGAAGTTCCACGATCAGCTGCTGGGGGAGAAGAAAGGTCTCCCAATCGAGGAGACGTTCCCAGCGCATTTCTTTTTTTCGTTTCGCTGCGAGGGAAAGGAATGACCCACAGGAGAGTTTATGGGGGGAACCCACACCGAAGTGTTCTCCAAAGCATGTTTTTCATTTGTGGGCGGTTTTAGCTTTTTAGTGTGATGCTCTTGAAACTGACCATTCACCGCTCGGGCACGACGGGATGTGTGTCATTTCGCATCGAAGATACGTCTCCTAGGTTGTGAATGAAAGCAACTGTTTCATTTCAGAGCTCCTTGCTGTTCTTGTACCGTTGATGGGGGCGGGCACCCTGGAGCTCCCCCCCCCGCCTCACCGGGTCACCACCACCGGTCCTCCCCCCGGGTGCCGTCCACGCCGACCGGTGGTTGGAGGAGTTGGAAAGCCTCTTGACCTTCGAGGCCTCTGGACTGGGCTTGGATCCCTCCAGGCGAGACCGGTCAACGGCACGGGTGGGCGAGGACCTGACCGGTGGACCACGAGGACGAAGGCGCGCGCGGTGGACCGGTGCCGCAGCTTCTGAAGCAGTTCCTTTCAATCTTTCGGCTTCTTGGTGCATCTTCAGCTGTTGAGCCCCACCAGGTGTTGGATTCGTTTGAAACCAGCATCCGATCAAGCAGCTTCTAAATCCTGTCCAAAAGGCTGCTCCTGTCGGAAGAACTTTTGGATTCGGGAAGAGGAAGACGCCCTGTGTGACCTTTCTGAAGAAAGGTCCCTCCAGGTTTCGTGGGGGAATCACATCGGAAGGTTTCGGCCAAGGCATTGAGTGGCATTGAGTGGCATTGGTCCGGCCCACTGGCCCACTTCCGGAGAGCGGTCTTGCCATGCCTTGCCTTGTCCCGGCTGATGTCCGCCCAAAGTCGCTCCAAATGAACACTTCCAAATGAAAACTTCCCCACTTCCCAAATCTTCGTTTGCCCCACTCGCACTGTGACCTCAGCTTCTGGTCCGCTGGAGGAACTTCTTTGACTTCCGGTTTAACAGCCTGCCACGGGGCGTCCAGACCAGTGGCAATGGAGTGGAACTGAAACCGGCCTGGTGCTCGGTGGTGTTTTCAAGTGGTGCCCGAGTTTCGAGCAGCTTCTCCGAGCTTCCGTGGCACGGGACATCGAATCGAGCAGCTTCTCCAAGCGGCGACTTTTGTCAAATCTGCTCAGCACAGAATTAGGCAGCTTGTACATGCTTGTACTGAGTGTACGGTTGAGAGTCAGAGCTCTGACACGATGTGTATATAATGATATGTTATAGGATCTTCCAACTATGCCCAATTTCTGCCTTTTGACTGGTTTTTATGGGTGAGACGAGGTGAAAAGGCAGAAATTTGTAATCGTTGGAAGATCCAGGTATATATAACATATAGTTGAGAGCCCTATAGTCTCAGTCTTTTTGCGACAAGAGTCGATTAACCGTGTCGATAACAAAGGGAATCGAATGGGTCATTCTCGTACACCATATGGGCGGAAGACGGTTGGTGTGACGGGGGGGGTGCCTCGCACCGAGCTACACGGCGGTCTCTCCGAGCGCAGCACGCAGCACGCGGTGATCCGAGCTACGCAGCAGCACGTCTACGAGACGCACTTTTAGACCATCAAAGGGACAGGCGCTCCCAGATCCGGAGGACGACCCGTCAGACTCTTATAGACTCGGACTCGACCTTCCCTTCCCTTCCACGATCTACGAGGTGGACCAACCAACCAAGGCGAGCTCCGCCACCCCCCGAAGCGAGCTGCACCCCTTCCCCTCTTCGCCCGAAGCGGCCGAAGCGCCGCGTCACCCTGACCCCGAGGCCGGTGATTCAGGCGGCTCCATCCTTTACATGAAGCCAGCCTCGTGACCTGGGCGATGTTTGGAGCTCTCAACCTCGAAACATCCAAGAGAATGACATGAAGATCAAGTTGAGTAGGTGCTGTTTAAGGCGGTTTGATGGTGAACGCTGGAGTAGGGGGTGCTGCAAACATTTGCAAACGACTGGGAACTCTCAAGTTATTTCCAGTGATATTGCCGACATGTCGGCACCCCGTTTCACTTTATTGTTTGTTCTTCAGCCTGAAAGCCATAGAACCCAGATGAATCGAAAGATGAACAATGAATCCCTCGCAGCCGACCTCGAAAATCACCAAAAAAAGCGACGAATCTACGAGCTCCCAAGCAAGGCCCAAAACCAAAGGCACCCCAGGGGCACAAGTACTCAGTACTCGGACCAACATCTGCACCAGGCAGATGAAGTACCTGGAGGGATCCTCCAGGTCCCTCCGTTCTCCGACTGTGCGAGGTATCTCTCCATGCCGTTGGAGGGTCTCGCCCCGGGCGGCGCTGGCTCCGGAGAGGAGCGTTTGGAGCGGTTTGGGGGACGGGACGGGACTGGCCCGGGTGCGTTCAACCCCTCTGCTTTTGGAGTGCAGAAATGGCAGAACGACAGTAACGGCTGGTGGGAAGTTTTCGTAACGGCTGAGAGGCCGGGAGGATGACAGCATGCACGACAGTTTTCGTGATCGCCGAAGGTCCCAAGGTGCCACAAGGGTTGGCTTTCCATGCACTTTGTAGAAGATGAAGACCGCTCGGGTTGTGGGATGTCTTCTGCAATGCTCTCATTGGCTTGGAGCTCGGACTCTGTCTGGGGTCTTCGTGGCCGAAGCATCGTCTCGGTGTCTCCGGTCTCTCAGTCGAGGAGCCCCCAACCGCTCCGGAAGAAAGCCGTCACTCGCCGCCATCGTCGGCCCGGCGGACCCGAAGTCGGACAGGACCACGTGAAGTACACCTTGAGCTTGGAGTTGAAGCTCCCTCTTCAGAGGCGGTCCCCTTTGTTTCTAGGTGAGTCGTAGGATGGAGTCATCAGCTCGGTGAGCGAAAGGGGCTGGAGTTGCTTTGGCAACTGAAGAACTCAGTATATACTGGAAACCAGGCAAACTTGCACCTTTGTCCACATTGCACCTTTGTCCACATGTCAAACACAAAGCACCCTTAATCCGAAGGTCCGAAGGTCTTTGTAAGTCTTTGATATTCTTTGTAAAGACCTTGTAAATTGATCTTCTTCACATCATGTCCAGCGTCGTGTTTGACGAATCTGACAAAGACCCTGCAACAAATTCATGCCTGTCATCCAACCTCAAGTCCTTTCTTTTTCCCTCTCCCTCCCCTGCAGGTCTCAGCATCCCGTGGCACTGGTGCAGGCGAGTAGAACGTGTGTTCGGGATGGTCTTTATGAGGACTAGACGAGACATGGTCGAAACATTCAAGAACCTCACGTGTGTTTCTTTTTGGGGGGTTCTGCCCTTTCTGCTGTTGTGGTTTGGGTTTTGAGATGTTCTTGAGATAGACTAGAGTATATAGATGGTTCTACATGATAGATGCAGAGTATGTAGAGGAACATGCTCGGATGGTCTACTTTCGGATACTTGGATGGGTACAACAGTGCAACTTGAAAAATGCTCACTGCCCACATGTTTTGCTGAGCTTAGATCTTGTTGGAGCTCTCAATTATTTGACCTTTCGCTTGTGTCAAGGACTTTCCATGGTTCCGAGAAAAATGCGGAAGCTATTTGAATGCTGGTCAAACTTGAACTCTGACTGCGCTGTTCTCCATTCGTTCATGTAGACTGCTGAGTATGTCAGATGCACTGCCGATGGCCCTTGCACATGTTGGCTGGATTTTGCGTTCTGTCCCAAGCAGAAACCCAAGAAGACATCTACAGCTGGGGCATGAATCTTGGCTTTCAGACCCCTGAAAAGAAAGGAAGCACCTCTTGACCCCCCGGACCGGCCCGGTGAACGCCAGGCGTCCTGGCCAGAAGTGTCAGGCGGAGTGGGCCTTTTGATCGCTGGGAAGATCGGTCGGATGAGAGAATGGTCGGCTTATGGGGCCCACACGTTGTCAACGAGGGAATTGCTCTTGGCTCGCTTGCGACCACCGGGTGAGGGGTTCCAAAGCAACGTGACGCTTTCGCCCGGCGACCGAAGTGCACCTGCTTGCGCCGAGTGACAGTGCCGCACCGCACCAGGCTTGCCACAGCTGTCGGCGGTGGCGGACGCCTACGTTCCCGCGAGGGAGCTCAGAGCACACGGTGCCCAACCCAAACCGAGTGAACGGACGGCTGCGTCGAATGGAAAGCCGCGTGAACTCACGCGGAACGTGTGCGGTTGGTCGGTTTGTATGTGTTTGTCAGAACAGGAACAAGTAACAAATTTCGAAGATCTCTGGCCGACTCTGCGGAGAATCACCCGCTGTGGATGGATGGCCAAAGCCCCTTTGCCCATCCTTGACAATATTCACCACTGGCCTCTGCCCAACAAACCTTCATAATGTGGAACCCGCCCTCTGCAAAGCATTCCGCACTTTTCCACGAACCGGTCACCCTTCGGGCCGTTTGTCCGGTGCAGATGAGGTGCACCCGGCTGACCGGGACTACGCAGAGGCCGAGAATCTGAGCTGCTGATGTTTGGAGGGAATCCCAAAAACACTGAGCCTTTTGGGCCCCAAACGGGGTGGTTTCCTCTGGTTTTCTCAGAGGTGCGCCACTTTTCACCTTGCAGTGAGTTGTAGACTGACAAGGCGGAGAAGGGAAGATCTTGTCCATCATTTGGGCACACAAAGTACTACAAGCTTGGTTGCCACTACTCAACACACAGAGTTGACCAACGCAAACGAGTTTCTCGTGAGTCCAGAGAGAGTTCCAATGTTGAGTTGTGTTATTGTGCACTTCATGGAACCCATCCATGTGTACTTCGGTTTTCACTGGTGATCCAACTTCGTTTGCACACGGTGACCGAGATGTTGGGTTCCCCAAACCGACCTACTCGAGGTCGGGCGGAGGGGGAGCGTCAGGAGCCACCCGAGCCGGGCACCACCTGGTCGTGGCACCTCCAGGCGAGTCGAAACGGGGGCCACGGCGAAACGGGGCATCTCCGAAGCTCCGGCCGTTGGTCTTGTGTAGATAGTTGGTGACTGACATGGGACACATGCTGCACCCTCCCCCTCTCAAACTCATATAATATATAGTATTATAAATTATAACAAAGTATATACAAGAATATGCAGAGAAGTACACACATATGGTTCCTGGACCAGTCCAGTGGAGTCCCAGCCCCGGACGGGACACCCTCCTCTCCGCGGCGTCCGCAGTTGGGCAACGTGGTGCTGAGCCGATCGGAGCTGCGGCCGGGGAGGCGGGCGGGAGGTCGATCGGTCGGTTGGGCGGCTCGGTCGGTGGGTGCTTTTTAGTGTTTGGAGATACTGTACCACTCTGCCCATAGTACCTACAGGTAGAGATGGAGAATCCCTTTAAAAATACAGTTCTTCGATCAGCGCTGCCAACCGGCTTTCACATCGGAGATTCCAGGCCAAAGGTCAAGTGTTGAGGCCTGAAAAGATTGTGTGGTGGGCGTTTGACCTCACCATGGCACACACTCCAGAGATAGGTGGGAGAACTGGCCAATGCCCAGGTGGCATGAGATCACATTGGTGGTGAACTGCAAGGAGGGCCGTGCCTTTGTGACTGTGGACGGAAAGCAGGCCAGACGGCTCCGTCGACGGACATTGGGCTGGACGGAAAGCATGGCCTGGATCGGCTGGAACATTTTGGAGATAGGGTTTGCTTGAAGGAATGACACGCAAGAATAGCATACTGGCTCACTGACCGAAGGTCACAGCAGAGTTCCCATATTCTCACTCAGAGTTAACAGGTGTTTTCAGATCTTGAGCCTTGGCATTTCGTTTCCTTTCGTCACCACATCCCGTGGCGGAGTGGCATTCGTCGCTCCGCGTCCGCCAGGTCCGCGACGACCAGGGCGAGAGTTGGGTGGTCATCGGTGAAGGTGCAGGTGCCGTCCGCTGAGAGCGGTCTGACCACGCGCGACCGGCACGGCGGATCGGTCAGTACCACAAAGGGGTGCCATGAGAAGCGTCTTGGCTTCAGCGTTGATTGTTTCAAGGGAAGCGTTTTGGCCAGCTGGAGGCAGCAATTTATACTACATTAGTTAGGGGCAGTCAAGACGGCTAGGCTTGAAGTAGATGAGCTTGTGGCGACTAGTTAGTTCCTTTTTCCATTGAGAGCCCTTGATAACAGATGTCTAAATGACAGTTTTGCTAACAAAGTTGTGCTGAGGAAACCTACAAAATGTGGCAAAGTTCACAAAACATGTGGCCTCAAGAATGCCCAAGCAAGGGAACATCCTTGCAGAGTGACCAGCTTGAAGCCCCTTGGAATTTTCCTGCATTTCCCTCCCCTTGTCACCCGTTTTCACAACGGAAGCACTCATCTTCGGCCTTCCCTTTCCGCCAGGCAAGTCACCCTTGGCCATCAAGCGGGGCGGATTCCTCCTCTTCGCTGCAGCGGAGGTGCGCGCGTGGCACGGGGCCATCGGAACTGGCCTCTGAACGAGCCATGAACGGATAGGTGAGGAGACTGGGAAGACGGGCTTTCTACTGCACTTCTTGAAAAGAGAAACATGTTTCTTTTTTTGAACAACATATTCTTTTTTTCTCACTTTTGTTGTTCTTTGGAGGGCATCCTGAAGAAAGAAAGGCCGATGAGTTGGCACCGGGAGAACCTGTCGGTCACGCCATCTCCGGCCTCCGTGTACGGCCTCCGTGTGAGGCCTCGTGGATGCCGGGCGGATGCTTCTTGCGACGGTGTTCGTTCCAGAGCGCCTGGGCCGAGCGTCGAAACGGGCCGACGGTGTTTTCAGAACAAGAAACAGCAAGAGAGCTGGATGTGTGGAATCTTAAGAGCTGGTGAGCTTTCCAGTTCTTCACGTAGCAACCAGCTGGATAAGTTATCTTCTAGACCCTCTTTGTAAGATGGTGGTGGATGACTTTGTTTGGGGGTTTTAAGCGGTACCCCAAGCCCAAGCCTCTGAAAACTCCTCGAAACCAAGGTGACTGCCTGTCAATGAAGCAGCTCGAACAGGCGCGACCGAACGGTCAAGGCTGCAGACTGCGAGTCTGTTGCACAAAGGGTGCCCAAGTATAGATCATTTCACGACTTCCAATACAATGTTTAGAGTGGTCACTCTCCATTCGGATCTTTTTTCCAGTCCATTTCCACTCAGCCACTGCAGAACCACCGGCCGCCTTCACCTTCACCTCCACTTCTGCCCTCGTCGAGGTGCGATACCAAAACCGCTCGGCTTCGGCCAAGATCCGTGACTATCTCAAGGAGCAGCTTCCTCAGCAGGACCGGGCGTGAGAAGCAAGGGAGGAGGCGCCTGCGGCTAACCGGATGTGAGAAGAAACCGCTTTTGTGCCGAGTTCGGCGCTTCCGTCTATGGAATGAAGGCCTCAACTGGTATTTTTCTGCTGCAAGAATCGAGCTCAGGAATTCGGCCTCTTCACCTAGGCTCCCTTAAAAGCTGGCATACCCCCCTACAACCAGGTCTGGAAGATGATCTTCCCCTCAGACCTGTGAAAACCTATCTTGAGTGCCTACCGATAAGATGACTCATGACTATGTCAAAATGAAAGAAACTGAAGATACGAAGATTTCATTGAGGTTTAAGACACGCAAAAGAACCTCCCAAACTTCAAATTCAAAGAAGTTTACAATGAGTTCAAAACTTTCCTAATGGACACCATCGGGCCATTGGCATTAATCAAGCAGAAGATAATACGGATCATATGATTAATTTTTAGCAAGAAGCTTATGAAAGCAAATCTGTAATACCCGGCGCTTAGCAAAGTTCCATTCTAGTCATGAAATACCCGGCAAAATGACTTGGCACAGCGTGAAGAAACGGGAGATCACCAGCTTTGGAGGCTGTGTTTGGCATTTACGAAGAGAATGTTGCTTGATAATTGTCACAGAGTGATCCGCACTTGGAAAAATGGAACATCCATAGATTCCTCCAATACATGTTCGCGAAAGCCAAATGCAGGGTATTGGTACGATCTGTCCAACTACCGAAGGCTTGCTCAAGTCAGGTTAGGAGAAACTTCAAGTCCCCCTTCCCAACGCTCCCTTCCCGTTCCAACGCGCTTTGGCGTTGTTGGACTCACCGGTTGCGGTGGCTCTCCTCCGACAGGAACTCTCCTTGACGCCGATCCTTCGCCGGAAAGCTCGGGGCCCCCACGGCTGCGGACCACGGCTCCGACCCCACGGTGGGTGGGTGGGTTTTCCGAAAACGATGAGGAACACCATGGCATGTGAAGGTACGATTGATGGAGGTTTTTGAGCAGTTTGAAGGAAGTTCCTTCCCCCAAGCAACAAAAGAGGTTGTGCAGTTCAAGGTTTTTGATTTTCTCTTTTTACAGTCGGTGATTTTCGTTGTGCGGATCGTTTGTTTGAAGCTGCATGGGCATCACGGATTCTGCGAAGATTGTCCCGATGGACCTTCCTTCGGCAAGGAAGCTTATCTCATCGGGCCTTTTTGCATTTGTGCTGAGCTTTACCTGATTTCCTCATCCACTTCGGAGCTTCTGAGAGATACACCTGAGAAAGTGAAGGTTTGAAACATCAAATGGGAAAACTTTTCATATTATATAGTGAGGGAGATTGCTGAGAATATGGGGGTTCATGACGGAGAAACACCAGGGTTCTAGCTGACCTAGCCCAACATGGAAGCATTTTCAGAGTATATAGCTAGACCCGCACCAGGGTTGGTCCAGGTTAGCTCTTGGGCCTGCCCATATTTTCTCGGTTTCATGCTGTTCCTCACTGTTCGGTTTTTGTTTGTCTCTGTTCTATGTTAGGTTTGGCGGATGCTTATGTTTGAAGTCTCAGCATATGTTTCCCGCGAATGTATCAAAGGCATGTTTGTGAGCACCTGTAGGTGGAATTCAGTCGACCTTAATCTTCCCCGAAGTACTTCTCAATGGATCAGCCGTTGTGCAGCTGAACCACCAGCGCGAAACCAATGAGCAAGAAGCAAACATGTTTAATCAGCTGAGCTTCACCAAACCTTCGGTGCGGGTGGATTTCATGGGTCATGATGCAACGGATGACTTAGAGCCGAACGGATCGCCCGAGGCCATGCCTCTGTGGCGCTCGGATTGGTTCTTGGCGGAGCAGGGGAGCCCCAGTTCCGAGGGCCGGGGAAGCGGCACCGTGGAGTCCCTTTCGTATTTTTTCTCACAGGAGGGTGCCCACACACAGACATTGTGACGAGTATTCAAAACATCCTATAACTTGGTCGTGTTTCTTGAGTTCCATCTCGTTTGGAGCGATGACCTTGCGTTCTTCAAGGAGCGTCATTGACTTCCGGTCGTTCGCAAAGCAATGGTCTTCGCGAACGAAAGAGTTTCACTGGGACGGTTGCTGGCAGCTTCTCGCTAGCAACTCCCAAGGATAGACGTAGAACCCCCCCCGTCCATGGTCCCTCGTTCGATCGGACAAGAGGATCGTCCATGGGTCGTGGCTTCCGACTCCCAGTCCGATCAGATTCTCCAGACCTGAAGACCTGAAGATCGATCCGCAGACTCCCACGTCTTCCCCAGCGCAGCACGCGGGCTCGCATTCCGTCGACGCCCTCGCATCGCGAGGTTCGGACAGAATGTCTACCCATCGGACTCCGGGGCTCCGCTCACGACCTTCCAGGCGGAGTCGTTGAGGAAACGGGTGTTACTTGGTGTTCTTTTTCTGGAGATCCCCACATCCAAAGATATTGCATGGTGGTTGACCATTTCCGGTGGTTGACCCTTTCTTAAGGGTTGGATGAGATAGACATGAGAGGGTGTTTTAACGATTTCCAAGTTCCTTTGAGGTCCATAGACACATTCTTTCTTTTGAAGGGCACAGAGGGTCCTGTGGAGGTGGTTGGATCCGGAAACTGTGAGGTGGGTGGATTTGGGACTCTTGGGAGCTGTGGTGAGCCTTGGCTTTGGATGTGCGCATGTCAACTTGTCTATCCCAAAGCATCCAACCTGCTTAAAGCAAAACATCCTCTATAGGCCTATAGGCAGACACCTGGGGTGATCTCTGAATGGGTCGAACTCCAAAACCAAAGCCACAGCTTGGTCCAATTCCCGGTGTCGATCTTTGTGATGACTGGGTTTTTCCGCGCTTTTCGCGGTTTTCGTTTCGAACCTCCCCACGTGGCCTTCTCCAGGTCTTCATCCTGGCGGCCGAGAAGATCTTCCAGGCGCCACGGGTCGCGAGCGAACACGGCGAGCGAACACGGCGCCACCGGGGTCCGGTCCCACCGAGTCACACCGCTTGGAATGGGGGTGTCTTGTTGACCTTTGGAATGTGACATTTGTGGAGTTGATGCGATGATGCGAGGAGGGGTGGAACTCTTTTTGACTGCCGATTCGTCGAAGTCTTGTTCCTGAAACCTGACGTTGGTATCAAAGCTGGGGTGGTTTCTCGTGTCTTGAAGTCTTGAAACCATTCACAAGCAAGACCACCTAAGCAACACTTCACTAGACAGGAACCACCCCGACTTGCTGCTTCAGGTACACTCTTCCTACCTTCCGGCATTCTGGGTTGGATCGGGTGGCATTTGCTCCATTTTGCTGCTCCTGCTCATCGGCTTCTCCCCTTTCGATTCTCCACAGCACGATGTCCCTCACACCCTCACCTTCGATTGACCTTTGAATATCTCCTGAAAAACCAAAGCCTTCTTCAAAACAAGCTGAAGACATGGATGGGGGCCTCAGCCGAACAGGTGACCAGACAGACCAGCTAGCGTCGCCGAAATCGGCGACGAGTCCGCCGACGAAGAGAACCGTCCGTCCGTGCGGAGCGGCCGTGCCGTTCGCGCGATCACGCAGACCTCGCCGTCGCCGGCGAGCATCGTGGGGTTGATGAGCGAGACCATGCAGAAGGAGCGGGAGCGGGAGTCGGAGCAATGTCCGAAGTGTTCTTCATCTCCCAAAGATCAGAGAACTGGAGAAATGGGAGAGGGACGAGGGGTGAAGGTTGCGGGGGTGAATCCAGATTTCACACCAACAAATCCAGAGGCTTTGGAAGAGGGACATGTCGGAAAACAAAGGAGGGGTCAAGAAACCATTTTGACATTTGCAAGATATGTTCCTGGATCTGAATGGAGTTTCTTGAGAATCTCTGCCATGGGGCTCATTTCCGGCTCTGTGAGCTATAGGTCCCTGAGCTATAGGTCCCATCAGTCGTTCCATGGAGTTGGGTGCTGAAGCACGGAGGACGTTGCGGGTGACCCCCCTCCACTCACTGGATGCCTTCGACGGAAAAAACCCACCCCACTCAGAGCAGCGAGCGATGCGACCCAAAACTCCTCGCGTCTCGCGCTGCGAACGAAAAGCGCTCGGCGACTGGTGTTGAGGATGCAGCAGGCACGGTCGCCCTCATCAAGGCCGGGCCAATGGATCAACCTCGGAGGTTCAGGATGGTACGGGGAAGCATCATGTGTTTTCGCTTGAGGACCATAAACCCCCGCCATTTGAATTGGACATCCTTTTGATATGGGGGGTTATGAATCAAGAGTCCACATTAGTGGTGCTACTATTTGTGTTGTTTTCCTTGTAAACCTTCCGAACTGTGTTTTCTCGAAGGGTGAGCTTCGTTGGGACTTCATTTTGCTCCTCCAAGCTTGGGACCTGATTGGAGCTTGAGGTGGCCTGGGTCAAAACCAGCTTGGGGCCACTTTTGGGAATCATATACTGTATATTAACTATATATATATATATATATGTATACAAGCTACCTGCATCATTTCGAGATCCACCACCCAGTGGTACCATGTCCGAGCGTGCGGATCGGCCGGGCATGTCATTGCAGCCATTTTCGCTCAACACCGTTGACCGCGTGGCATTTCTCAAGGACCAGATTGTTCCAAGAAACTTGTTGATCGGCTGGGCATGTCATTGCAGTGATCCTCTTGATGGGACCATTGGTCGAAGGAACTCCCCACTTCGTCTCGTCTAAGACCATGAAAAGAATGGTAGGCCTGGTTTTGTAGTCGAACATCTTTAGTAAAACAGTGGCTCTTCGGTAAAAGACCAAAAAAATGCCAAAGTCCTTGGAATCCCAGGGTGCCCCTTCGTCTGCTCCGAGCCCCTCTGGGTGTTCACCCGGGCCGTCGCGGTCGCGACGTCGGACGTCCGCGGTACCAGTCCGCGGTACCAGTGGAGACCATCCGAATGGCCAGACTTCTTTGACCGAGAGCCAGCATGTTTGGGTTTCAAGGATCAACTTGGCAACCCCGGCAGAGAACATGGGTGTTCCGCGGTACCAGTGTTCGGTGCCTCCCAAAAGCCTCTTGCTTTGTCCCCCCCCAAATCCGAAAAAAGACCTGCCACCAGTGCCGCCGCTCCATGGCGCGCGCAGCTCCGCCGCGGAGCGTCTTCGTACGGCGGAGCTTTGCGCCGGTGGGGCGGCCAGCGGCTCGGTGGAGAGACGCAGGAAAGGGGCGGTGGGAAGTTGGGACAACGAGGGTGGCTTCCGTTGAGTGTAAGATATGTATATACTACATATTATAAGTATACAATATACTTTTCAAGATATGTAATGTAAGTATGTAGAAGGTTCATGTATTTGAATGTCGGTATCGTTTTCTTCTCTGCACATTTGCTTCCTAAGGGATTGTAGCGATTGGCTGTCGCAGGATGCCTCACCCTGACCTGACTGCTTGTCTCCCACTGGGTGTGGAGAGAAAAGCTTCGTGCCTTCTTTTTGACGACTTGTTTGAGTTTCACTACTAGCCTTCCTTTGTCTCCCTTCATGTTAGCAGAGTAGGTGACCATCAAGATAAAGGCTTTCTTTCTCTTAGACTCTTAGACTTCTAGTCTTCTGGTCTGCCTCCAGCGCCAAAGAAGCAGTTGGCACTTGGCTTTTGGCTTACCTGCTACCTGGCGCCTTTTGTTTACTTCCTCAAGCCGCTTGTGGGGTTCTTCCCCAAGGCCTCGAACGAGGATCTGGACAGCCTGAAAGATTTCATCCTCAATGCGTCCGATGAGGGGTGGGGAGGGTCGGTGCTTTTTTTTCTATTTTGCCGAAGAGAGTTTGCCCAAAAATGACATCGTTTGGATCGACTTTGGAGTCTTTTGGAGGTAAGACATTTGCTTCGCCCTCCAAAGGTCCAAAGATCCACAAAGGCCTGCAGAAACCAAGGTGCGACAACGCTCACCACGTGGCAGAATTTGTCGACCAAACGCTCACAACAGCACCATGTGGCAGTCCAAACTTGGATCGCCAACAACTCAACTGCAGAGGTCTCAAGCTTTGCTTCCACTCAGAGCCCCCCGAAAGAGGCGACCGTTCGAACGGCCGCCCTCAACTCACGCGCCCGGCAGTTTGCTGTGCCTCACCGGCGCGGGCTTCTCGACGGAGAGTGGGATACCAGACTACAGGAGCCCTGAAGGACGGTGTGGAGTGGGAGGGAGCGATCCGTGACATGGCAAGGGCGATGAAAAAATCATCAGATTTTCCAAAGACTCAATGAGTCTTTAAAGATAGCGATGTGCAGCTTTTGGAGTATGGGCACCATTTCTGCGAGGTCACGAAGATTTAGAGAATCTCCGTGAATTAACAACAGCTGCCCAGTTGGTGGTTTGTGCATTGCGAAGCTCGTTTGCGCACGCGCGGTCACGGTTGGTTGTGAGGATCCTATTCCAAGGGCCATAAGCCCATGACTCACCAAGAGTTTGTTTCCAGCGCTGTGAACCGCAAGCGCTACTGGGCTCGCTCGCTGCGTGGCTGGCGTTTCTTCGACCAAGCGCAACCCAACGTGGCGCACCGTGCGTTGGGAAAGCTGGAACAACAAGGCTATGTGCGGACGGTGGTGACGCAAAACGTGGATGGGCTTCATCAGAGACTTGGAAAGGAAGGTTGGCAGAGACTTGGAAAGCCTCTTCCACCCAGAGAGGTTCGGCCTTTCACCTGCAAAGCACTGTCTGCCATCTGCGGCATCGATGTCCGCATGTCGGTCCGTCCTATTTCACAGTTCGATGATTCACGTCCTCGAGGCCTTTCGGTGGCCAGAGAGGTATGTTTGTCGAGTATGTTTCAGTCGTTTCCGTCGTCGTTTCAGCCCACACCAGGAAGGGCGGCTCGACAAAGGTCATCGAGCTGCATGGTCGCAACGATGAGGTTCAGTGCCTCAGCTGCTTTCGCTCCAGGCGACGTTCCGGCTACCAGGAGTGTCGGGCAGTCAGGGCTCGGCTGGTTCAGCTTGAGCTTTGCACAAGTGCTTTGTTGCTGATTTGTCACTGGTTTGGGATATGCGGGAACGTGGGGGCTATGGGCGGTGGTGGCGAGGTGTTGTAGTGTTTGGCGATCGTGATGATCGGAATGTGGCATCCAATTCTCCGCAACTTGCAGACGAAAAGCTGCAAAGAGCCGTCAATCATGGGTTGCCCATTGTGAAAGGGTGGCACCGAACCGAGCAGCTCACTCGGTGAACAAGTTCTTCACCGCGTGACCGTGGTCCCGCCCGGTGAGCTGTCGTGTCCGTCGTGTCGGGTTCTTCGACTCCGACAGGAAGAACTGGAAACCGTGAACTCCGAGTGGATGGATCATTTCCTGCCACGGCACGGCCAGATTGACGTCAGGCGGATTGGATGGATGGGTCATGGAATCATGGGTTTCCCAAACTGGAATCCAGATGCAAAGATGGAGAGATACGGTACTTGTCATTTGGTCCGTGACTTTCTTGCATTGCTTCACTCCCAGTGGCCTTTCACTGCAGTCCTTCTGACCCGGTGCCACGCCGGTGTTGCCGCCAGGGCCGACGGCGACGCGGAGCTCCAGGTGCAGAGCTTCGAGGCCTTCCACGTGCCGAGCTGCGACGCCTGCGGCGGCGTTTGGAAGCCGAAGGCGGATTCCGCGTCGGAGAAGCGCCGCGTCGAACTGGTGGGTTCGGTTCATGGTGGTTCTTTTGGGCGATCTCAGGCGAGAATGGTGCGGATTTTAGGCGAGAAGGGTGCGGCTCTGGTGTTTCGTGAAAAGTCTTCGAAGGTCGGTATAGTTCTGTCGTTTGCTTCCAAAACAGCAACCCTTTGTTCTCTTAGGATTAGAAGGGAGGGTCCTTCTGTTTATAGAGGAAGGGACATGATTTTGGCTGGAGTTGTTTCTGGAGTAGGTGCTGCAAGATAGTTTCCCAAGTGGAGGAGACCAAAAGCAAGGCGGCAGTGAAACTAGCGGTTTGCGCTGAGAGGTTAGCTTTGGAGGTTCTGTGCTTGAAAACGACTGCGGCTACGCGCTGACTTCACGCCAAATCCTCCCACCTTTCCCCCGTAAAAGCCGGGTACGCGTTCTCGTGGCACGTAGCGAGGTGGTCTTTTTTGGCGGCGCACTGGAGGAGTCCGTCAAAGGTGCGGCACGTGAAGCTGTGGAGACCTCCGGCGCGCTGCTGGTGATGGGCTCCTCACTGCAGGTGTGTGGAGCGGGGGGATGGGGACTGCAGCACTGCATGGCATGTGTCCTTTTTGAAGACTTGGTCCAAAACCTCCCCGTGGGCTCGATTTGGCTCCTAGCTACCAATTCAACATGGAGCCTGAAGAAGCAAGAGCACAACGCCTCCCGCCAAACCTATTGGCACTCACAGGTCTTTAGCGCCTTCTCCTTGGTGAAGGAGGCAGCAGCGCTCCAGAAGCCCTTGGCCATCCTCAACATCGGTCCTACCCGTGCAGACCCACAGCAGTCCAGGTGGTTGACGTGGCGGAGGGAGTGGCGCTGTGGAGAGACCTTGGAAGAGATCTGCCGGCGGCTGAGAGTTGCCGTGAGCTGAAAAAAGGAGTTTTTTTTGGATGGGATGAGTTGGCTTCCGGAATACGGAGGCCCACCATCGGATGGATAGAGTAGGATAGAGTGATGTCCACACCTGTTGACAGTTCATCTTTTGATCTGGATCTTCTCTTGAGAGTTCTACAATTGGAGCTGTATATGAATTATTATGGACAACAAGCTTTTGCAACGGAACCATTGGAAGATGATGTTCTCACCCTGGGTCGTGTCAACTTGTCATTGGCTGGAATATGCACATGACCCTCCCTACCTGAGCAGTTGGAAACACCTTTGAGGGAGCTGGAAGAAGACCACCATGAGACGCCTGTGAGATCAGTTGGAACCACAGCTCAATCAAGACGGCACAAAAAGACCGGACGGGTGACAGGCTCTGGGTTTTTTGGAGCATCAGTCTCAACCCTGTAGTGTCTTCAAAAGAGCAACATGGATGGTCTGGGTTTGCCTCAGTCCCTGTCCAATGTTTTCTTCGCCCCCTTTCTCCAAAATGGCCTCCTTCAGACATAGAACCTTGAGCGCCTCCAACAAGATCAGCTAACAGGCACTAAAAAATGTCTTCTGCTTGGACGTAGGGTTCCACAATTCGATGTGCTTGAAGATGATCATTTCTTCCATTTTGGAATCTCAAGTAAAGACACTACAGGATCATTTCACTTGTCACAGATTGAGCTCCTCCCATTTCGGATCTCTGATCATCTTCAGCTCTTGGCACCGACGCAACCCTCCGAACCGATGACACCGGACGAGACTGACGAGCGCAGGCCGCGGAGCCGCTCTACCGGCGTTTGAACAACTGCTTCGAATCTCCGGAACCTCAGGCGAGCCGAGGACGACCGGTGACGGGGGGCGTTTTTAGAGAGAGCGTTTTTATACACTATACTCCTAAGGAGTTTTGGACTCGGGTTTTGGTGAGTTGCTTTTTGGATGACATGGGCTGTGGGGTTGTGGAGACGTCAATGGACAGTCTGAGTGGAAGAAAAGGCCCCCCCTCACCTAAGTTTGGATTCACCGTGGAGTCAAGGGATAGAGAGAAAGAGAGAGAGAGAGAGAGAGTAGAGTAGAGAGTAGAGAGTAGAGAGTAGGGAGTAGATGACCAATTCCACAGGTCCAAGCGAGCGAAGGCACCGTCTTCACGCATCTTCGCTCGGGACGAATCATCGGTGGCATTCTTTTAGCTCCGGTTCTCAGTTCTTATCTCTTTCATGCTGCAGGTATACCTTCAAGCTCAGGTCATAGCGGCTGTATGCTATTGGTGGTGTTTGGTTTCGCTTGTGAAACAGGTGATCGTCTTCTACCTGAAGGCTGTGAAACAGCTGCGAAGCAAGATGGCCAATGTGGGAGATGCCTCGAGCTCAGAGGGGAGATGCCAAGAGTTCCGGATGGTTCCGTGGAAAGATGCCAAGAGCTCGTGGTGGAAAGACTCAGACGTCCAAGGCAGACCGCCAATGGGCTCTGTGCCACCTGCTTTGGAAGACTGAAAAAAACTGGCCGAACCATGCTGAACCCGTGTGGTTTTCCGACCGCCTATTGGCGTGTCACCGCAAAATTGAGATGATCGGGCGCAAAGTGAGTCTAGATGAACGCTAGATGCTGATTTGGTCAAGATCTGGATACCAGATGACCATCTAGCATCCAGATGGACCCCACAGCACACCCCACCTTGAACCCTTAGACAGTTCTTCGCCAAAATTCTGCAGCGAACACATCGAACGGACGTCGCTGGACTTCGCTCCGCGTCCGCCGTGGCCGTTGCAGGGTCCGCTGTTGGTTCCCGTCAGAGTCTGTGTGGACAGATGGCGAAACATAGTTCTGTGGCGGACGCAGAAAAAGACACCTGGAAGTGGTGGACGCATGGGACCGAGTTGTCCGAGAAGATGTTTTTTACAGTTGTCCGTTTGGGGTTTCGTTTTCGTTTCACTGAGGCCTGCATCATCCCGTTGGCGCTCGGCAACGCCATTGTGCCCCTACTCCTCGAGCGGAAGGAAGAGAAAGGACGGGTCCCGTCACACACTGTGGTGCTTTGGGGCCGGTCGGGGCCGGTCACACACGTGGAGCTGAAACACCCAAGACAAGAGTTGTAGTTAGAAACCCCAGACACTAGAATGACAAGAATCCGCAATCCAATACACACTTCAGGATTGGGGGCCCAACACATTGTGGAATTTGGGGCATGAGAAAAGAATCACTTCAGCTGCGCGTTTGAGGGAATAGCCCACCAACAGTGGGCACAGTATTGATGCTTCTGTTTCATACTTGAGGGCAACAGAAATCACGAAAGGTAGCTTGAGCTACCTGAGTTCTCCTTGCTTTAGCAAAAATGTATTACAATCAGGAGTTGGGATTGTGCATTGAATTTGGTCCTGTAAGAGTTGATTCTGTTCGTCGGGGGGGGGGCCCCCCCCCTGGATCAAATCCCCACTGCGCCGGTTCACGCCGTCGTGGACTTCTACCAGGGTTACTTGTGATTGCCTGCTACCTTTCGTTCACCCCCTCCTCTCTCAAGTGTGGTGCTGGGGATACCATCATGCCCCATCATTTTGGCACCTCCCTCCCAAAAATCCTGGAGCAAACCTTCAACAAAGAGTCGACCACTTTGTCGACTCTTCCCCGAACTTGAAAAAACGAATCGGTGAGGCGCATCGGCTCCGGTTCCAGTAACCGATCGCCGGCCTCGCCTCCGCCGACGGCCTCACCGATCGCGGCCGCTCTTCTTCAGGCGCGCCTTGCTACCGGATGACCATTTGCAACGGCGGGGATGGCACCATCTACCACCGGCAGTCCGCGCGAAGCCCGCCAAAGCTGAAGTATCAGACATGTCACTGGGCTGAAGAAAGATGTATAGAGCCGATCTGGGAGATAGGGAAGACGAGTCAATGCAGTGAAGCAGTAGAAGAAAGGAGCCTGGTCGGGGTAGTATGACCTGCCACAAGATAGCTCAAAGGATGCTGACAAGTGAAGTGAAGCTTGTAGCATGTTTCTTGGTCATTTAGAGCTAGTGTCATCACAGAGCAGATAGGCTTAGCCAAAAGCCAAAGGCAACTACTCCATTTGACCCCACAGTGGATTCACTTTCCCAGGCTGGCGAACCAGGATCATGTCATTGATTGAATGGATCACCAAAACGATCCTTCTGCAACAATTATTGTCATCCCAAAAAAGAAAAAGCTTGACCATGGCAGTACCATTCCAAACTTCCTGATCCCCTCCAAACCTCCACAACTTCCTTTTCAGACCCTGCAAAGATCGAATCGCCTTCTCCCTTTCACCCTCCCCCTTTCACCCCGTCCTCCGAACCTCTTCGAGGCATGATCTTCGATGGCATTCCCTGCGAACGCGCGGAGGACGAAGCTTTCTGGACCACGATGGTCACCGCGTGTCTCATCTCCTCCGAGAAGGCGCGACAGCGGCGGCACCGTGCATCGTCCGGCCCTGGCGGCGACTGAAACGGTGGTTTTTTCCGGTGGTTTTCCGGGATGGAAGAGATGGAAGGAAGAGCGTTCTTGCTACTAGTAGCGATGCCCTAGCTGCTAGTAGCTTCTTGTTCTAGTAGTAATGGCAGGAGCTACTACTAGCTTCTTGCTACTAATTAGTAGCGACGCCCTTGTTACTAATATGTCAGGGAGACCTGTCGAAGACCCCAAATTCGGGGGTCATGGGATCCCCAGCAGCCTCAGTTGGGTGTTCGATAGCTCTCGCCCAGAGACTGGAACCCACACCATCCCTCACAACTAAACTGAAACCTTTGGTTCTGAGGTCCTCGTCCTCTTTGTTGCGTGACCCTACTTGTTTCGAATGAATGGATTGGATGTTTGCCGTCCTTCCAACCGGTCCTTCCGCCGGTTTGTTGGCCCACCGAAGGCACCGGAAGAGCTCTTCTACGACACCTTCCTGCCCTACCTGATGAACACTCCTGCCGTGGTGGATGTGCTCTACCCCAAGAAGCCTCCGGCTTCGGGGGTGGAGGCTCCAGAGACGGACTTCCACTCGGTGCCCCAGGTCTTTGGGCCTTGGCGCAGCTTGACATTGCTTTGGAAGCATTTGTTGAGGACGGTGGGATCTCCAGAAGTTTTTTTTGGGGGGTTTGAGGGGACTGTTGAAGGATTGGTAGGCTTACTCATTATCTACTCATAATTTCTTCATGGGTGTTGTTGGACTCTAACACTGAAAAGAATCGAGACTGAAGGACGCATGCTGGGCAGCATCTGGGCCATGCCATGTTCTTCATGTGTTGGGCCTTGTTTTGGGCAGCCGAGCAGGACTCGTGCGGGCCTCTCCAAGCAGCAGGCATCGAGGGGACCGAGATCATTGGGTCGGACCATTCATGCTTGGAAGACGTCTTTTGCTGGTCCGGGAGGGCTTGTGATACACATCGCCAGCAAAAGACATTCATAGTTGGAAAGGGCGAACGTGCATGGAACACTTGAGCTGTTCGGAGATCTCTTGTTCCGCCAAGCCGAACGTGGCAAATCCCCTTCGCGATATCCCGATGGGTTGGGTCATCAATCCAATCCTCCCATGCTTAACCTCCAGCCTCAAAAGGCTCAGGAAGTTGACACACTTCTTCACATTCCTTCACCATCTCTCCTATTGGCTCAAACTCTGGAACCTCAGACCTTGTCAGACCACCTCCTTTCCCTGTCCTTCTCTGCCTTTTCAACGCCAGGTGAAGTGCTTGAAATGGGAGCTCCGAGCGAGCCTGATCTCCATGAGCGTGCACGATCTGAAAGCGTCCAAGGCCGCGGCCGACCGTGTGACCAACCGTGTGACCGCGCGCCTCGTAGACTCACTCACATACAGAAGCCCCACCACAGCTGGACAACAAAAGGCTGCAAAGAAACACATCAATTTTTGGACTGCTATAAGACGACAATAGCCTTAGATCTTAGATATGGTCGCTGTCCTTTGGCTCTCTATGATCGACCTTGGACCTCTATTTGAGATTATTTGAGTGACAGACACAGAAAGCCGATGCTTCGACCGTATTCGACACTTCACTGCGCCGCCGACCGACGTTTGGTGGTCTTCGTTCTGATCGACATGAGTTGAAATCATAGGTGATGGTCTAACCCGGGGCGATTGGCGAGGCTTATTCAAAAGGTTGTTGGGAAGAACTATGGAGCGCAGCTGAATCAAAGGGCACTGGTTTTCTTCACTTCTCATTTTCGATCCCTCAATTGATTGATGTCGCTCCTCGGCAAATTCCTATCGAAACGGAGCAGGTCTGCATCATTTGCTTCTAATTTACCTGAATCTCTTTCTCGCAAGGACGCGCAAGTTCTTTGAAAAGAGGTACCAGTCGAAGTGATGGAGGGTAGCTATCATCATTCTGGCCTTCAACTGCCAAAGACAGAGAATCCAGTGGGGACAACCAAAACCCTGCACGGCGAGTTGACCCTGTACAGATATCTTGGAGACATAGTTCCACGCAAGAGCCAAACACCTGCAGCTCCAGCTACAACCACCCCTTACCATACCTTCTATATATAGAAGGGCATCTTGCGACTCGCCTTCATCCCGAAAAGAACATGGGCTTCACCCGGTCTTCCCCCTAAGATTTGATTTGAACCTTTGACTCTTTCAGACCCTTTCAAACCCTTTCACACCCTTCATGTTCTTTTTGTTTCCCAAAAAGAAGCCAAGCCGTGGCCAAGCTCGGGACCAGGGCTTGGACACCACCGACGTGCGGCTCTTGAAGCTGGGCTGCGGCTCGATGTCCTTCGCCGCGGTGCGCAACCACACCACGGCTACCGACAGCCGCCCGGACGAGGCGCGACGGTCGGCGAGGCGGTCGACGAGGCGGTCGGACTGCGGTGGTGCGACGCTGGGAGAGAAGGCGAAGAGTCGTCTATTGGGCGGACTCTATCGGTGGGGGATTGAGAGGATTCTTGACATCTTCGTGAAGAACGAGGTAGTGTCATGTCTTTTCGATGTGGAGCATTCTCCAAGATGGAACGTACTGGGAATATTGCAACTGTGACATCCCGCTTGCTTCGATGGGTCTTGGTTCCCACACTTGCTGTTCAAAACCATGCATGCCCACCACATCTACAACACATCTTCCACACATCGTACTGCGACACGAGAGACCTCCACCAGTAACCTGGGAGGATACCTTGAGTCTGCCCGCGAGCACGAAGTCTCTTTGGGAGTGCCGTCGCCTGGTGGACGCGGTGGAGATCCTTTGCGCACAGAAGCCCCGGACCTACGAAGGCAATCGAGGGTGAGACGGCGAGAAAAGCCAGCCGAGGGTGGCCACGTGGGCTGGGATTGAAATGGATATGTCATAAATATTCATAAATGAAGTAATTTACACCCTTTCAGCTTTCAACTAAATGGATCTAAATGGACACATTTACCAGAGCAGCAAGCCGCGGCTTTCGGGGAGCCACTGCAGATTGTGGCAGCCAATGTTCGGGCCAATGTTCTGAGAAAAAGCCGGTTGACTGCATCACTTCCTCCGCTGAACGGCAACTTTTGGGCCGATTCTCCCAGGACCCCCAATTGAGTGATAGACCCAACGCGCCGTTCGGTCGTGACCCGAGGGAATGACCCAAGATACCGCCCGGCACCGAAGGGGTCGGCCTGAGGCCTCTTGAGAGGCGAAACAGCATCCCCCCGTGGCACCTTCGAATAGCTCTTCGAAATGGAGGTGTTCAACCCAACATGCTGGCTGCGACCTGTTGGAGGGTGCCTTGTGCACCTACCTCCATTCTTGGGATCCGTCAACGGTCGTGTTGCCCCCCCCCGCGACTTGGTTACCATCGCCCCGGATCGAAGAACCCCCATGAAGGTCGGATCCGCTCCGGCCCAGATCGCCAGGGCAAGATGGAAGTGGAGAATTCGCAAGCTATCTTGACCTGGAGCGAAGGGGGGCGGGATCCGGCCTCGTCCGATCGATGCAGGCAGAGAGATTTGAGAGAAGGGGTGAACGGACGAAGGGGTTTCCTCAGGTCAAGAGAGTCTTGAGGATTCGAAGGTCCTTTTTCAATGTGGTTGTGATGTGTCATTCTCTCTGAATCTCTAGCACCGGCCCCGCACGAAAACAGTCAAGGAGGAGAGTCCCTGTTGATCCAAGACGAACGGTTGAATGAAGAAGCAGATTGTCCATGGTGGATTCCCAGCTACCTATGTACCTTTTCTAAGTACCAGGGATCCTTCAAATTCCCAGTTCATTGATGTCTGCTTCAGATTTCCATTGCGAACGGATCAATCAGTCTCTTCTCCATGTATGAATAGACTACAGAGATGCGGATGGCGGAGAGCGACTCTGGATGGTTTCCGCCCCCCCCCCCCGCTGAACCCGTGTCGACACGCAGCCGCATCCCGGTGAACACGGGTGCGGGCACTGCCCGTGCGGTGCGACGAGCGACGAAAAATACGATGGCGCCAGGACACGGGGGAGGAGAAGATGAGCCAGAGTGCCGTCTTTCCCTTCTTTGACCGTTTCTTCGCTTGAAAAGTCACAGGGCACTCTAAGATCTCCAAGCACCGAAGGAGATAAGACATCATTATCATCATCAGTTTGAAATCTTCCAGTATGCCTTAAGGTTTCCATGGTTGGAAGGAGACAATGCAGAGATGAATTTGAAGATAGATGCTCAAAGGGTCTCACCACTCACCCGGTGAGTATTAGGACGCCATGCTCGGCGGAGGCCATCGCAAGTAGGTTGGAGGCCATCGCTAGGACCGCAACAAGAAGCTACTATAGTCTATAGTAACAAAGGGCATTTCTACTAGGAGCAAGGACGCTACGAACCTAGCTCCTGGCCTTACTACTAGTACTGTATCAAGAAGCTACTATAGTAACAAGGCTGGACGAAGTTGCATCGTCCTCCAAGTGTCGTCCTCCCGAGGCTTGCTCCGGCAGGAGGTCTTCCCTGGGCGTCCCAAGGGTGTCGCCGAGCAGCTGCCCATCGACCTGCTGGCACTACCGGAGAAGGCCCACCGGGACCTCACGAGGGCGTCGTCTTTTTTTGTTTCGAGAAGACAGGGGAGGTGAATCTCCTTTTTTTTGAAGTCATATGCCATATGTGTTTCTACGTCGTCTCTTTTTTCCCTCCATCTCTCTCTCTCTCTCTACGTACATGGATGCTTACAGTACAATACCGTACCAGACCATACAAAATGCATGAATACACAGTTACATCTTTTCCTTTTGCGCTTTGCTTTAGCATGTATTTAAACGTACTATCTTTATACAGACTACACGGGTCCCACGGCAGCCGCTTCGACCTTTCAAAAGACCACCTGCTGCACCTCCACCACGTGCGCCCTCCCGCCCCAACCGCCACGGCTTTTCGCTCCGCTCAAGACTGCCAGGTGAGCTCCATGACGGAGCTCTTCCGGACGCTGCGCATCGCCGAGGAGATCTGCCTGAAGCTCTCCTTCATCAGCCCCTTCGGCCCAAAAACCGCCGTTCGTAACGGCCGAGTCGAGTCCAACGTTCTTCCTTTTTGTTGTCGCGTGGTCCGGTTTCTGTCGATGACTGAAGTCGGGTCTGGCCGTTTTTGGATTGGACTACACACTCGTTTTACCTCGGGAGAACACGCTGAGAAGTGTTGTGGGCGACAGGAAGTTGGGTTGGAAGCTGAAAACTGGAGTATCGTCAACCGTGGCCATGCCAAGTTCTCCATTGTCTCATTCTCTCGAAGAAGGGACGCAAGAGGACCAAGGAGCGAAAAAAGACTCTGGACTAATGGACTAGGACGCTGTCTTTTTTCGAATGTAGATCTGGTAGATCTGTAGCTCTCACAGCCGCGCTGGGCACTGGGCCGAACACCTCTTGGAGCCTCCTTCACCACCACACCACCGAGGTCGGGAACGGTGTGAATATGCGCCATACCTGTTAGCATCTTGGAAGTGGTGGATGTATGGAATCGGTGGATCAGGTGGATGTTGGGAGCGCTAGCCACTAGCCCTGTTCTGAGCACTGCAGACCAAGCGACCAGAGAGGGGACAAAACGACCCGTGTCACACCCGACCTTCCCCTTCTTGTTGAAGATTTTCATGGTCCATGATATCAGGAGTGAAAACGACACAAGCAAGTTCTGACCCAAGCAGGATCCAAGTTGCCATCGTTTGGGACGGTTCTCCAGTGTCCAAGGCCTCTTTTCGGGTCTTTCTAAACTAATATGAAAGGTGTCAATTCAATCAGCAACCATACAAAAGCGTTGCTTTATTCGTGGGTTGGATTGCACCACATGTAGCAGATGTTTTTTTTTTTCGGACGCCGTCCACCGTCCCCTTCTTCGGGCCCAAGGGCGACCCCTACACTCGCGGCGTTTCTTCAGGTTTGTCTTCAACAGCACCTCTTCACGAAGCTGCTGCCCTTGCCGCGTGGACCCTTCTCATCGAAGCTTGGAATTCGGATGTTGGGGAGCTGGGAACAGATGCAGATCGGTGGAGGGTTCCAGAGGGTTCCTGTGTGCTTTTTCATGGAATCGAAGGAAAAGCAGAAGCTGCTTGGGGCAAGTCGAGCCATTTTGCCTCGCTTTCCAGGATGGACCCAACCTATATATCTCCACAAGGATCTCCCCAATGCGCCAAAGTGTTTTCTTTTGATGTCCGCATCGAACAAGACATCATCATGCGTCACTTCAGCGACTATCTCTGTCCGAACCTCTGTGTTTTTGAACGTCTTGGGAAACCTGTTGGTGGAGTCCTGGAAAGAAGCAACACAAGCTCATTGCATCATCGCCTCATCTCTTCAAACTTGGCGTCACTGGGTCCACAACGGTCACACGCTCCAAAGAGACATGACGTCCCTGGTGGTCGCTCTTCGACTTCAAAGGGTGCCATGACCCACACGCCACTCTTCCGGTGCGCACATGAACGACTGTGCTTTAGAGTGGCGTTGGAGTTAACGGAGAGCTCTCGGGCTTTAGCAGTTCTTTAGATTTCTTTTTTGGCGTTTCGGGTACCTCGGTTTCGTCCTTCCGAGGAAGTTGGAGGAGTGTGATATCTGGGGCGGCTGGGATGGCTCGCACCCCACGGTGACGCGGCCCATGCAGCTGGACATGCTGCAGGTCTTGGGACGCCTCGTGGAGCGGCTCGGCGAAGACGCGAAGACGCCGAAGACGCGGTGCAACGAACAGCCCGGGTGGGCTGGAAAAGGTTTGGGTTGGTGATCTTCTTGTGAGACATAGATTCTGAATTCTAGGGATGGTGAAGCCGCTTCATTCCCTGCCGTCTTGATGATGTGACGCACGCAAACCTAAGCACACCTTTGTTAGTTTTTGTTGATACTAGAATTCCAACGAAGAAAATCCGTTTGCCCCAGTGCCCCAGACTTGGTTTTCTTTACGCAAAAATCATGGTGTCTGACAGCCCCAGACTCGGACTGCCGGACGAGCGAACAGAGCAGTAGCCTCATCGAACGTTGCCGCATCGAACGTTGCTAGGAGTTCTTTTGTAGCTTCCAAGGAGTTCTGGTCAGTAAGCCCCACATACACAACCTGAGATCTCTCTTTCTCTCTCAATATAACTATATATATATATATGTGTATATTTATATCAAGACAAATTCATCATGTGTAGGCAGAAACTTGTCCATCCTTCCTGAGGCAGGACCTGAGAATACTAGTTGACTGCGGGATGAGTTTTCGATGGCATTTTCCCATCCGGGCTGCCCCCATCCAGCAAGCAGATGTGTTTCCATCGTTTCACCAACACTTCACCAACACTGAGAGGGGCCGGATGAGACGACCACAGATGTGACGACCATATCTTCAGATGTCTCCCTTCCTGAGGCTGTTCGTCTGCGCCTCTTTGGCCCCTTCGCTGAGAAATCGCGTGAATGGGGCAGTCGTGGCGACTGCTTCTAAACGATGTAGGTAGACTTCCACGACTGCTTTTGTTTCATGTGCAGGTCTTGAGTTCCCCTTGATCCTTTTTCGAGTGGGTCATCGCCATGCCTGCCGCAGCCTGCCCCCCCCCCCGCATCTTATCAGTCAAACTGATGACTGATGACCCAAACACATCATCAGCACCCAAAGACGATCACAACCACCTGCATCTCCATTGATCGATCCGGCAGGTTCAAACCAGAAAAGAGTTTTCCCTCAAGCCAATCGGTCGATTGTCTAGGTGATTGGTCGATGAGGAGGCTGATCAATGACTGACACCTCTTTCCGGCCGCCTCCCGATAGCGCCTTCCTCTCAGGAGATGCGTTGCAAGCAGCACACGGCGCGCACCTTTGACGCGGTCAAAATCACGGTGTTGAGCGCCTGCGCCGCCATGGCAGATCGCATCGTGAGGATTTGGCCCATGGACGACAGGCAAAGCCGCGCGAAGAAGCGCGGCAAGCGCGGCGCGCGGGCATGGAGAGCACACTCGACCGACCTGTCTTTTTTCAATGGGGTGTTGGCGGGGGGACACCCCTTTTGAACACGAGGGCCATTGGGATGCAGTGCATGAACAGAGCCTGGCTGTCTCACACGGTTTGAGGGTGTCTCTCTCAGCCAGGCTCTTCAAGAGTGAGGAGAGGCCCTCGGAGCTCACGAAGGCCCTGCACGAAGGCGCTAGACATCGGGTCCGTGAGCGGCGGCATAGGGGGCAGTCACCGGGTAGTTTTTTGGGCTATACGCAGCTAGAGAGACATTCCACATGTTTGTGAGGGAACACTTATTTCCAAGGCATCGTGCCATCCACTCTCCATTTTTCGCGGATAGAGAGGTCACCATGTGCCGTAGAGGTCATCTGGGTGTACCAAGACGGGTCTAAGATACATCCCATATGTGGCTTTGTGCTAGGCTTTGGGGGTCTTCGGGGCACCGGAACGAATGGAGTGGATTTGGCAACTGAGGTGAAGAAGAACCGGAGTGAACCCACTCCTTGGACCATGGAGTAGACTTTTTGACATCGACCATGTTGATCCACACCAGTCCCTTGTCCCGCACCAGTGCCACCTATCCACTCCCAACTCAGATTGCAGTGCTGGTTCAGGCCAGTGCCGGTCAGCCCCACGCGGTGACTCGTCTTGAGACCACAGGTCGTTTCGCCATCGATGCGGCGGCCTTCGTGACGCAGTCTGAAACCATGGAGGCCTGCTTCCAGGACTGGACGTGAAGGGTGCGAGTAAGGCACTTGTTCCTAGTAGCTTCTTGTTACTACTAGTAAGGCACTTGCTCCTAGTAGCGAGGCACCTGTTACTAGTAGCTTCTTGTTACTACTAGTAAGGCACTTGTTTCTAATAGCGTGGCACTTGTTACTACCGCTGAAGTTCACTGAGACGCAGCATGAATGCCATCGTTTTGTTTGCGTTGCTGGAGCATGACTCGTGGCGTTGCGTTGCTGAAGGCACTCTCTGTGAACTCGCCTTCGGGCAACGGTGACACCAGCATTCCTTTTTGAAACGAAGGGAGCGTCCCGAGGAGTTGTCCATCACCCGTGCGGCCAGCGTCGCTTACTTCCACGAGGTGACACAGCACTACAAGGCCAAGACGAAGAAACGACCGGCTTTGGCTCCCGCGACCGGTGGGGTCTGTGGTTGGGAGAAGGTGGCTGGATGGCAGGTCTCGGTGCAGGTTTGGAGCATGATTTTTGTGTTTTTTCTTGACGAGATGCTGAATGTCACGGTCCACTTTTGCTGGTCTCGTAAACAAGAGTGGTGCAGGCCAACAGCTCATCTTTGGTTGAGAATGGTTCTTGAATTGGTCAGGAAAGATCCCAATCAGGACCAGATTCGCTGCAATTCATCCCCGTTTCTGCCTGAGGGGATTTGGCAATTCCTTTTCTCTGGTGGAATTCCTGGGGATGTCCATCCACTGTTTCAGGATCGACAAGCCGAAGATCGACATGTTTAACCCAGAACTTCCATTTTGACTCATGAACTAACCTCACCTGACCTGATAGTCATTCCACCACTTGTTCCTTGAAAAAAAGAGTCACAACTCGGATCTCAGGGCTCAGATCTTTCACTTCCCCACATGGGGTCAATCGCCCGATGTCCGATGACCTGACATCGGCCTGAGTTGTACCGCTGAGAAGCGAGACGCGTTGGCCAAAAGTGCGTGGATGGGGTCGCGGGGTGGGTTTTTCGCGACGGCAGGTGAACTTGGACCGCCGGCGTACGGTGATCTTTGACTATGCCATGCACAAGTGGGGCATGTGGGTGGTAGGCGGGCTGTTGGGCTTGGGAGTGGAGGCTTGATGGACTTCGGAGGCAGACAGAGATTCAGGCTGGTCACTCAAGGTCGCAAGCACGGCTCTTCCTGTGTAGGACACGGCTTGAGTAAAGCAATGTAAATCTAGATAATGGCAATTGAGACCCATTTTTATGAACTAGTTCCCGACATTTCACGATATTTTGCACACAGGAATCACTTAAACCGGGTCGGAGTCCTCGGTTGTGCCGCCGTGCTGCACGGCACGAAAGGAGAGCGGGGCACCATTGCGCTGGTGGAGCGCATGGCGGCCACGAAGCTCTTGATGGATCCAAACCCACAGAATTTGGTGAGTGGCCCCTGGGCTCGACGCTACGAACGTAGTGATCGGACGCTACTACTGTAGTGGCTCCTGGCATTACTACTAGGAACAAGAAGCTACTAGAAAGGGCATCGCTACTAGTAACAAAGGGCACTACCAGTAGCAAATAGCTACTATTTGGTAGCAGTGGCCCCTGGGCTCCAAGAAGCTTCAGCCGCAGTCACTCCAGCCCAGTCAGTCCCAGTCCAGCCAATTTTTGGCCTGTCATCACTGTCATCACTGGAACATCGCCCAGGAAACAACGTCATGATGCCGCACATTTGGCCCGAATTCCGCGCCTATCGAGACATCGTCCCTCGGACGTCTCCGCGCGTTGGACACGTCGTTGGACGTCGCAGGGCGCGCGTCGTTAGAGATCCTCCTGTGGGGAGCCCCCCCCAGCATGACAAAGGAGCCACCGAATTGGAATGCTGACCAGTGGCAACACGTTCGAACTTCACGGAGGCTCCAGCGTCTCTGTGCATGACATTCGTTCTCTTCTTGGCCTCTTCTTTCGTCGACTTTTTCTGGTTTCCTTCGACCGAGTTCGAGGGCAGCAGATTCACATGGAGAACCGTCCTTCCAAGGCAAAGCAATCCACCCGTGATGCATATCAGTTGATTTGCCTACATCCCAGCAGACTCATCCGAGTCATCCTAAGCACCTCCAACATTCACTATCCAATACGAGCACAATTGAATTCATTGTCACATCTCTCTCTCTCTCTCGACATATATATATAATATATATATATACACATATCGATTGGGGTTCGGAGTGCTTGGTAGTTTGTTCCGCTTAGGGGTGAGGCAGTGAGCCAATGCTGTTGAAGTATCATTGCCACACACGGATTTTGTTCATACAGAAAAGTATCCAATCTCAGGATGTTGGCAGCCTACCTCATAGTTCAGGCAATCGTGATTATAGTCACATAAACCGTTGATGGCACCCACCTCACCCACGCCACATCACCCAGACCCGCCTCGCGGTGTCGCACGACGTCATCACGACTGGATCGCCAGGTCTTCTGGTGGAAGTACTTCCTCTGCACCGATGTCCGCGTCTTCCCGGAGCCGCGCCAGTTCCACCCGGCCGAGGCCATCGCCCGGTGGTCCGTGGCACAAGACGACGCCTGGGTGAGGATTGGAGGGTGAGGAGGGTGAGGAGGGGACTGTGGTAGCTTCCAGTTTGTTTCTTGAAGGGGACTGGGGCAATCAAGAAGAATTGGCACAAACAAACATTATAATATATATATATTATATATGACAATGTTACATTGCATCGGTTGCATGCTCGTGACTTGTATTACCCTTTCCGGTTTCGCAGATTTCCTGTGTTGAACAAGGTCATGATTCCACGCCTTTTGCACAGTTATGGGAGCTCCTGTTCTTCTTTTGAAAGGATCCTTGGAGGCTTCTGTGTTTTGATCTTTCCCTTTATGATAGAGGCGATTTCAGTGGCTTTCAAGTTCAACTATCTTGTCCCAAGATGGGCGTGGGTGAATTCCAAGGTCCCTTCACCAAGGTCCTCCGGTTTTGGACCCACAGCAGGAGGACCTTTCTGCCACATCAATTCAATCTCTCCGTCTGTCCAACATGGCGAGACAGCGCTGCCCAGACACCGCTGCCAAGGACAAAGGACGTCAGTACTTCAAAATCACCGCCTTGGGAAAGGAGCGTTCAGACGAAGCGATCGCCCCGTCGTTGAAGCGATAGCCCAAGAACAGCTGTCTGGGATGGAGAAGAGCATGGAATGAACACCGCGCATGGCTGAAGAGAACTTTTTTCTTGACATACCAGGGGAGCTGTGGCAATTCTTGGTTGTTTCAACCTTGCTATCTACATCGGGCTGATATTCTTAAGTTTGAACCATCCCAAACCTGGTGAAACCACCCAAACTTGATGAAACCTTCATGAAGCACCTTGGATCTTTTTCCCTCCGGAGCTCCCTTCGGTGCCTCTCTTCTCTTCGCTTCGCTCTTCGCCGCTTCGAGGACAACGTGGTGTGGCTCAACGAGCGCAATCCCCCGCAGCCGCCGGCGTCCGGGCATCGCTGGCCGTCGCCCGCGCTGCCGGCGATGCACACCAAGGGTGAGGTGCGTCGCTGGGTCGCAGAGAGGTGGGTGCGGTCTTTTTCGAACCGAGGAGAGGAGGAGGAGATGGATGAGTCCGTAGGTGGGGAGGGGCGTGGGGTTTCCAATTTGGGATGTCAAGCAGGTTGAGACAGGCTGCGACCATTGGATCTGCCATGTGGGCAGCATTGGATCTGCTGTCCGTGTGGGCGTGGGGAGCTGGCTTTTAGCGACTTCAACACACAGGGAGGGAACCGTATTGACTCGCATCAATGGCCAACTGCAAAGGCTGCATAGATCTTAGCATACTGCCAGATCCGTGCACAGTATCTTGTTCGAGGGCGGCAATCTCTCATTGTTTTTGGGAATGTGGGCACTACTCCCATTCCGGAAGTTGAAAGAGTAGACTTTGCCCAAGAGTGACCCAGAGTACGTATAAATTAGAGGCTATGCCGCGATATGCGCGATATGTCCCTTTGGATCACACGGAGACGATCGGCCGGGGTGGGCGCGGACCGGTGATCTAACCGACATGCGAACAAGGTACGGAAGATGACCTGCTTTACCAGAGGCAGTGACCGGTTCTTTCGTGCGGAGCTGACCGGTGCAGCAGTTGGTGGATCAAGACTGAAAGAGAGTCCGATCGTTTTGGCCTCTTTGATGCTCTGTCTGTTTCTATTCTTTCAGGCCATTAGAGGTAGATGAGATTGGGACGATGCGGCGATCTCCCCTCTTTTCTGGCTCCCAAACGGGTGGACCGCTCCGCACCGGGAGACCTGGGCATCCCCCCCACGGGCCCCACGGCTCGGAGGTCGTTGCCGAACTTCGCGGACGAGAAGACGGGGCGCCCCATGCTGCGGCCCTCGGACAGCGAGGCGCTCCTGTCGTATCTCACGGCGCCTGGGCGGGACCAGAAGACGGGGCCATCGGACACGGCCGCCATCGGCTGAGCTTGGTCAGTAGCCGTGAACGGCATGAAGACGGGGAGAAAAACCATGGTGTGTGACCATGCGCTGAAACAAGATGTCCCGACCTTCCTTGTGGCAGCGAAAACGATCAAACGATCTCAAACGATCAGAATAGCTGACCTGCCTGATGAAAAGAGCAAACGCATCGTGCGCCATCTTCGTTGCGCGGAAGCCCGCGAGATTTCAAGGGGAAACAGGTGTTCGTCGTGCTGTTCGTCGTGCTGGTTTGAGGGAGGAGACCATCCCTCCATGTGGATTAACGCACCACACGGCCACCGAAGAACATCGAAGAACCGAAAGAAGGAGAGTGGGTCGTGCCCAGCAACGAGGGAGGAGTGCCCAGCGACTTGGGGTCCAGGAAGCATCCGGTGGATGTTGACACTCTTCAGCACCTACCCACCTACCCTGACTATCGCTTCCGACCCACCATCCAACGATGAAAACCCACCAGTGGCACGCCTTCAGCGCTTCTTTGGCATCACTTCACGCCGATCACCATCGATAACCACCAGCACCTTCCAACAGGTCTCCAAAAGGCCCTAACAGGAGGTGCTGGCACATGTTTCTTGAGCCAGGTCCCCAGCCAAACATCCCAACTCCTGACCACGACCTCGATCCGGAGCTCCCTCGTCCCGTGGTGGGCCTTCGTCTCACCCGACAGGTGTTGCTTTCGTCTCACCGGTGGTCCGGTCCGGTCGCGCCCGGTTCCCTCACCGTGCACCCAAGGTGCCCTACCTTCGTCAGCCTTTGCTGCTGAGCTTTTTCACCACACAGGATCGCTCCAATTGCCTGCGCCAGGCGGACTGCATTTTTTCCTCGCTGCGGTTCTTCGGTGCGGTCTGTGGTCCGCCCTCGGTGTGGAAAGAAGGGGCCAATGGTGTCAGGATGGGTCCGGATGGATGGGTTTCAAGACATGGCCTTCATGGTGCCAAAGAGTTCTTCATTTGGCACACAAGCAGAGTGTTTACGCTGCCAATTCGGGAAACACAACTTGTCCTGTGTATGCGATCTAAGTGCTCTCCTGTAGTAGAAATTATCGATGGAAATTAGATACCACCAGCACCTGGTGAAGATAGGTCCCTGGGCCTCAAAGTTGGGGCCTTCTTTGCTTGTCGCCAGCGGCTCTATGGATTCCGCGCCATCTTCTCCCAGTACCGACAGTACCGATCCATCGATTTGCATCCCGACCCATCCGTGCCGACCAGGGGACCTTACAGAAGATCCTTCAAGCAACCATGCTGGAGCCGGGGAGGCTGCTGTATCCCGAGCCTTGGAGTACGGTGGAAGACATCGTTCGAACGACACCTGTGGAAGACGACGTGGCGACACGTGAGGCTTTCCAAGAAGCTCATCAGTCGTGTGACATGTGCATGAAAAGCATATTTTGACTTTAGTCTCAGGTGCACCACTCTGACGCGGTGTGAGTTTGTGGATGAGCTTTGAGATTTTATCCAGTTTAATGCTCACCTCAGACTTCATTAAAGAGAGGACCCCTGTAAAGCCCATCAATTTTGAACAAATCATCTTCAATTTTTGGCGATTCGTCAGGAAGATATGCAGAAGATCCCCGAGTATGTGCCGGCCATCGCTGAAGAGGAACACTTAGCCTCTCACTTGCATCACTGTGAACCTTCCAAACGGCGGTTGAGCAGATAGCTCCGTTGTGAGCGATCTTCTGATTGACATGCACTGGGATGGGAAGAAGCTTTCTCTGGATATGGGTCTCGTTTCTTGACGGCTCCCTGCGGCGATCCGATCACGTGGTGACTTTCCCCCCAAAAGCCATGCGCCTGCAATCCCCTCGCCAAGTCGGACCAGCGATGACCCGAGGTCGCACGACTTCGCGTCACCGGCATGTGGGCCGTCGAAGTCGCAGTCGCCGCACCTGAGGTCGCCTCACCCTTCAGTCAGATCTTGACAGAGCTGTCACACGGCCCCTCACAGATCCTCACCGCTGTTGGAAAGCTGAGCCCTGGCCGAAAACATTCGGACCGAGGGTGGAGGGTCGGTAGGTGGAAAAAGGGCCCGGCCGTTTTGGTGGATGTGTTGGCGTGTTTTTGGCATTTTTCATCGATCTTTTCCGCCGACACCTCTGCCAGGCTTCCCACCCTCAGTTCAGGACGCCCGTGATCACCCAGCTTCGGTCGCCTACTCTGTTCGGTCGCCCTCACTGTTGCTGATTTGTCCTTCATCTTCCGGGTCGAACCAACAAAAACATACAGATCACATCACACATCACAAGTAAGCCCAGCTGACCCGCGCCGCCTTACCTCACCCAGGATGGCCTTGACCTTGAGCTTGGCCACGTCGGTGACCTCCGAGACGGTGCCCGCCATCCTCTTCGCCGTGCGCCTGGCCGTGCGCGTGGAATCCGCCGCCGCGGTGCTCATGGACCATGCCGAGGGCCGTGTGGCGCGCGCGTGGCCGCGGCTCACGGTCACGCCACACGTCTTGGAGGACCGCTATTCGGCTAGTGCCGACAAAAGGAATTCAAGTCTCTATAGTGCTTGAAGATTTTTTTTTGTTTAAGCATTGAACTTGTCCATAGTTTCGGCACCATGGCACTTCTTTTGACTTGCCAACGGCCACAAGCTTGGTTGTATTGGTCTTCTCTAACTTTTCATTCAAACACAGACATTGTGGGGTGCATCTTTGGAGCCATTTCCGCGGAAGCCTGACGTACCAACGTATTTTTTTACTCGCCCAGTCGACTTGGACGTCTTCTTTCGCCATGGCACGTGGACTCCTGATGTTGGCCTTGGCCGTCGCGGTCGTCGCGGTGCTCAACGTGCTCCAGACCGCCTTCGTGGGCTCCTCCCCATCCCGCAAGATCAGCTCCCGTGACCAGTCGAAGGTGTGCCGTTTTCCGGGCGACAAGCAGCTGAAGGACCGCTGGACCTCCGTGGGGAAGACGGGGAAGTTGACCGATGCCATGCGGCTGGTGGCCGCGGCCAAGGTCCGTGCAGCCCAGGCAGGGGTGGAGAAGGCACGGCCCTTCAGCGATGAGCTGCTCTCGATGATCAAGGGTTTGGTGAAGAAGTTGAAGGGCAGTGGCTTGGAGGCGGACTTGCCCATGCTCCGCGTGCCCGACAAGGTGAATAACGTTGGAATCCTGGTGATCACCGCCCAGCGTGGCTTGTGCGGTGCCTACAACGCCTTTGTCATGAAGAAGCTCAAGGCTCGTGTGGGCGACTTGAACGAGCAGGGCATCGTGCCGAAGCTCTTCATCGTGGGAAAGAAGGGTGTCAGTGGCTTGAGGACTCGACTGAACGTCGAGAAGTTCAACTACACCGAGGAGACGAGAGAGACGGGGGGGGACACGAGGTTGACCGAGGAAGACCCGGGGGGGTAGGCCGCTAGAGGTAGGTTAGCTAGGTAGCTAGCTAGTAGCTAGGTAGCTAGTAGCTTAAGTAGCTACTAGTAACTGGACACAGGATAGCTCATGCTTCTTCAAGGAAGCTCCTCCCGCACTAAAGGCGGCAGGGGGAGCTTCCTCGAAGAAGCGCTCGCACTATTCATTTGGTTCCTAGATTGTTACGGAAACTGCAGGACCACGCGACTCCCTGTACTGTAAATACAAAATTCCTCATAATTGAAACATCCCCCGGGCTTTGGACGTTGCATGTGTTGAACATCGGAAGGCCCAACAGCCCAACTGGTCGCCTCGCCTCTCTTGGACGTTTCGGTCTACCCGTCGGGTCTCGAATCGAAGGAGTTCTGGCCCATGCCCGACACCATCACGGCCAAAGAGTCCACAGCCATCGCCGAGACCATTGAGAACTACTTCTTGGCTGGTGAGGCGGGACACAGTCAAGTCTTTCGCTTCTTTCGAGTCGATTCTCCGGAGTCGCCACCGGGACCGCCACCGGGAAGCCGTCCGTGCGAACCGGACTTGGACGCGGTCGCAGCGGAGCGCCGCTCCACGGGCCCAAACGGAGCGTCGCACTGCGCCTATTTGAATTCGATGAACACGGTCCCACAGCGATTTCCACGGCACCGGCGAAGGGAAACAGGCACCAAAATTCACTAAAAGTACTGTATACATCTACTTGATTCCTGCTCTTTCCCGACACGAAAACCTGCCGCGTTTCGCGTTTCGCGTTTGTGCGTTCGCTCTTGAAGACCAGGTGGACAAGATTGAGATCTGCTACTCACGCTTCATCAACTTGATCTCCAATGAGCCTGCGATCCGCACCTTGTTGCCCCTGTCGGCCACCGGACGCCCGGTGGTTTTTTTCGTTTTGGGCGAAAGAACAGGTGACAAAGCGGATGAAACGGGAGACTGATCAATATTTTTACACAGCATATTTAATCCAGTAGATCCAATTCTATAAGACTGATGGATGTTTTTGTTGGGGGGGGCGAGGTCCCTGAATTAAGCCAAGGAATGGAAGATCCGGAGGATGAGACCTTCAAGCTGACCACGGAGGATGGAAAGCTGAAGGTGGAGAAGGAAAAGGTGAAGGCAGCCAAGGCCAAGGAGATTGAAGCAGATGTGATTTTTGATCAGCCACCACAGAGACTTGGCGATCGATTATGGCATGATCGATTTCTGTCTTTTGTTTTCTTGCCCACCTTGGATTTCTGCCACCGGGTGAATTCGCCGCCAAAGTTGGGGGAAGATCAGAAGAAATATTGATAGTAAAATAGAGATAATAACTGGTGTGAGTAACCAGGCTTGCAACCAACCGCTCTGCAAAAAACTCTTCGTGCCACAGCGAAACCAAAACGAAAGGTCGGCTCCAAACGAAATGGCGGCGCACGGGATCGCCCCTTTTTTCTTTGGGCGCTTAAGTTAAAGCAGCTTCGATCGGTTCACCATGTCAAGGTGTCAAGTGCAATGCTCACAACAATAACAATAACAATACCAATAATAATGTATATATACATATAGTCTAAATATGTCTTATTGTTCTCAGGTGCCTCAAGCCGATCCAAGGATTCTCTTGAATTCCATGCTGCCGCTCTACCTGAATTCTCAGCTCTTGTCCTTGCTCTATGATGCCCAGGCCTCCGAACTCTCCAGCCGCATGAACGCCATGAAGACGGCCACCGACAACGCCAAGGAGATTCAGAAGAAGCTCTTGTTGGCTTACAACAAGACGCCTGGATACGCCAAGGATCTTTTGTGCTTCTACATCTACATACATCTATACGCAGTGATATCATTCTTTTGTCTTTCGCTGGCCCCGAACGAACCAGCGAATCCCTCACATTCCGAGGGAAGTCTTCGATCTTTTTCAGATCACTCAAATAAAACTCATCAGTCTTTTCACAGATTTCCTATGGTTTCCTGATGTTCAACCTCTCCTACCTACCTCCTACCCCTCCCTCCAAAGACCCCCTCCGGTCCTCAGGAAGCGTCAGGCCGCCATCACCGCCGAGATCTGCGAGATCTCCTCCGCGGCCAACGCCATCGCGGCCTCGGACGCGAAGGGCGAAGCCGGGCCGAGCCTGGGCGTCATGGACAACGAGGCGCGCGGCACCGAGACACAGGGGAGACGAAGCAGCCGGTCGTGAGAGACGGTGAGACGGACAGAGACTGAAAGTGGATCATGTCTGTCAGACGTCGGACCGAAGTGCCGGTCACTTCACGTGTGTACAGGATCCGACCTCCACGTCTAAAGAATATATTTCCTCGTGTGAGACCATATGGGACCGACGGAACACTAAAGCGCTCCAGTGTCGCCGTTCTGGCAGTGCTTCCCTGCAGGAGAGCGTGGCCGAGGACTTTGCCAAGGAGTTGGCCGGCGGCGATGTGCCTGAGATGCCGGTCTCCTATGACCAAGCCTTGGATTTCGAGACACGCCAGGACTTAATTGCTTCCAAGAAGTGAGTGACCACTGACCACTGTCACCACCGGAAAAGCCCCATCACCCGGAAAGAAACCCCCTGGAAAGCGGGGTTTGAGAGGTTGTGGGGAGGCGGTGGCAAGTTGGCATAGAAAATGGAACAGATTGTGAATGGACGAAGTTGCTGGCAAATCCTCCAGTGGCCTTCATGATTCTCCCAAGGGACCGGCTGCGAGCTTCTCGCGCCTCGCGGCGGCTTCTGCGAAAAGGGTGTGCGTTTGGGCGCCAAATGAGGTTGGTTCGGCTGAATCGCACATGAAACGGATCCCATTGCATCCATTACAATCTACTGTATTCAAAGCTTAGCAGATAGTAGGTCACTGGCAGTCTTGAGTGGAATTACATTCTGGACTCCTAGCTCGCCAGCTTTCAGGATCAACTGTAGGGTGAGTTGCTCCAGATGCCCCGATTTCTCAACGGCCAGGAGTTGCGGCGCGGGCGGGTCTTGTTGCGGAGCACCTTCGAAGGGGAGGCATGAGCATCTTCCTGGTTTCGAGGGGTGGTTGGATGAGGTGTTTTCGGTCAATGATCCATGTGGAAAGAGGTGATCAACACACCTCACTTATTGCCTTATTTAAAGTGTCTCATGGAAGAGATTGGCAGACCACGGAGGGCCTCTCCAAGTAAGGGGTAGAAAGATATCGAACGACCTCTGTAGGTAGGACTTCATTGCCCTCACCTCAGACTTCATTGTGGCAGACGCCATGCGAAGACGCCATGCGAAGACGCTTTTGAATTCAAATGGCGGGTGTGCAATTTTCTGGCCACCTGTTTCTTTTATTTTTCCCCCTCCCTCGAGAGTGCGCATTGAGGTCTAGCCTCGCGTCACTAAAAGGCTACAGAACAAAAGCGGAAGGCTTAAGGGGAGAGCACTTGTGAAACGAGACCAGGTGAAACAATCTAGAAAGCCCGGCGCTCAGAAGCACTTGTCCACGGTAAGAACATGACTCAGTTCTCAGAATCTTAGGCCAGGAGAGTCGAATCGACCCCTGAGGTGAAGTTGGGTGGCGGGTTTAGCTGAGCCATCTCCTGGAACTGGAGACGGTATGAGTTCAGCATGTGCCACAGCGGTCCAGCATTGGGTCCCTGAAATGCCTTTTTTTTTGCCCTCAGCAAAAGACCAAGACATGTGGACAAGCCCTTGGTCCAAATGGGACGGTAGCACCGTCCAAAAACGCCCTTCCATGGCCACCACTTCATCATCCCCCACTCCGCTTTGCCCATCCTCGCAGGTGCTTCCCTGGTTCGACCGGTGGATGGAAGAGCTGGCAGAATCCGCACAGCAGGAGCCTGCGCGCGAGGATGAGTGCAACAGCCTGGCCTGTCGCCTGCACGCGCACCAGGTGCCAGGGATTCGTACACTGAATCCGCGTGGGCGTGCGGTTTTTTATTGGGGGGTGAGGTTTCTTGGTGGTGCGAGCAGGTGCAAGAAAGTCGGCTTTTAGGTCTTTAGATTGTTAGATCCTGTTTTCCTCCATTTTCTTCCATGCGAACTGGTGAGGTTCTGGTGCTCCGGAACGTCCCCACCAGCGATTTCGACTCAGAGCGCATCAAGCGATTCTTGTCCTCCTTGACCTACCTGTCCTCGCATCACACCTTCAACCAGGCGGGACTTTGTTTCGAGATCCGTCAGGGATTATGGCCAGAAGGACAAACAAATTCCATGAGATAGCCGCATTCATACATTTTTGACATATGTTTTGTGGATTTGATCCCCCCCCCCACATCTCGATGAACAACTACTCTTAGCGCGCTAAAGACCGGCATCCATCGGCATGCATGCCTAACCAAGGGTTGAAAAGACCCAGCATGTTCGAAAGGAAAAGGGAACCAAAAACCCAACATCCTCGCTCCGGGATTGTTCCCTTCTCGCGAGACATCGCGAGACGACGCCGTCACGAGAGACACCCCTGGCCGTGGCCCAGGAGCGTTTGGAGGTGCCCGAGACCGAGCTCTTCGAGGCTTTGCATCTGCACCGGCGCTTCATGGTGACGTGATTGAAGCGGATCTCTTGGATGGCGTGGATCGTTTTGGGAGATGTTCTTTTGGATATGGGTGAAGCATGTGAATCCCTTTCTTTAAATTCACTGAAATTATGACTTGAATTGACCTGGAAACCCAAAGAACGTCACAGAACCAGAAAGAAGTGGTTGTTCCGGGCACTGGAGATCCTTTACGAAGTGGTTGTCTGTGGAACCATCTCATGGTGTTTCTGGTTGCTGGGGTAAACAGCTATCAGCGTATTGAGCGCTACCGCGCCGCGGCCCTCTCAGGTGCGGTGGCTCGTGGAGCAACGGCGGGTGAACGCCTTGCAGGGCTTCAATTCGGTGTTGCGCTCATGTCACCATCAGCTCTCAGCTTTGGGTGCTTCGAAACCGAGTGGGGAGTCGTTCTGGAGATGCCACGGTCGGTCGGGGGAGAGGGTGCCTGGTTTCGGCCGGTGGTCGGTTGGGTCTCCTGGCCCTCCGTGGATAGCCGTTGGTTCATGGTTCGGTTGGAGTCGGTCAATGGCCGGTGCCGGTGTTCAACGCCCAATTCATCTGGCAACATGGTGTCTTCTTCGTAGGGCGAAGCGTGTCAACCATTGGTCACCATTGATTCCGAACCACCCCGTGAGATGGGAAGTTGCTTGGGAAACGATGGCCTATCGTCGCCGGAGCGAGCGATGGAGCTGTTTCGTTTGGTGTTCTGCCCCTGGGAGGTTGGAAGAGCTGAGGAGGAGAATAGTGGTTGGAGAGCCTTCCTTTGGAGGCTCCAGGCAAATAATTTCAAATAATTCTGGACCAACATAGGTGTATCTGTGCTCCACTTCATCTTGCCAGTGTTGAAGAAACACGCCAGCTGTTCGATGGGTGGATCGGATGCTCTTCCTTTTTCATGGGTCTTCTACCACGCAGTTTCTATCTTCCAGTTCTTTTTTAACAGTCCTTCCATGTCCTTCCTCCCAACCCCCAAAATCGAAAAAGAAAACCGCCTCACCCTGTTCCACCCTCCACCCTCCACCCTCCACCCTCCACCCATCTCGCTCCATCCTCTCCCGTCCTCTCGTCTTCGACAATCCGACCCAAGGTGACACTAGCGCCGACACCTCGAGCTTCGAATGGGTCTGCGTGGGCGACGCCTCCGAGTACGAGGGCCGCTTCGGGGTGCTCTCCGAGGCGGCGCCCGACAAGGAGGCCCAAGGGGAGGCGAAGGAGAAGGAAGAGGCGTAGCTCGGTGGCAAAGGGAGTTTATTTTTGGAGGCCAGGCTTGAGGTTGGGGTTGGGTGTGCCATGTTTTGTTTGATGATGGTTTTAGGTTGGGGTTTACAATCTTAAAAATCAAGCTGTTCCTCAGCCTGGTGGAGATAGAGAATGGTGGAAGAGGTGAATCAGAAGCCTTTGTTTTGGGTACTGGAAGTGTTGGACGCGGGAACTGCCTTTTTCTTTGAGTGTAGTGTTGGTTCTCTTGGCACTGGAGGCATTTGCGGAAGAGGGTTCGAGAAAGTGCCAAGTGAGTATAGAAGTGCACGGTTCATTGTGGCAAAAAAGAAGGACGCACGCGGCTGCCCTTCCAGAAATATATCCTTTCCAGTAGATCCGTGTTCAGACAGATTTGGGGTCATACCACTCCCTGTGCACAATTTCAGGTCGATCTTGAAAGGATTGGATGTGCAGATCTTGTTTCGGCTTCCAGGCTCCAGGGGGTTCTTCCTCCTCTTCCTTCCCAAAGGCTTCCACCGGGTCCTCCGCGGACGTCCGGACCTCCGGACCTTTTCGTTGAGGTCGAAGCCCGGCATCAAGACGGTGAACGCCTCGGACGCCTTTTGGATCGAGCTGAACGTGCAACTCCTCCAGGTGCCGTGGATGTTGCAAAGACCGTTGGCACGTTGCAAAGGAGGAAGGATCTGGACCAGCGTCTTTTTTCTTTGGGGGTTGGAGGAATCTGTGGATTGGGGGTGGGGTCGGTTGGGGGTCGGGGCTCTTGGTGGATTTCGTCTCCGATGGGATGGGCTTTAGGGAATCGGTCTGCGTTCAGCCGGAGGTTGGTTCAGTTCAAAGATGCGACAGACTTTTGCTCGATCGATTCTTGCTCGCACACCCCGCAGACTGACCTCGCAGTTCGAACGAAGCTGGTGGCTGTCGGCGGCAATCTTGGTGGCTGTGGGTCAAAAAAACCACCTGACTCAGCTAGTTCGGCTCCTGGTTCGGCTCCTGGTTCGTTGATCGCCCGCAGGTTGGGTCCGTCTCGGCTTTTTCTCGGAGAGCATGCCGTGAGGTCACGGTGCGAGGCCGTACCTTGGTGCCCTTGGAGGATTACATCTGGAATGATGAGGAGAGAGGGGGACATCGGCAGATGTGAGAACATCTATAGTCTTATATAAGTCCATTCTTTTGGGTTTCCACCAAGCGGTCTGAAAACACTAGAGAAGCCTTCTCCGGTCGAAGCAATCGTTCCTGACTTGCCCCGGAGGCAGATTGAAGAACCGTGCAAAAACTCACCTTTTGACCAATGTCGCTGGAAGCGCCTTCTGGCTTGGAGATGAAGTCTGCAAGATGCCACTTTGGGGTCGTAAAAGAATCCCCATCAAGCAATTTCAGAAGAGCCGTTTCCAAAGTAGCCAGGGTGAGCAAAAGTACCAGAGAACGATAAGAGGAAATAATCCGATGGATGACATCACCTAAATAAATGACTATTAAATGATATACGATTGAACACTTGCATTTCATGTCCAGAAGCACCAACAGGGGCACAATAAAGGCCCAAGATAACTGTAGTACGGGGCCCTTTGGGGGTATCAGCACAATAACAGGACAACAGCACAATGACGGTGGGTAACAATATCCTCTCAGATGAACGATGCCCCCCTCCCTGTTTCTTCTTTTTTTTTTTTCTTTTCTAATCATGTTACCCAATATATACACGTCCCAAACCTTGAAACGCGATAATTCAGTTTTGGTTATGGCAGAATGTCTCTTTTTTGCAACCCCATTTCCTGTTTCCGAACGCACGTCTATCGCTTCTGGGCTTTGGCGAGTAGCACGGGAGTGTTTCTTCACCATGCCCACGTCGGCTTCCGCGACGTCCAAGATCTCGAAGAACTAAGAAATGCGAACGTTTTAAGTATGTATGAAGTACGGACTTGGCCACGGCAGCAGCCGAAATGTGATCTACCACGTGTTCTTCGTCTTCTTTTTTGCAAGTAGAAAAAAGAGATAGAGGCTCCAAAGAAGCACACGATTTTCTCCCTTTCATGCACCTGCTCGCACCTGCAAGCCAACAGATTCGTGTGTTTCCACACGTGGACTGTCCACGTGGTGTCACCGCCAGGACTTCAAGCACGTCTTTGTCTCGGAGTTGGGTGAGAAAGGTGCCATGCAGAAGACCACGGTGCAATGCTCCGCGCTGCTGACCTCCTCCAATGCCACCGTGCGAGAACTGCTGAGTATTCCGCTCCTCGTTGGGACGAAAACAAAAGAAGGGACGAGTTTGGGACGAGTGATCTTCCTCTTGGGTGGGGAAAGGGCGCAGACCTGTGACGTTCCATGACTTGCCGAACTGTCTTAGAGAGGTTTGCAGAACGGTCTTAGATGACATTGAAGCCGATAAATGGCCGTTTTGCCTTACCGAAGGTGTTTCATTTTACCGAACCCTTGTACCCCCGGAATCCCAGAAGCGTTGCACCGTTTCGCCCACAAGCCCAAACGGCAAATTTTCTAAAGTACAAGCATGCACATTCTTCACGACTTGGTCGTTTCTTCTCAAATAGCAAACACAAGCCTTCAACGCAGAGATCTTTCTTCTAGCAGTCTTTGAACATGCATTTGCGCGAGTTGATTTCTGTTGTATTGTTGCATGGATCTTCCTGAGAGAAGAACCTGTGATGCCAATGTTGAAGAACCGTCTTCGGCTTCTCGGGGCTCCGGACCAGGTTCCGAGCCACCTACTGGTCCTCGAAGCCTGCGAATTTCTTGCCTTTCCTGGATGAGTGGGAGTCTTGTGCAAAGCTCGTGGCGAAACCGATCACTTCTCACTTCGATCACCAACTTCCCCCCTCCCGCAAAAAGACTACTAATTATATTAATCACTCTTTGCATTTCAGCAAGGTCTGGGCAACAAGGAACATTTGTGTTGGCAAAACCCTGGGTTTCTCAGTCACACGATTCACCAGGATTCACCGTGATTCACCTCTACAAGGTCGTGCACCTGCTTCGCCTTTGAAGCAGGGGTCGAACAATCCTTTTGAGGTCGATTGAACATCTGAAGGGCATCGAGCCAATTTCAGGGCTTCAATAGGAGTCGAGTTGCGTCAACATTTCTGCTCCAAGCCGCAGAAATCTGCTCCGACCTGCAAAGGCCGCCCATGCAAGGGCCGCCCTACCGCCAGTCCAATCTTTAGCCCTACCCGGTCCTACCTGGAAAAGGGCGGCCAGACGAAAAGGACTTGGCCCGTGGTTCCGGCTTCGGCTCGGCCGGCCGGTCTCCCCGGCTCCTTCAACCTAAGGACCGGTTGTACGACGTGGAGGACTTGGAAGAGGACGAGTTCTGGATCGCTGAGCTCTTTGAACCGGTGAGGAGGCAATTCTTCATCCCGCCGCCACCGCGAAGGCCACCCTTGTGGTTCATGAAGGATGAACCCATCCCGGGGGACACCACGGTGGTGCAGCTGATGGGGGTTCATCAGGAGGCCAAGGCACGTATCTGGAAGGAGGCGCACGGGCTTGGTGGAGCTGGTGGAGCTCAGAAGGGTCGTGGGTGGCGTGGGTGGCGTTTCGAGAGGTTCATGCAGCGGATGAAGCTGCCTGAGTGCGAAGCAGGTCAAACTCCCTGACATTGTCCATCTAAGGCAGACACTTCTCAGTTCGGAGAATGCCTGCTGTTTACTGTAAAACCACGAGAGGAAACAGATGGAAGACATCGATTGCCTTTTCCCTATCAGATACGCGTCGAGTTCTGCAGAGTTCTGCAGAGCTTAAATTCTGGCGGGGTGGGTGGAATTTGTGAGAAGTCTTGCATTGCGTTGGATTCTGCTGTCGTTCACTCGTTCACTCAGGAAAAGCCTTAGTCAGATGCCGCTCATTTTCAGCTGAGCAGAACCCCAGAACGCGACCTTTCTACCAAACCATGGGAGTTGAAGGAAAGAATCCCGTTTACATTATATTTAATGTTTGAACACGACGTTTTCCACCAAGGTGGTCTTCCCACGGAAAAACCAACATGCTGCCACATGCTTTTCTGAAAATGGGGGTGGTTTGCATAACGGTCTTCAGGTGCATCTCTTCAAAGAGCGCCGCATGATCCACATCTATGCATTGAGGTGCGGGGGTGCGAGACGAAGATTTGTGCCCAGCTAGCTGTAGGTTGATTGCAAGACCTGTGTCATTGAAGAAAACATTCAACAAAGTGAGATAGATAGATAGATAGATAGATAGATCGATAGATAGATAGATAGATAGATAGATAGATAAATAGATAGATAGATAGATAGATAGAGAGAGAGAGAGAGAGAGAAAGAGAGAGGACACGCACACATGAGATTCTTGTGGGCATCAATTTGAACTACACTATGACCTCGGAGAAGATTCGCAGACCAAAAAGCAGCTTTCGATGAGTCTTCTTCCGATCTTCAATCCCAAGAGCCCACCGTCGAGGGCGCTTGCCGATCAGTTCATGGAAACGAAGGGGCCCGACGCTGCTCAGGGCCTATGGCCACCAACTGTACCGACAGTTGGAATATAGCAGCAACGCCCGGCTCTGCATGCGAGAACTCCAGCCATCTCTGGATGACCGTGAGCGGCCATGGGAATTGTGGGCTCGCTACGAGGCGCTTGTTTCGCTGTTCTCTTTTACTTTTTCTATCTTCTTTGGAGGCACGCGACACGTGATGCGTTTCAGACTTTGAGGGGAATCCTATGCCAAAAGAAAGAGGGAACGGCTCACAGTCACTCAGCCACCAAGTCAGGATTCTTGGTCCCATCTCCATGTTTTTGGGACCAAGCAATGACCTTCGACCAACCTTCCAGGCGGGAGGCTCCAGCTGCGACTTGCCGGGGCACGAGAACAGCACGACCATCTCCCGCACCTCCGTCAAGGGCATGTGCCTCCGCGCGAGGGAGGAACGAAGAGGAGATGAGGGGGGAAAACCCCGTGGTGGCCAGGGGGACCTGAAAGGAGGATTCATCCGTCGGTTCTGGATGATTTTTAGTCGATTCCTTCGTGATGGGTCTCATGCTTTTCGGGATGTTTGAGGTGAACAAATCAGCAGGAGGTGCTAGAATTCATGCGGTGCTGCACCAACGCACCCCAATGTCAGGTTGGATGAAACACTCACAGACCGGTTAACGTGCTTGTCATTCCCGAACCTTGGTGTGTTGTCAAGTGACTTTCCATCCCCAAAAGCGGCTGCCGCTTCTTTCAGTGCATGGAAGTTCTGTAGAACTATGTCCTGACTGGACCTCCAGTTCCGGTCCAGACTTCCAACGATGGGCCCACCTTCCCCCTCCGCCCCCTCCGCCCGCCGCAGGTTGGGCTTCGGCACAGAGGTGGATGGTCAGAGCGATCCGATGGACGACCCCGAGGCCGGACACGACGGAAACGAGGGGGGTCCGAAGGGGGCATGAGGCCACCGGGGGGTTGGGGGGGGTTGAAGAACTGGTGGGGGTGCCGGAGGTCGAGAGGTGGCACCGAAAAAGGTGGCTGTTGTTGGGGTTTGGAACGGAGATCCGACCAAGACATGCCAGCATTGAGGTTCGGTGTTGTTTTCTACGATGCTTGGAGGTGGGCCATTTCGTTGGAAGAAATTCCAGTGGAGAGGTCGCAGAGGTGATATAATGTAGACTCTTGATTAGTAACCCCAATTTGAATTGGACATCCTCATACAGAGTTTCATTTGGATTCATCATATGGGGTGTTCATTCATCCAGAGTCTACATTGTTTCGAGCTGATTTTTGGGCCCTCCACGTCGGAAAGACGTTGGCAGTGCTGCGTGTCTGTCGACAAGTCCAGCGACTCCAGTCCGACCGAACTGAAACGGAGGTCGGGACGGAGCCCCTAGGAATGTGGAAGTCTTTTGCCAAGCACTTTTCTGGGGAGAATCTCATCCATGTTTTCTGTGTATTTCAAGGTGAATGGAATGCATCCCTGGCTTCGGCCCGGTCTGTTCCGCCCATTGCTCACGTTTGAAGTTTGGAGTTAGAGTCGGAAGAAAGACCACCGAGTTCCACCCAGACCGCGTGGTTTCCCCTCCCTCACGCCGACTTCCATCCTTCTCACCCAACGGCCGGCGCCGCCCGCACCCGCCGCCGCAGGAGTGGGACGACAACGATATGGGTGCCGAGCGGAACACGGGTGGTACGGCCAAAGACGACGAAGAGGACTTGGACGAGGATGGGACTCTTGGGCCAAAGAGGAGGATCCTGGGGGGTCTTCGAACCGGGTCGCACCCGTCCCAGGCGGTGTCTCGCACCACTCGGATCGATCGAGGTCGAATCGCGACGCTCCATCGAAGAGCGAGAGTGGAGTGGACTGGGTGTTCGGGAGTGAGACCCTCCGTCCGGAGAGTTCCATCCGATGCCGCGCTCGAGCGCAGCCGTTCAATGGTTTGGGTGGCCACCCAGCGCCCCAGAAGGAGTTGCCATCCGTTGGTGGTCGCCATGGAACACATGTGGAACAGGTGCTTTCTTAGGCGCACGGAGATCCCGGTCGTTCCGTCTTCAGGGCGACGGAACCGAGAGAGCGCACTGCGGAGAAGAGAAAAGGATATGAAAGGATCATAGTTGGAGAGAGCGAAAGGAAGCACACAGAACCCGATAAACCTGATCATGCAGACATGCAAGCAGGGGACCCCCGACTTATCATAAACCGAGGTCTTCGGGGGTCTCTTAACTGTGCAGACGATGCCGACAGGTCCTGGACGAGGTCTCCTGATCGTCGGAGACCCTCGAACCCGAGGGACTGAGAGAAGCTTCGTCGATGTCGACCGTCGGATGTCGAGATGAGGACACAACTGGACATCCAAACACTAGTAGCAGAGCCACACACACACACACACACACACGGTGGGCTCATTTGGTAGATGTTTGCCACAGTGAACTGGTGTCCCCTGCTTCCCGTACCCAAAGTGTGGATGGTCTGGACCTGACCTAACGATCGAAGCAAATCAGCCATGAACCGCAACGCTGCTTCCCGGCCTCTCCTTCATCCGGGATTGCTGGCGTTTCGCCATGAACCTCCTGAAGCCCAAAACCTTAAACACACGTTCTACCTGGTAGGTTCACGCACTGAAAGTGACTATAAAGTAGATATTCGTGACTAGTCACAAGAAGCTTCTAGTAACAAGTGCATCGCTGCTAGTAACAAGTGCCTTACTAGTAGTAACAAGAAGCTTCTAGTCACTCACTCTCCAGCGCTTGCTATCTCGACCGCCCGAGGATCCAACGTCGACGGAAGCCTTTGCGCGGCAGCTCTGCGGAGATACAGCAGGTCTTCTGCCGGAACGGGCACGAGTGACTTGGTGATGAAATGACATGTAGGATAAATTGTATTTGAATACTGAGTATTGATGTATGATGCATGTCAGTTAGATTCGTTAGATATAGCTATAGTGCATTAATTATGTATACTGTGATTAGTCATATAATGTTCTAGATAAAGTCACCCCAAAGAAACAGAGAACGGTAATCAGCACTTGAAGATGTTTTGGACAGAGTTTCCTCTACCAAATGTGCCTGTTCCACTTTGTTTGTCCCTAGCCTCAAAGGGTACAGGATTTGAAGCTGTTCTCTTTACACAAAGCACATCACTAACATGGCTCTCTTTCTTTTTCTCCCAGGAACAAGGAAGAACCTGTGTGAGTTTGCTGAGGAAGAAGGAGGGTTTGAAGTGAGTTCTCCATGTCCAGGTTGCAACCTGAGAAGAAGAAGTCCAACCGATGCAACTTGTGCGGCTGCAGCGGCACCGCCTTCCGGTGTCGAGACTGCGACTATGATTTGTGCGAGCCGTGCCAGAAGAACATGGCCCGCAGGGTGATGGTGAAGATCCTTGGAAAAGAATGGGTGGAATCTGGTGTGGACGGACGGGATCGCTCGAAAGCGAGCCAAACTGGCCAATTCAAGCTGCTTTTGTGTACAACTATCATTGATCAAGCTACTCTCCAAGCAGTAAGCCAGCAGCTAAAGTTAACATCTCCCCCTGAAATTCAAATGACAATTATCCTTTTCTTCTTTGATGGTCCGCATCAAAGGAGAAGCCAAACCTATCTGCCGCTCCAAGAAGTATCAACATCACATAGGTATTTAAGGGGCAAGCCTAGACCAGCCACTTTGCAACAGGCAATATCCATAGCGTTGCCCCCAACGCAGGATGTGCGTTTCCTTTGCCTCTCTTCAGTCAACTCTTCACTGCTTGGTTTGTCTGAAATGTGTCTTGGTATGGGACAAGTACGTGATAATCTTTTCAAGAGCATTTGATGGTTTTCATGCCACCGCCAAGCAGCGAGAGAGACCTGCGGCTGTGATCAATTAGTTGCTGCCCTTCTCGGCAAGTCCGGACAAACAAATTCTTCTCTCTCTCTCTCTCTCTATCGAATCTATCGAATCTATGAATGAATGAATGAATGAATGCAATCAGTCGATCACTCAAGCAAGCATTCAATCTAAGTCGAAGCCGCCCGAAGCTGAGGTTCCAGGAAGGAGATCGGATCCTCATCAAGGGCGGCGGCTACAATCGCAAGGACGGTGTTGACTGGCGCTTCTGTGGCTCGGCGCAAAAAGGTGCACCGTGGTGAGAGACAGGTGGTGGAGGGTCTCTCCGCCCGGAGGGAGGGAGGGAGAGAGAGAGAGAGAGAGCCTAATAGAGATGGCCTCCAACCTAATAGAGAGAGAGAGAGAGAGCAAGGTTTTGGGTTTGGTGGCTGATGACGGTGCCAGCTCGTTGCGTGAAGTGGGTGTTCCACTTGTAGCTAAGTGGGTCTACTCGTGCTCCAAGTAGTTGATCTCACTTCACTCCCGGTTTGTTGATGGATGTCGCCCTGTCAGACTCGTCTGGTAGACGAGGCTTCTACTCGGGCAACGATTGTATCTTCTCCTTTGCGCCCTGCACCCAGCGGAAGTGCATCCTCCGGCACCTTGGTCTGCGGATGTCCGCAGGGGTGGAGGGTGTGTCCATCTCCCTGATTATTCTTCATCAAACACGCAAGTGGATTGCCCCTTGGGGCACCCTTTTCCTCTAGAAACGGGGATGTCTTCGCTACTCTGTGCCACATCCACGATTCATCCTTGGGTGGACAATGGTGGACATGACCACATCTCGAGGGCAAAAAGAAAGGAGGTCACAGCCGAGCTGTGTTGTGTTTGTTGAAACCAGTTTCGCATGCGATTTTGACAGGTCCTCCAGGCCGAAAGCAATTTTGTGGGAACCACCTCCCCAGCCAAGCTTTAGAGCATGGGGGCCCTCACACCCAGCTTTCTCCGCAAGCCTGTGACACCTCAGGTGACCCGGCATGGAAAGTCCAAAGAAGAGCATCACGCTTTCATTAAAAGCCGCTATATAATAGATTTAACCTTCATCAGGATGGTTTGGTATTCCAAGCTGGTGAAGCATGGTTTAGAATTTAGAGGGCTCAGAATTCTGGGATGTGGACGGCGACGGGTGAACAGCTCCGGATCTGCGGCTTGTACACGCCGATTCTGCCAGGAACTCCCTCATTGATGGCAGCAAGGGTTCTGAGAGCCTCGCGGGGATGTTCAGCGGAGGGACGTGCATAGAGGGGTTTGGAGAGGTTTAGAGGTGCTACTAGTAGCGATGCACTTGTTACTATATAGTAGCTTCTTGTTACAGTAGCGATGAGTTACTGAACACCATGGAACATGCACGTGCATAAATCTCGATAGAACTTGTTTCCTCTACAACCTGAGCTCTTGAAAGACCTGCCCATGGAGCTCTGCAACTGAAGGTGACACCACAATCGTTCAACGACAGATGCCAGATTTCTCCAAGACTTTTTTTCCAGGGCTTTTCCTTCCAAACCTCCGGAGTCTTGGCTCCTTTTTGTGGGAGTGCTTGGTTTCGCTGATATGCTGTGGCAAAATTCGGGTCACAACAGGAGCTTCGACGTGTGCCGACGTGTGTCTGAGAAACCGACTGGGACCCACAGACTGGGCGTCAAGGCCCGCGCGTGTAAGCCGCACACCAGTGAGGGGTCCGACCGGTTCACCGGTGCCGCCGCTTCGTGCTTCTCAGGATCCGCACCGGTGGGTGCCCCTTGGGCACGGAGGCCGACAGCTTCTCGGTGGCCTTCGAGAAGAGCGACGAGGGCTTCGAGCTGCGGATCAACGGCGAACGCCAGGCGCGGTGGATGGATGGGATCTGATGCATACCAGTCCACCATGGAGCGAACGACACGTCGGTAGGTCAAGCGGTCGGTCTCCTGGTGGCACCAACAGAGCCAGATAAGGATTAGTGGATGATCAGTGAGTGAGGGCAACCCACGACTCAGCTATGACCTTTTCAATGATACACCTCCCGTGGAGAATGGTGTGAACGATTGCGGAGGGAGTGGAGGAAGTCTCCCCAGACAGCTAGCAGCTAGCGATGTGCGAGTTGAGGCTTTTGCCCTTTGCCCCGCGGGTCATGGCTCCTTAGTCAATGAGTCTTCTTCAGTCGGACTTGAGGGATGCAGGACAGCTGCTCCTCCTGCCCACATAGGGGGAGAAGTTTTAGAGTCTCTTGATAGAACGTCACTGGTTTTAATATGTTTCAATATTTACTATTATTTGCTATGCTGAAAACTACCCAACAGTACGCCTTATAGCTTTATAGTGTTGAATTTCTGTTTGGAGCTGGATTGGGCTGGGTCGTCTACATTTCTTTGAGAATTTTGAGGACCACCAACATCAACTCTTGATCCCTTCGCGTGTTTTTTTGGGGATTATGGCGTACATTAGGTGTGTATGTACTTGCCACGTGCTCTGACTCTGATATGTGGCAACGAGGCGGTCCATGGGCCAGCACCCTTCTGAAACGCGATCACTGACGCGTATTGTTTGACTGATTTCCCAAGTCGCTGGAAATCCAACAAGGTCCTGTTACCGGGGGGATCCTGTTCTTGGTGCACTAGGAACAAGATCGGAACCACCGCCCTAGACATTTCACGGCAGTCAGTGAACACACATCACTTACTCGAAGTGTTTGATGGAAGGGCGGAAGTGTTCGATCCCTTCGGCACAGCACCACCGATTCGTCCAACCGATTCGTTCACCGTTTGACCGGTCCGACACCTCGCGACCAGACCGACACCTCGCGACCGATGGGCAGGTGGATTTCGACTTCCCGGACCGCTCAGCGGAAGCGGTGGATGCCATCGGCTTCGACTGCCGCGCGGGCGCCATCAAGGAGCATGTGTGGTATGGTGGTATGGTGGTATGGTGGTATATGACACATGGAACCGGAACCTGGAAGATGTGGGTGGGTTTTTGTGGCTGCAAGATCTGTTGGTTTGTTCCATGCGGGGGGGTGGGAGATGGGAAGAAGAAGACGGGAGGAGGAAAGGATTCTTTCCAGGTTTTGGTTGGATTTCATGGGTGTTTTGTCCTTCACGAGTGGTTTGTGCAATGCCGGGGGATCATGGGTTCTTGCATGTGGAATGAGGGACGGACCTCATCCGATGGAGGTCCTCTCATCCGATGGACGTGTGGTGCCCGGGGATGGAGGGCTTCGGGGGTGTCTTCGGTTCGCCGAACTCGGTGGACGAATGGCTGGGGTTCAGATCAGGCAGGGTGGGGTGGGTGGGGGAGAATTGGAAGAGTGCATGAGATTAGGAATGTGGTTTCAAGCAGCACTTCCATGGACGGATGTTGATCCATGAACAGGGCGAGGACCAGGCCTCACAAATGAACACCACGCATGCACTACACCACGCAGTCGCAATTTTGACTTTTCAATTCCGCGGACATCAAACCGCCTTTTTGGCTGAAGAAGGTCTCAGGAACTTCCCTTTTTTTTGCGGTGCAAGAAGGTCTCAGGACCTGCAAGGCTGCATTTAAGCAGAGACGCCTAGACACCAAGCATTTTCAACTGGAAGGCTGCTTGCCTCCACAGACTGCTCGCGGGTGACATTCCTCTGCGCCACGGGAGACCGTGACGGTCGCACGTCGAAGACGTGGACCGTCCTCGCAGGAGATGGAGATGTTCCACGACCGTATGCTCACAGAGAAGAGCCCCTTCGAGAGGATGATGGAGGTCCGGCAGACAATGTGCTTTTTCGTCCACTTGCTACTCTTTTCGACTTGTAGTTGAGAATGGTTGTACACCGAGCTGAGATTGTGCTCTGCACCCCACAGAAAAAGAACCAAAGCACCAAACAATCGGAGCCCATCGCCTCTTCAGGCCTGAATCTCCTTGCAAGTCCATCAGTGTCTTCCAAACCCCCAAATTCCGGGAGTTTGGGGAGTTCCTTTTGCTTTCCACTCGGTGCGTTTCGGTGGGTTCTCCCCCCACCGTGACCTTTCCTCAGTTCTTGGCTCCAGGTGGGCGAGCAGTACCTCCCGCGCCGGGTCTTGTGGGGCCTGCTGCCTGAGGCGAGGGATGCACGGTGCACCACGGGGCGCCACGGGGGGAGTCGGTAGGCAGGAAGTAAGACGGATTATTCCATCGAGATGACGCAGGTGACATATGAGGACCATCGGGGACCGATTTAAGGTCCGAATCTGGAGGAAGACACTTGTCCTGTACATGGCGGCATGGCGATGGTCACGTGGAAACCCGTCCGCCCCCAATTGCTCCAATCGTTCGTCAAGCGACGTGAGGTCTGTATTGTAAAGGGCTCGGGTGTTCCACGGCTGCTCGGTCTAATGATCCGTGGCGGCGTTGAGGCCTTGTTGGAGGACTACAACTTCTACCAGGAGAATGCTCCACCGCACCGCTTGATCCGTGGCTATCCCGCCAAGGGTCGTTGGCCCAATGAGAACGAGGAGGAGGACTTGTTGGAGGCGGACTCCAGCAACAAGAAGGCTGGAGAATGGTTCCCCGCCCATATCGAGGTCCAGCTGGGTCCCCAGCTGGGTCCATTCCTTAGGTCCCCTTTTCAGCAGCTCTAGGGGGTCCAATTCATGGATCATGGATTCTCCCATCCTCCAGAGATCTCGCTCACCCAGCTGGCGTCTTTTTGCATGATGCCGAAGTAGCTTCGACGAACTTCGTGTGAAGTAGCCCAGTCAGTCAGGTGGATCATATTCTGATCGTCAAGCTGGTGCGCATCAAGAAGGTCCTCTGCACCGGCTTGCGTGGCTGGGGCGCCGTGGTGATCAAGCGCTTCCGCGACAACATGGGACGTCCGGACCTGCGGCTCGGTGGAGACCGGTCCCATCGGGCGTGCACGGTTGAGGGACGAAGGTCGGGGAGGGTAGGGTTTAGGGAAGTGGAGGTGGATCCTGTTGAAGGTTTTGAAAACAGATCTGGTGAGGGACTGTTATGTAATACCCTAGAAGTCGAAGCACCATTTTTAAAGTAGCCTTTGCCGAAGAACCATTGTTTTACTATGTTCTAGGGTCATATTTATTGGGACCCGGGAATTAATGGGTGTTGCTGAGCTTTAACACCTCGGTGGAAGCCAATGTGCCTGGGAGTCCCAAAAACCGGCTTCACGGCGTTTCGAGTCGATGAACCGGAACCGGGTCAAAGCTGACGACCCATCCACACTTAGTCACAGGTTTTTCTCCCTTGAAATGGATCTCTTTGCGATCAGTGTGATCAGCTGTTTTGAGGTACTTGTTGGATCTGCTTCACACGAAGGCTGGAACTCCCCTGCACCAGCTGGCCGATGCCTTGGCACGTGCGGAGAACTTGTCCTTCATCCTGGCCTGGACGGCCATGAACCCCTGGGAGGCTTGGAACAAGTCCTGCGAAGGAGCGCAAATGCTTTGGTTTTTTGAGGAGCGAAGAGGGGAGAAGGAGGGACAGGCTCTGTGGTTTTCAGATACTTTCAGTAAGTGAGGAAGGTGGACCTACCAGAACACTTGAAAAGGGGGGTGACTTCACCTCATCATAGTTCTCTTGAAGTGTTTTCGTTGCAGGTCCAAACCTCTTCCGCCCCGACTCCGCGCGCGCCTCTCTCTCTCTCTCTCCGTTTCCCTTGGAGGTGGGCGACGGCTTTCTGCGGGTGGAGCGCGTGGAGATGCCACGGCTCCAGCTCACCTGGGACGTGCGACGCGGGCCGACGCTCGGCTCGAGCCGGATCATGGGTGACGGGAGCATGGGAAAACAGGGGGGGCTGAGAGGTGTTCAGTAGTTCTTTCTGAAGAGGGTCGGTGTTTCTTTTTTCAGAGCTAAATATTTTTTTGGCATAGTTCCTGTTCCCAGCCATCTTTGAGATTCAATGAATTGGATGCATGTCTTTTCCCATATGCTTGGATGCTTCTCTCCCCGCAGACTCACTAAAGAGCAGCGTCAGGTGAAGCCCTTCAACTGACATTGCATTTGTTTGTTTGTCATGTGCCGGGGCGGAATACCTATGGCCATCCTATGTGGCCATCCCCATGCCACCACCTGGGTGGATGATGTCCTCCGACCCATGGCCGGACCGGCTGACCCGCTTTGGATGGCACCGCTTGCCACACGAACACGACCGAGGAAGGGCGAGCAGCGGCTGTATTCCGTGGATCATTCGCAGTAACTCCACGGCGAAAGCGCTGGGAGTTTCCGTGGAGCCAGGGCTCGACATTGGATCCAGGCTGTTTCCACTTCTTCGACTCGCGCCTTCCAAAATGGCTCCCCCAAAACAGGCACATGGGCTACACATGGGGTGGATTTCTTGAGCGACCGATCGACCCATTCCGAGTTTCCATGGGAGTTCCATGTGGTTCGCCATGAAAACAAGGGGGGGGGACCCTGCAGATTCCTTGGCCCCATTCGGCCAAAATGGCTTTGGACCACAGACCATTGGGCCAAGATTGGAGACATTTGTGCAATAAATCCCGACAGTTTCAAGCGTGCGACAGGTATTACTGTCCGATGGTTCATCAAGACTGCCGGCTGTCTAGATATTCCATCGCTAATGCAACAAAGCTCGGAAAGTCCCCTGATCCTCAGACAAGGTAGGATGAAGACTCATCACTCGTCGTCAACACCAAGAGTTGTCCTTGCGAACTTTCCGGTGGTTGCTGATCGCAAGTCTCGAGACGAGCAAGGCAAAGTCTAAAGAAGGTCACGTCCTTTCCTTCGCATCCCGCGGAATCTGCGAGCCGACCGGGGACGTGGCGCAGAACAAACTGAGGCTCTTTTTGCCCACCCAGCCACCTTTTGAAGCCCGGGCGCAAGCAATGCAGCTGCTGCAGGCGAAAAGACCTGTTTTGGGAGCCCACATGATCTTTGGTAAGGAGAACGTTGCAATACCAAACATGTTGGCGTATTTGTTGGTCGTTCCATTGGTTTCGGTATGTTCGACTTAAGACTTCAGCAAGCTGTCACAGCTTTCCAATAGACGCTGCAACGAGCACTCGCAGGATTGGTTTCACATGGTTTCCCCCCTTGCAAGCTTCGTGATGTCCAGCGTTTTCACCGTCTGACCAATTGTTTCCAGCCTTCCTTTCCTTCGTGGTGCTTCCATCGCACGAGCGTGCAACTCATGCGGAGAATCCGGCAGCAACGGCGTTTCCGGAGCCGTTTTTTTTCTACGTCGGGTGAGACGTTCGATGAAGACCGACTTTGGTCGGTTTGGGGAGACCCGTGCTGAAACACAGAGGAAATGCATGGACATGGAAGCAACAACACGGCCGGGGTAGGACCCATGAAAGCGAGACCACCCACTTGGTACTGCAACAGATGGCGACACACCCTATGACTACTTGCTTGGCCATTGGCTTCTCTTCCTTTTTTGGGTGCTTTGGACCAAACGACGGGCGGTTCTAAACCGAACGGAAGGCGATGCCGCATGCGCTGTTGCTCCAGAGCGAAGACGAGGAGATGGTCGTTGGTGGATGATGGTGGGGTAAATGGGAGTGACCTCACTCGAGTCATGGGATGTCATGAAATAAATATTGCCTCATGAGTCATGGGTCCTGATCCTTTGGCTTTGTTGCTGGAGACAGTTCAGAACATGGACATAAGGCTCAGGCAACGACAAGTGAATTGAAGAATTGACCATTCGTGTGGTCTCATAGCACACATCACAAGCACATCAGGGAGCTCGGAGCCGCTTTTTCGCGGGGTCTAAGACTTCGTGGGAGGTACCAGGGGAAACCGAGACTCGTGGCTGACCCGGTGGTTGTTACTGACCTCTAAGGGTCAATCTCGACCCGGTGCTTCACCATTGCTTGATGGGTTTTTTGGACGGTTTTGGGACTACGAAGGACGGAAGGTCTCTCGTGGCCCCTGTCCAGGAGTTATTCACCTGCGTGGGGGGGGCTCAGGGGGCGCATGGGTGGATTGGTTGGTATGACAAATCCCCCAAATAGACCGAAACGGTGTCCAAGACATTTGTTCTGGGATCTACTCTTCTATATCTATTTGGGGGTCAAAAGCTGCAGTGACTGCCGGCCTGGTGTCCTGGCCGCCCGATACCCGGCCCTTCTGTTCGAAAGGTCTGGGGGTGGTGCAGATCGACATGTCCAGTGGATTGAGAGGAGTAGATGGCACAGACCCCGTCGGTGGTTTATATGGACCCCCATCTAAACCACTGTAAGACATCGATCTTGATGGGGTGACACGGTGAAACATGGTGAACCCTCACACGCCTTCCGAATGATATAAGGCCTCTGGAGGACCTCCCCCGCCGAGGTGCCCAACGTTTGTCCGCACCGCACCCACATCTTCTCGACGCTGGGCGACCGGTTCCGTGCTTTTCACGGCGGGGAGGAACGCCCTGCGGAAAAGGCCGCGTTTCCTTGGAGACGAAATGAGGGTTCTTTTCCGTTCGGGTACACTCTTTGGGCTCATTACAACACATATTATCTTTTTACAGTAGAGAGACTATGGCAGAATCTTTGAGAATCCTTTCGCTTTCAGAACATATTGTATATTTTTGAGCGGCAAAACGCACTTTTGCACAGGACCTAAAAGGCCTCCCCAAGGTAGGGAAGCCCTTCAGTAGTTCCCCAAATGGCTGCAAGCTATAGGGGTTCTCACTTGGCTCTGGATCGGCGTTTTGTTTTGCGGGTGCTGCTGTCGTGCTGGTGCTGGTGCAGGTGCTGACTCTGGTTGGCGCCTTGTTTTTGCCCGTGCTGGATCGGCGTTTCGTTTTGCCCGTGTTGGTGCCGTACTGGTGCAGGTGCTGGTGCTGGCCCTGAATCGGCATTTTCTTGGGGCGTGCTGCTGCTGCTGCTGGATCAGCGTTTTGTGTGGGCGTGCTGGTGCAGGTGCTGGTGCTGGCCCATGGCAAGACATGATGTCATCCCTGGCGTGACATGATGTCGTCCGTGGCATGACACCATGTTACCGCAAACGATGCATACCACAAGGCAATACATGCATCAATGTGTCAGGCACCATTGGGGTGGATATCGTCCCTGCCCTGACAGATGTCATCCCTGGCAAAGTGAACAATGCCCTTGGCACCGCTCATTGACAACGAAAGCTGCTAGAAATGGGTCTTTTTCCCTCAGGCACTATGAACTTTTTCCCTACACACCCGCTATCTGCCCTGTCTACATTTCATACATTTTGCGATGCTCTAGCCACCTTCTTTGTGTCATGTTGCTTAGACCTTGCCATGAAGGGGATCACCGTAGAGAAGGGTCGTTCCACCGATAGATTTCCCGATGACTTGTGATGAAGCATCTATCCTTCTACACATTGAGCTGGTCATCACCAGAGAAACACCTCATCCAACATCTTCATTCTTTGGGACCTCTTGCGACCGAATCACTACAGATTTTCACACCATTCTTTCTCACAATGTGGCCCAAAACGCACCGCCCATTTGTTGTTGTTGTTGTTGTTGTTGTTGTTGCTGCTGCTGCTGCTGCTGCTGCTGCTGCTTTTTTTTGGGAGCTGGGCACCGTGGTGGTAGTGCACTTTCTTTTTTGATGGTCGTGTGCCCCTCAAAGAAGCTGGGCCGAAAGCCAATCGCCAACGCTTTGTCCTTGGCTCCGAGGAATCCATTCAGTACAGAGCTGGTGCTGGAGCGAGGGCATTACGCAGGGAGACCCGTTTTTGACCTCCTCCCTGGTGGTCCGTGGGCGGTTCAGCGGCGGTCTGCGGGCGGAGTTGAAGCCTTTTCTCAACCCTACAAGTCAAAGACCTCATTTTACTGGAGATGGTCATACAAACCAATACTTAAGGCTTAAGGAGGTAAAAGACCAGGTTTTACTGGGTTTTTGGACTTGTAGGGTCAAAGGTTTTCCAAAAAGAGGGGACGACATAGGGGCACTGCGATTGCGAAGCTGATAGTTTGGAATGACATCATCAGCAGTTGATGAGGATGAAGCTACAGTAACATGCACGTTGTGTGAACTTCATGTAGGAGTCTTTTCGAGGCCATTTGCGCCCAGGGGCAAACCCATAGATCTTTGCACCTTGCAAGAGACCTTTGCAAGCGGTGTACATTATTCGTGTCAACATTTCATTCTTTTACAGGCTTTCTCAAGTATTAGAAGACCCTTCTTCATAACATCTCCCAATGTTCGGAGGTAAGTGTAAACGTGAGATGAGAGAGTGCTCTTCCAGTGGAATTCTTGAGACACTCAAAGGGGTTCCACGTTCTGAGTCTTCCGCACAAAACCATCCGGGTCCAAACTCTGGTGGCCAGGGGGGTTGCGGAGATGGAAGGGGGGACGGGACATGTTTCATCTCGAAGTTGTATCTATACATCTATGTAATGGTACATATCTCTCCAGGCATATAGACCCCCAAATAGATAGAACAGTAAGTAGATCCCCACTCAACATCTATTGGACGCCGTGGAAGCCGGTCATCTCTTTGGCGATCACTACACTCCGACTCACTAACATGGAAGTGGAAAACCCTGGGTTTGTAGAGGAAAATGGTCTTCCTTTCGGGGCCATGCCATCCATGTTAGTTGCAGGGAGTGTAAGCACGCATGACGAGCACCATGGGATTTGGACTTGGCCCGTGCTACGGACCTCCCCAAGGTCTTTTCGCTCCTTTCTTTAGCGTCAACCTTTTGGCGCTATGACCCAAGTGGTCGCCCTTGTTCTCCAAGAAACGGCAGGATCTCCTCGGCCGATCTCTTCCTGTCGTGCTTCACCGGTCGATCGTTCCGAGGTGTGGAGCGCGGGCGCCACGAAGCACTTCCTGCCGCTCGAGCTGAGTGAAGTGGTTTTTACTTATATATATATTGTTTATTATGTTTTATTTTTTTTTTTTTGAGGGAGGCTGGGGGTAAAAATCCACTTTTTTCTATACATTTTCACTTTTCCATCCTTTTCTCGTCGGTGTGTAGAGGAGGAACGGAGGTGGCTGGAACTTTTTAGAGCCACTTCTGACGAAGAGGTCGAATACGACTTTCTGTTGACAAGCTTTTTGTTGCTGACCAGTTGCACTCGACAGGTGTGAGGTGATTGATTTGGGCGAGCTAGGAGCTTGGGTCCACCTGTGAAGTTGGGAATCTAAAGATGAAGCAGGACAACTTCTATTGGGGTGGGGAAGTTGATATTTTGTAGATGTCCTGTGCATATCAGAATCCAGAAGCACCCCCAGCACGCTTAAACGGGCTCCCAATGGTAGCCCAAGGGTAGCCCAAGCAACAATTTGGACTTGGACGATGGCTCAGCAGTGGCCCGCCGGTCCGGCGGTCGGACGTGTGGCCTGTGGTTCCGCTCAGGTATCCCGTGCACGTGTCTGCGTCGTTCTTGCAGCCTCCGACCACGGGATGCTGGGCGAAACGGGGGCCAACCGGAGAGACGGGGGGGAAGAAGCGGTCTCTACCCGGTGACTCTACCCATTGGATTTGCTGGTGTTGGTATGAGAGAATGCCCATCAGCAGCTCGCACCAGAGCGAGCGAATCAACGCGTCCTTGGGGGGCTGAGGATCAGCGCTCTACCTGATGCTGCTCTTCTTCTTGCATCGCGACACTTGGGCAGCAAAGCTTGAGAGCATAGTACCGATGTTCCTCGATGGCCAAGGTGCCAGTGCAGAGAGGATTCCAGTATTGTGACCCATCATCCACTCATGGCGCCCATGATATGTTTTTCGTCCACTTCGTCCAGTGATCCTCTGCTCGTGGCTCAAAAACTCGAGGATCAACCTCCACAAAATCTGCCAAAGCAGAACTCTCCCTAAACTACCCCGTGCTTACTTCAGGAATGACGTGGCGGTTTTCGCGTGACTTTGGTGGCGGGAAGAACGTGACCCCAACAGATTGGATACGGTCCAGAAGGCAAATCCGGTAGCGTCCGGACACTACCGCCAACACTACCCTCCACTGATCTGGCTTTGCTCGTTTAATGGGCCATGGAAAAGATGTTGTTTTGTGAAAGGTTGTTTTGGGATCCATCTCCATCTGCTCTGGCTGCCCTGGCAGCGAAATCCACCCTGCCACCTTGGGCCGCCACCTCCAGACCTTCCGGACTCGAAACATCAGGTGTAACTCTTGTTTCTAATAGCTTCTTGTTACTACTAGTAAGGCACTTGTTACTAGAAGCGATGCACTTGTTCCTAGTAGCTTATTGTTTCTAATTGTATGTATGTTTTTCGAGATCCTCCCAAAATGATCACCAATAACTCCTCTTCCCTCGTCCCTTCCATCGTCCCGAGGATTATCACCTCGTCTCCCAGCTCATCAACTCCGTGGCCACCGATTCGCCCTACACCAGCAGGGGCGACCCAGTGGGCGGGCGACGGCGGACCGGGCGACCGAGGGTGCCACCCCAAGGTCCTTAACCGGGGTTTGGCCGAAGTAGTACTTCTCTACTTCTTCCAACCATCTCTTCTTGTATTTCCAACGATCTAATGACAGTCTCTTCAAGTCCACAAACCTTGTCTTATTGGCTCTTCGCCAGGCGAAGACAAGGTCTGCTTCGAGCATTTTGCCACCATCGACGACAGGCAGAGCGAGCAGGGTTGATTTTCAGCGAAAACGAGATGACGAGATCCTCAAATAGGTAGAAATGGTTTCCAAGACAGTTTCCGGAGGGGATATACATGGATTTTACTGACTTCTATTTACTTTAGTGGTGTCATCAGAGACTCTCAACCTTTTCAGAGATCCAAGCTGGGTTTGACCTTTGGCCTTTGGTTGCATCAACTTCCACAACAGCCGTTGACTCCCTTGAAAAGAAGAGTTGTTTGAACCAGATCAACGGACAACCCCTCAACCGATTCAAGGGTATCCAAAAGTTATTGATTGTGATTTCACACCGAACTTGGGGGCCCTTGCGCAATCTACTCTCAACTCAGTTTTGCTGTTTTGGGCTGCAACGGAATGGCCTGCGGGGTTCACCGCCCTCAGTCATCCCAATGCCACCGCCCTGCGCTGCAAGCTGGCACTGGCGGTGCGACGGGGGGTGGAGGTGGACGTTTGAAACGTCAGGAGGATGTTTGGCATGTTCCCCACCTGGCTGTGGGTCAAATGCCGTACCCCATAGGCATCCCGAAACTGGCCTTAGGGTCACGGTACCGTGTTCTTTGGCAGGGACGCAGGGCACTGCCATAACCCAGAGTTCGCCTGACGGGATGATCTAGGGTGCCTGTTGCTTGCAGTCTGAACTGGTGCTTCTTCCTGGAATTCTTGCGGAGTATTCTTGGGTCACCACCCTGTCGGTTAGTTCGCAGGCATATTTATATCGACTTTTGACTTCGGGTGGCAAAGTGAGCCCAAACTGAATCTTAAAAGGTTTCTTGAAACTGCGTTGGAGTAACCCGCGATCTAGAGGTTCTGGGTCAGCGCATTCATCAGCTTCCGAGCCTAGGGATCTTGAGCCTAGTTGAGGGAGATTGTTTTTGGTCTGCACCTCCCTGAAAGGACATGCAAAAAAGCAGGGCATGAGAAAAACAGGCAAACTCACCACCTTCATGTCAGGTGCCCATCAGTTAATGAAGGACCTCATGAGGACCTCATCAGTCCTTCATTTTGTACACCTTTAAACGTGGGCCACATGAAGAGCTCACATGGATCTCTGGTGGGTTTCGGAGAAACTCCAACCCTTGGGGCTTGAAGCTTGGTGGCTGAAACTCCCTGCTGTGGAGTCTTTGTGCTAATGGATCTAATACTCAACGGATGTTTTTCCATATCCGTCTTTTCCGATGGGGTTTTCTATCGTCGTCGTTGGTGGCCGTTGGTGGCCGTTGATCGGTTTTTCCTTTGGTCGGCCAGGTCCAGCACTCTCGCATGCCGTTGCCATGGCATTTGTATTCGCAAGGCGGGGGTCCGAGGAGCCGAGGACGGTCTGGGCGGAGAGGTGAGCCGACTTGAGAGTATTGTCGGTCGGACTCATGACTCCCTGTAGAGTGGGAGTGGCCGGGATTCATGGTCACAAGCTTTGGGTTTTGGGCTTTGATTTTCCTCGAATTTTGGTCAGTTTTGGGGGGGGCTAAGACAGCTAAGACATAATATGATTCAATGATCGATTCTGGAGGCCGAAGTGATGATTTTCGAGCGAACGCGCCAGCGACACACCCAATGTCAGCAGGGTGTCCCCGAGTTCGAAAAACAGAATGGTGCCGCTGAGCAGACCCTCATCTGAATGTGCCTTTGGAGTTCCCTTTTTGTTCAATTGGCGGGTGTGGCAGCGACCTGGTCTCGCTGGTCGCCGCTTCAGAAGGGGCGAAGCTGGCCACACTGAACAAGGTCAATCGCCTTGGTAGACAGGCAACTTCCACATGCCCGAAAATGAGCAAAAGAACTGTTTGGGTAGAAGATACCTTTTTTGTTGGTCGGGCGGCAAATCTCAGTGATCTCTCCTATACGACCCCATCTGACCCCCTGGGGTCGCCGAGTCCCGCGTTGGCCGGGCCGGCCAGGTGCCGAGCATGTGCGTGGTGCAGCTTGGGCTGAACGTCCCAACGACCCGTATGGACGGGCTAAGACGGGCTAAAAACGGAGGTTTACGTCCACCTCCGATTCACGCGTCCCACGGCAAAACCGGACACCTGAAAGCGTCCTTCCGCATGATGCTGAGAAGAAGATAGGCGTTGTATTATCACCGGTTGTCATTGGCGGAAGTGGATCAACCCGATGGAGGGCTGAACGCCTGGCAACTTGGAGGTTTCCCCGAGCCGGTCCTGGCTGGAACTCGAGCTCCGCTTGTGGTCCTCAAACATCGCTGTGAGCCTCAAACATCAGGGCATTACAACATCTTTACTCTTATATACTGTGGCTATCAACTGCAGCATATACATTTATTCCAGTTGCTCCGCCAATGGGTTTGGCGGAAAGCCTCCTGTGTCTTCCAGCCTCCTGTCCGGTTGGAACCTCGACTTAGATGTACTGGTAGTCAGGATCTACACACCAACTGGGTCAAGCCTTCATTGGTCAGAATTCATAGCTTTGGCATTGGCAAAACTACTAAGGTCATCTAGAGCTCAATCCAAACCTGCCGAACCCTGGCCGTGCCGCCGAACCCTGGCCGGGCCGTGAGGTCATCCACGTGACCGGCGAGTGCCGTTTGAGCTTCGAGGAGGAGATGCAGGTCCCGTGGCGGACTCCGGTCGGACTCCGGTCATCTCGGTCCGGTGGTCAGCGGGTGAGGTCCGAGGTCATCCGGTGGAGCGGTGATCAGTGGGGTGATGGGGCCCCTGATGGTGTGTGTGTGTGTTTTTTATTTTAATCTCCAATCCAATCGTTTTTCTGGAGTTTGAGGGGAGCTTCTATGGCAAGCCTTTTAGCTGAACACATGTTGGATGCAACAGATTTGATTAGTTTGGGAAGGAGCATGTGAGAGACTGGTGGGAGTCCCCCCCGTTTCAAGATGTGCCCATTTGGGACAGATGCAGCAGCTTAGTTCTTTTTACACGACGGATAATGAGGTCAACTCTGCAGTTCAACCTGTACAGCGTGGCCTCTACCATCCAGGGTGAAAGTATCTTTCCATCGGGTGTTGATCCAATCGTCGGACAATGATTTAACAACGCATGTATCTGGAATCTTTTGAGCTCCGCACTGGTTGCATCCTCTTGGCTACAAAGGCTTCTACAAGACTTTTTGGGAACCCTTCTTCCCACCGTCTCACCCGTCAACACCCACCTCATCCTTCCTCTCGTCTTCCTCTCGTCTCCCCGCCAAAAGCCTTCCTCCTTCAGGTCCTGACCATGTGCCGCCACTACCGGGAGAAGTTGCTTCTGGTGACCCGTGAGGTGGATGCCTTGCGCCGCGATCAGGCAAGAGACGATGCGTCGATGACCATCGAACGTTCCGTCGAACGTTGCGTCGGGGCGGGGCCAGGGTTTTTGGAGAAGAGGCGAGACAAGGTGAGGACTGGGGGGACGGTGTTTTTTTTTGTTATTTTCTGTTGGTCTTCTCAAGGGTGGGTTTCTAAAGTCATTGATCAATAGATGATTGATGGGCATTGATGGGCAAGTATGCCAAAGCTGATATTAGCTTTACCCATCCTTGCCTTGAATGGACAGATAGTACTTGACTAGCATGACAACACATGTCGAAAGGTTACAAGATTTCTGAGAGATCTGCAACAAAGGCTGTTGTTTGTAGAGTTTCACCGTCGTCGACATGAATAAGTCCGTTGAAGGGTGTCATCCACCTATGACAACGACAGTTTTAAGCTATAAGCAATTCCTCCGACCAAGACCCATGATATCGAGAAAACACGGTCCTTCCTTCCCTTCACCAGGGGCAGATGCTGAAGAAGTTCAAGAACATGCTGGAGGACTGGCGACGCAACTTCTTATCAGGATCTTATTCTATTGTAGTTCTGCTCAAAAAAGAGATCATGTCCCACCAGTGCTACTGCCATGGCTGCAGTGACTGCAGTGACATGCAGTGACTGCAGTGGCGAGCTATCTCAAGAGATACCAATTAGGTGGTCAAAGCAGCACGCTTCCATGGCGTGCTTCCATCGTTTGAGGTCGGGTCCCAACCACGGTGCCGCCTTCCCGAACGGCAGAACCCCACTAGGCCTTGCACTGCTCCTGCAACCCAATGACTTCAGGTGACGTGTCAGCTCACAATCAACTAGCCTCAGATGGGTGTTATAACTTATAACATGGAATTCAATGATGACATATCCAGGCACTGGGTCACAACTCTGAACACATCTATTTTTGGAAGAGCATTGGATCAAGCAGCGAGCCCCACTAGTCACTAGCCGTCCAAGGCTGGACACTCCTCAGCTCCTGGGTCCGGGGCTTGTGTTTGTTTCCATTCACGTGAATGGCTCCTTGTTTCGTCTTCCTCGTTTTTCTCTACAAACCACAAAAAGGTGTTCACTCCAAGGAGCATTGGGAGGGAAACACCAATCCAACAGCAAAACACCATCCAACGATGCGTCCACGGTGTTCAGATCCCGTCGGCAGAGGACTCCTCGGCCATGTTGACGGCCTCTGGGGAACATGCCAAATCCTTGAAGAAGTGGAAGGACCGCAGAGTTGCGTTGGCCTTGACGGCTCGTCGTCCACCGTGCGAAAGACGTCTTCGCATTCGCTCGGCTCGCGGTGTTTTCTCTATGTTTTTTTTTCACTAAGACAACGAAGAAACAGGCTTTTGTTCCCTCATGTCTTTGCCAAAGGAGGGGCGGATCGTTCAAAAGTAGCTGTTGATTTACATCCAATGTTTGACAGTGCTTGCTTTGTTTACAGAATGTTGAATGTAAGGGTAGCAGGATGGATGCCCTCTTCGAGATGAAGCATTTTGGGTGGATCTTGCGCTCATGTGATGTTTAGTTTGACATATAGATATTATATGATATATATATATATGATAACCCCTGAATGCAACTAAATAGCCTTATATATATAATATATGGTTTTTTGTGGACGTTCCTGTGGATGGAGGCCATCCACATCCGGATCTTCCATCCGCCTCATCTGCCGTAAAGCTCCCCGCAGGACCGCATCGTCCGGCGGCTGCGAGCGGAACGCTTGGGCACTGGTGAGACAGCTTGGGAGCCTGGTGCACTGGGAATGAAGCCATTTTTTCTGGCGCAAAGAACAGAGTTAGATAAGAGCTGCTAGGATATCCACCCCATGCTTGGCAGTTGTTCAAGCATCTTGGATATCTAGGATTCTTGGTCCCTCCAGATCTCCAGTTGTGCTGCGCTGTGAGGCTTTGGGTTTCCTTTCGGAGCGTCGGCACCGCGCGTGGCTCGACCGAGGAGTTGGTGGCCATGATTCTGGCTGCCCTAAGGGGTGAGCGCTTGAACCCACAGGCGCGGCCTAGACCGAGGGATTGGCCCCGGTTGGTCGTTTGCTGGTCGGAAGACCGGGGGCTGCTGGTGTTTTGCGGTGGAGTCAAGGAAGTTTGTAGGAAGTCATAGGTCTGGCAGGTTGGAGTGAGTTTTGGATGATTGGAGGGCTGAGCACTGTTGGGTTGTGAGGTTCCTCGAATGATCTCAAATGACGATCCAATCTTCTCCCACACAATATCGCTTCTCTTATCATCCAATGAAACCGCAATGGCTCGGGATCGTCCACAGGAGCTCGATTGATGCTCAATCGTTGAAATGGACAGAGCTGCTGAGAATCCTGACCTTTTGAGGCGAATTCCGAGTGTTCCTTCGCTGCGCCCCCGCCGGGTCCCCCGCGCGTTTCCGAGCTCGGTCCGGTGGACACCGAAGGCCGTTGTTCCGGACACGGGACGTCCCGTGTGTTTGGACCGATGGGTGGACAGCTAAGCCGAAGCCGACATAGGATGTCTTGATGCTCCAGAATCGTGAGAAGTACATGGAAGCGGTGGAGGACGGACCGCATCGGTCAGATCGGAGACGGTTAGCCCAGTGGCTCGCCCAGTGGCTGGAGGAAGAGGTAGGTGATCGCATGGTGACAACATGTGCGTGGAGCACTCCAAACATGTCAACACGGAGTACTGAAAGAGGGCCTGGTGATTCAAGAAATCTCGCTGCAGTGCATGTTTCGGCCGAGGTGAATGAGGTATGTTCAAGAGCAATGCAGCTGTTGCTTTGCAGGGTTCTACCCTCAAATTTGGGATTTAGGTCCCTAGAGATTTCCAGGTCGGTCCTGGAGAAAATGTCGATTTGAGAGAAAGAGGAGGGACCATGAAACCGCTGTTGTTGATTCGCAAAAAGGCAAAAAGGCTGTTGCTTCATGTTGCTTCGCACAAAAGCACGTTCCACTTCTACCCTAGATTCTGATCTGGAGGAAAAGCTCAACAAAGACTGAGGTTGGTCTAAGAGGAAGTGAATTTCCAACATTCTTAGCAAAAAAGCAACGACTGAGGGGCAAGGTGTTTCTGATCATACCTGCAGCTGCGTGATATAATACATGTTTTGCTCTGAGGATGCAGTATGCATCATTCTCAGGCAAAACACCCGGATTGATCGCCGCGACGACGACGTCTAAACGGGCAGGAACCGATGGATTCGCATGTTCAGCGAAGCCAAGCACCACACTCTCGTCCAGCCATTTTCTCCACTGGATCCAGACTTCTCGAGTTCCATTGGCCCATGGCATGATGTTTTGCTTTTTTTTACTTTTTCCACCCAAATGCCATTTCCCAACACCAATTTGGACCAGACCCGCAGAAACACTACCGTCTTGGAGCTATTCCATATACCTTTTAGGTCAGTGGAGCGGGTGTGAATCCATTGACCCGAGCCTCCGCGACGCTATGACCGCCACCGGTCCAGGAGCGTCGTAGCACCGTGGTACTGGAACTCATGGTGACTCCTCGAGCCTCCCGCTGGATGCAGCACACGGACGGTGCCGGGAGACCGGTCCACCGTTTCGCGAAACGGTTTGGTTGCATGAAAAACGCAGACATGGAGGCTTGCAAAGGATGAAGTGGTGTCACTTGTCATGGACATAGCCTTGAGAGGATGGCCTTTCAGAATTTTCTTGGGTCTGTCAGGTGATATGCGCTCATTGAACAAGGGAACACTGAGCATAGTCCCTCTCCTTCGATGCATCACAGCCCATGATTCAGAGGGTGAATGTAGCGTGCCCCTGCGGGTTCTGTTCCTCGCAGATTGGAGCTCGATGCATGGCCGAAAACGGACCAAGGGCCCTCCACCCTCTTGGGCTTCAGGGGGCCGTTGCCGCCGCTTCAACGCGCCGGCACCGTGGGTGAGGACATCAACGCTTTGCTGTCCTCGCCCTTCGACTTGATGCAACGGATCTTGGGATCGGTCTCTGAGACGCTCGGCCGCGAACAGCCGCGAACAGCCGCGAACAGCCGCGGTTGCTGCGCCCCCGCGGGTGCGGCTCAACCGCTGCGGGGGGGGGTCATCTGTGTTGACGGATGGGAAAATCGATGTGGCCATGGTGAGGTGTCCGGGTTTTTGGATGTGCAGTGGCGAGCGTTTTGGGAGCAGAATCACGCAGACATGCATTGAGCGACTCGTAGCGATGCCCTTGTTACTAACGGCCAAGGTACCCTGTTTCTCCTTGGAAGTCTTTGTCCTCGACCGACATGGACCCTCCGCGCCGAGACGACTGGTCGACGCGGGAGATTCGGTCCAGGAGAGATTCGGTCTACGACACAGGTCCAGAGGCGAAAGCGCTGCGGAGCGCTGGTCCTCGCCTGTCCTGGGGTGGTGGTGAGATGTGGTGAGTGTTCCGTTCATGTGGTGGGGTCAGGTGGCTTACGTTCTACAAGCTTTTGCTGCTAATCAGTCAGTTTTTAGTTTTCCCACTCAATCACCAGCCATCCTGGAATGTAATTGCCCTGAAGAAGAAGAAGAAGAAGAAGAAGAAGAAGAAGAAGAATCTCAGACATCTGAATTCGCTTGGTTTCCTGGTCTGGCATCTTTCAGCACCGGGAAAGAAGTGCGGGGGGGACTTCCCCCGAGAAAGCGGGGTGCGTGCCCCGCCTCCTTCGTTGGAACCTTCACTCGTTTCACCCCGGTCGACCGGTGGAGGTGCCGACCATGAGGAACATGCCCTACGTCATGGCGGTGGGGACGTCGGACGGAGGGAAGGAGAGGAAGGACGGAGCTGTGGTGTTTGGCCATAAAAGAGCGTGTCCTCTCTTTTAAAGAAGACTTGGCCGGAGACAGAGATGGTTGCAAGGGCAGGCTTTCTCAGCATTTGTATTCCTATTTTGTGTTCTTCCCGTGCGAACGCCACGCTTTAGCACGCACCCAAGGTTCAGTCTCCCACCAAATCTGTCATGGTTGATGCGAAAAGACTTCGCCTGGAACGGTCAGGCTGCAAACAGCTACGAAACCCATTGAAACCTGAATTGACCATAAAATTGTCGTTTGGTTAAGAGTCAAGAGGGTCGACGCAACTAGACCCACTGGTGACCTCATTTCTTTCGCTCAGCCGCCGCAGTCAGCGCCATCTATTTCGCTTTGAAAGACCGTCAGACCAGGTGGAGCATATCACGGAGATTGTCAACGACCAGGAGATGCCTTGACCTCGGCGTTGACCCAGGACGATCCAAGCGAATCCCGTGGCGAGAACAGACGTTCTTCCGGAAGAAGAAAGCCCAGGGTTCCCGGTTGATCGTGTGTTTTCGAGTGCGTGTGTGTGTGCATTCGGGTTCGTGGGTTCCATCTTCTTTTTCCTTTGTAGCAGGAAATTGATTCTTCTGTCATGGTCGGTCGGTGAGACAACTGTGCATATGTTGAAAGAACAATTTGGTGGGCAATTTTCATGTAAAGCTCTTTTGCAAGGGGTACCAATTCTTTTTTTTGCATCGCAAGACCTACCCGACGTGCCAATTTTTCTTTTGCTCGCATCCCAGCACACACTAGTCTTGGGACAAGAGCTCTGACATGTGTGCGACCACTTTCGGATCGTTTTTGCCAGCAGCCTGGTGCTGGGGGCATTTTCCTCTCTGCCGTTGATGTCCCGTTCCCGGTGCGGAGGTCCTTCACCAGTGATGGCGCGGTGTCACTCTTCATCAAGCTTTACTCCCTCTTCACTCAGCCGCTTTGAATGATTCTTTGGGCGACTCCAGGTAGCAGAGAGTGGGTTCAACATGGTTCAACCTCCACATGGGGTTCCATGATTTAGGATTTGGGACGGCAGAACTGGCAGCGCCACAGTCCACACCCTTTCTATGCCAGATCGATGAAAAGCTGCTTTTCTTGTAACATGATTAATGGTTCGAGCCTAAAGTCTTCCTTCACACCTTCACTATGAGAGATGTGCCCAACCGGGTTGCAGCAGACATTTAGTCTTGGTCCTTAACCTGGCAAAGTTTGCACGCACACGATACTGTTGCATGATCGCAGCAGTCATCCATCTCCAGAATCCCGGATGACTTTGACATACCGGAAAGGACCAGCATGGATGCCTGAGACCATGTTGGCTTGTGATCGGAACATAATCTCTATTTCCTGGTCAGGCTCTCATGGAGCTTCCTGAAGAAATCCCATCAATATCTATACATGGGTGTGCATCAAAACCCCAGAAAATCACCCTCAATGACCACATCCATCCCAATCTAACGTCAACTTTGTGTGCAAAGTCTTTGTCTCCACCGGTTTTGGGGCCCCTGTCACTCCCCCACGTTTCCCCCCCCCCCCTTTTTCTTTCTCCCCAGAGCGAATGGTCCGCAGCCATCCGCAGCCTCCGCGAGTTCGGCGACGCACCGCCGGACGACCGCGAGCTGCGACGCACCGCCGGACCGCGGCGAGTTCGCGGCGAGTTCGCCGCGTGCCGCAGGTCCTTGGGCGTGAAGCTGCCGCGTGCCGCCGGGAGCCCCGAGACGAGCCGCGGGAGGAAGACGACGAGGTCGGAGGTCGGTCGAGGTCGGAGTCGGACGACGAGGTCGAGTCTTGATCGGCCCGTGAAGGTTGGATGAAGTCGGAGTACTTTTGTTTGGACTTTGAGGCCGTTTTTGGGTTTTTCTATACCGGGCAGGGCTGAATACTCAGATCACCACTATGGGAATGTAGACTAGACGTGTGCTTGTGCTGGTTTCCTTTCTTGACACAGTGTTGAACAACCATTGTTACCCTGATACAGAGAAAGAGAGAGAGAGAGAGATATACAGACAGGTGGAGTTGTTGTTATATCTTGCAGCAAACCTAGCCTCTGACTTTTGATTGATAGATCGTTGGGTTGTTTTGCGGAAAGCACGCCTGGCATGCGCAGTTCATCTCAGTTCCATTCGCAGCACCATCCGCATGATCCTCGCCATGCCATCCTCCCAAGCACTACCGTTATTTTATAAAGACTGTATTTATTGGTTTACGACGATGGCTTATTTGAATCTATATGTTCAACATCTTTCTGATAAATTGCTTTGGTAACAGCATTCAAAACCTTATCAAACCTTGAGCCAGAAGGTTCGCCTAACAGTAGAATACAACTTATTACTTAAAGTCGACACACTATATATATATATATATATATACACATATAGTTTAAACGATAAGTTGATAGAATTGTATGAGAATTACAGCAGTGATGATTACCTATTCCTGACCTGATCTTGCCTCGTGTGCCGCGTCCGCCAAGGTGAATCCGGTGCACCAGCACACCTTTGCCACGCTCTCCTTGGCTTTGGCCCGTGGAGGGCGGAATCATGGGATGCTCCAGTCCTTGTCCGGGACACCTGAAGACCGGGTGTGATGGGGAGAGTCTCGGAGAGTCCCACAGAGTCCTGTTGGGTGGGCAACAGTGCATATCCTATGAACGGCGGGTGGCGTGCACGGCACGGGTGGCGCGTTCCTTTGGTGAATGCCCAGCACCATTTTTTGGTGGATTTTGGCACAGAGCTTGGATTCAAAAGGATGATGGGCGTCGATGCAACGCGACTTGGGCAGGATTTGCGTGGCATGGCTCCAGATTGAACAGTCCAAAACTGACACCATTGGTTATTGGTCGATGAGATTCCACATGCCATGTCGGTCCATTCTGGCAAATTGGGACATCGTTCGTGTAGAGTTCCTCTCAGGACCGCGTTTCCATATTTTCCCCCAAAAAATAGGGTTCGGCTGACCTCGACCACCTGCAACACTGAGGCTCCACATTTGTCGCAGGAGCCAAAAGGCAGACGACAGGGAGTCGGATGTGCTGCGAGGGTACTGTATGCGTTCGAGGGTGACAACAGACTCAGTCTATTCTTTCATGACTTGGTTGGTGTGGCAGAATGTGGTTGTCGTATGTGGCAGAATGCATGATCAACTTGAGAACTAGTGTGTCCTAACTTCCCAGTGGTGCCTTGTTTGGGTACACAGGGTACCCTCCAAAGACCTGAAAAAACCGGAAGACCCTGGGCGAGTGGGGGCCACATTTCAGAAAGGATCCGCAAAAACAACTGACGGGAACCCCTCCAAAAGTATGAACACCCGTAGGTTTCGAGTCAGGCTCCAGCATCAGCCCGGGACATCCTCCGAGAGAGGGACCCGATGATTCTTGATGTTCACTGGCAATCCTTACAAGGGAGAGAACCGGACATCTCCCCGCCCAATCGGTCCCATCCGGTCCGACCCCAGACCCCAGACTCCGTCCAGGTTTGCCAGTGCTTACCCCGCCTGGACCGACCACGGCGGGTGGTCTTCGTGCGACAGTGGAAGGCGAAGCTCATCGCAGTGCACAGGCGCGGACCGCGCCGGGGACCGCGCGTGCGATCCACGGCGGGTTGGCTTCTGGTTGGGGATGAAAGGCGCTCAGAGACGGAGAGGAAACAACGAAAGAACAGTTCCATAATTCGTTGGTGGATGATACCTCACTGTTTTTTTTTTGGGATATTTGTTTGTGTTTCTCTCCCAGGGCTCTCGTGGTGATACCGTCCACCAGTGAATCAGAAGGATGCCCAGTGCCTTTTGGGTTGGCATCGAAGCGACCACGGATTTCATGCCAAGGTCACCAGGCCTTCATGGATCTCCTCTCCCAAAGCGAGCCAAAAATACCCACAGCATGTGGTGCCAGGATCACTTGGTCCAAAAAAAGAACTCCACTCTCTCCGGGACTCTCTCTCGCCCCTCTACAGGTTCCCCCCCTCGGGTGAATCTCCCTTTGACACAGCTGCTGTGAATTTCCCTTTGACCAACGTCGACACCGCCAGGAAATTGATGGCGCTGGCACAGCAGCCGGAGCTACAGTTGGCCATCGCGGAGCGGTTCTAATCCTGGGTGGGACTGTTGTGGATGGAGGTTGAAAGGATTTGAAAGGCTTCAAAGTGGGGAAGTCACAGTGCCACAAATGGTTAGGTGCTGCCCGTCAAGGTTTGCAGGGTGAGGTTCAAGCTCCGTTCCTTCTCATGTGGAAAGAGAAGAGAACTTTGATGGACGAGGCGGTGGGGCAAAGAGTTTAGCATTTCTCCGAGACAAACTGGACTATTCGTGGTTGAATGTACTACTACATGCCCTGGTCAAGGAATGTGAAGGATGGAAGTCATATTGAAAGCATCTCATCGCCAGGAGATGCCCAACTCTGGACCCAAAGAGAGCACCAAAGCACCGTGTGCACGGACCCCGTCGGACCCCGCCCCAGCTCGAGCGCGCGCGAGCCCGCAGGAGGGCGAGGTGGAAGAAGCGCACGGCGTGCGCCCCGACGAGGAGGACGATCTCTGCCGTTGGTCTGCGGGATTTCTCCGCTCGTTTCACCAAGGGCATCGCTACGAAGGGGAGCGAGAACGATACACTACGAGTTCGTGGCTCCTGGCAATATATATATATATACACACATACACACTATAGAAACCAGAGGACGCTACGAACGGTCTACGCTTCGTAGCTGTTCCTCGGATCTCACCGACCGTCGAGACGGTGCGGGGCTGCGCGACAGGAGGTGCCGGTGCTCCAGTCCATTGGAGACGAACATGGCCGGTCAAGCCCAGGGAGGGTGGGAATGGTGGGATGGGATTGATGGAGTTGCGAATTTCCCCCAAAAACCAATTGGGGCACGTATATATTCATATCTTAGACTCAGTTTTCTAGTGAAGGAAAGCAACTTTGAGGTCAAAGACCATCAGAAACACACGCTTGGAGAATTATGGCGGTGTATGTTAGGTTCAAGCCTTATAGTGGTAAGAGTTGTGACCACAGCAGGTTCAGGACCCATCTGAACTTCAGGCAAAGCTTCCACATACACACCCTTCCATTGGGATCCCTTCGAACATACGACTCAGTCGACCTTAGGCTTCAGGAGCTCCCAAGATCCATCACTTGGAGATGAGTCGACAGCTGTTCGACAGCAGCCTTGCTGGACCGAACCAACGATCCCCGACTGGTTTGCGTTCGACCGGAGAGAGCATCTCTCCACCCCGGACGCCCCGCCTGAGCGAGGCGGTTTCGTCGCGACGTTTCAGGCGGCTTATGTCCTCACCTGGTCTTTGCACCCAGCCTGGGCCAGTCAGAGGCCGGAGACACGGAACACATCGTAAGGGGGTGACGGATAAGGAAGGCCTTGTGCGGATGAGAGGCTCTCATCTTCGCGTTCTGTTTTTTCTTCGGATGGTTTTTCTTCGGAAGTTCCCGACATGTTCGTCCTCTGGGACAAATGGGTTTTGCCTTCAAAACCAATTCGTCCCCCAGCGGTCGTTTCGCTGCTCCAACTGTCCAAGCTGCGACGTGAAGCTCCGGGGGCAGAGAGGCGGATCGGCGATGTGACGGCATGGTGGGCCTGTTTCAAGGACGGTCACAGGTGATTTGGCTTCAGTCTGAAGCTCTTCAGCCTTTGGGTGAGTGGGCACAGAAAGGCGCATCGGTGATGCTTCTCACTCGCCCGGACCGAACCGGTTTCAGGGAGCTCGGCGTTCATCGGATCTCGGCGTTCCGCGCTCCGCCGGCCTTCGGACGGCGCCCTTCGACCCAGGACGGCGAGGAGATCCGCCGCGCCGAGTTTCCCCTGGGGCCGCAGCTCGGTCGAGACGAAGGGTCGGGTTGGTGGAGAAGAGATGAGACGAGATGAGGGTCGAACGTGAGTCCTGAAGTGAGTCGAAGGTGAGTCTAGTTAGGGGATGTCCCGACTTGGGAAAGAGGATGGACTTGGGTGATATTGGGTGATTGATGGTGATGGAATTTTGGGATTTGGGAAGGGTTGGATTAGGGAGTGGTGGATTTTGGAGTGCAGAAGGATTCCCCCAAACATGGAAAGCCCAAGCCAAACTGCTACTCATCTATCTCAAGGACATCCGAAGCCCAAGCCGCTCAGATTTCTTCGTGACTCGTCCGTGACATGTCAGTGAGGCCCTTCTTCGAGACGCCCGAGCACAAGGCATCCACATGCGGAAGCTGAGTCCTTCAGCGGTTTTTGAGCTTTCTGTCAGCTAAACTGTCGGTGGAAGTGGATGTAGGCTCACTGGTGTTTGATGCTATAGAAACATTTGACACTTCAATGCATTCCAGTTCTAAAACTTCTCCATTTGTGAGCAGATGACGAACTACCTCTACTACAAACATCTACAAACCAGTTACCGGACTATTCTCTGATTCCATGCACTTTTTTCCCTCACTCTTCCACGCCGTCCTCCGGCGCCAGAACTCCACCAGGACCTTCAATGTGGCGAGCGGGTGCTCATGGCCTTGCAAGGCCGGCGTTGCTCGCCCCTCAACCCGTCGAACCCCCAAACGACCCGTCGAACCGTGGTTGTTCTCCCCCCGCGAAAAGCACCCGGTGGCGGTGGAGTTACGGCTCCTAGAGGGATCGGTCGCAAGGGGTCTAAAGGGTCTGGGAGGGTGACCATGTCTTGCTACAGATGGTGCTTTCTTTCGTACGCTGCCCACGAGCTTGTAGAAATTGATATATATATATATATCTGCGGACCTCGAAACCGGGAGCTTCATCGTTCGTTTCCCGGTCCTCCTGTAAGGGAACATCTACAGGAAGCCTACAGTTTTGTTGGGGTGAACACCAGGGTTTCCTGTAGAGTTCCCTTAAACCAATGACCCAGGAGTGAAGCCTTAGCCACCAGAATCTCCAGCCCTTGGATGTCCTTTCAGCTGGTCCCTTCCTTCCCTGCAGGTGCTGGTGGAGCCTCCACCGGAACCAAGAGCAGCGGCTGGGGATGGGGTGGCAGTGCTGCCCTCAAGGCCCGGATTCGCCCCGGTTGGCTGTGAGTTTCTTGGCTTGGTGGGCTAATCTATCTGGTGGTTTGGTCTGGCCCGGTTTGGTTGGTCTGGTCTGGTTTGGTTGGGTTACTGTAGTTATTTTGTTGCCTGCTTCGCTCATTTCTTTGCTTCACTTCCCTTGCACTCCGCCAGGCCATCTCCCACGACGAGCCGCTGCGCACCAGCGATCAGGACTTACAAGCTTTGGCGAAGCAACCGATGCAAGCGGTTGCCTGGTTTACTCCGCAGCACCGAAACGCCACCAAAACACACACGGACGACCCAAAAAAACGGACCCGGATGGACAGAGAGACAAGAAAACGTCTGGATGGACCGGGACGACCGGGTGATCAGACCGGGTGATCGGACTGGGTGATCGTTGGTTGGAATAGGCCAGGATGGCCGTTTTTTTTTAGAGGGAATGGCGCCGGTTGCTTGGGGGCTCATGCAAGGGTTATTCTCAAATAGCATATCTAAGACATTATTATGTAATTTATACATCAACACATGTCTCCAGTCTGCAAGTAGTACGAAAAACATCCTCTTGAGGGTGGACAACAGCCACATACCCGGTTCGACCTGGTGCTCGAGAGGTTCTGGACTTGGGCCACATCGTTCGGGAGGTGCCGGCCAACCTGCCCACAGGCGCGCGCGGTTGACACGGCTGACGTGCCCGAAAACAGGCAGTTGACAGACTGTTGACAATCAACTGGGGTTTGTAGAGTATTGTATAGGGTTTGCGCGTTGAAGAAGATCAACTGGAGAGCTTGTCACGCCATTTCATCTGACAGATTCTGGAGGATTGAACATTCAGAGTCGCTTCAGTCAAGCTCTTCTTAAAGGAAACCTCGGCCCCCGAGCTCAACCCCACCGCCCAACTGCCCAACCCCTTCTCCCCGTTTCACGCAGTGAGAACCACCGATCCAATCTTCTACCGGTGAGCTTTCGACGCGCACACGCCCCGCGTCGTGCTTCACGTCCGAGGCAAGCTGCCCTTCGACATTTCCGCCCACCCGGCGGTGCGCCACACGGTGGCCAGGCGCTTGCTGGACCGAATGGAAAAGGCGCGGGTCGGGCGGCAGACGGGCGGCCTTCCCGGGTTGGGCGAAGCGCTGGCGACATGCCACGAAACGGATGTTCCGAGTTCGAAGATGGAGTCATCGAATCACCCCCCAAAAAATAGGCCAATCATGGTGCCCCTCTGTCGGTTCCACGTCGACCTGCTGCGCGCTGAGGAGATGATCCGCTTCGCCGAGATGCAAAAGGCGACGCCGGCACCGCGTGCGGCTTGGGTCAGACCCCGTGGAGCGACGCGGGGGGAGTTCTTCCTTTCGTCCGGAGGTGGAGAGGTTCACAGTGGCGGCCGTTTGGTGGAAGGTAGAGATGATGACATGATGCCAATAAACATATAAAATAAAGTATATAACATATACATATTATTATCTATTGTAAACCCTGGGAGTCAAAGACTATACAAAGAATGGTCTTTAGGTGACCCAAAAAGGAATTTCCTTTACTTCAGTCGGTCAAAATATAGTCTTTGGACTTCTAGGGTAAATACATAGTCAAATTGTATATACCCGTGTCATTTTTTGATGGGATTGGTGGAAGAGTCAGGTCCATTTTCATTCTGCCCACGGCTCCAATCCCAAGTTTTGGATCAACTGCCTGGTCGTGTTCAAACTCTGTCCATTCCTGCTGCCCGCTACCTTCCTGACGTGAAGCCAATCAGCCAAAGCATAAATTCACACCAGAGAATCCGGGCACAGACTGCAACTGTGCCTTTTGATTTTAAGGAACATGCAAGCATGCCTGTCACAGAGTCCTGTACTCCGCATCCATGCAGGCCGAGACCTCTCCAGAACTCTTTTCGTTTCGTTCCAGTAGAAGGGAACCACTCGAAAAGCCCACGCCGAGTTCCTCCCTCCTCCCATCGGGACGCACGACATCGGGACTACCGACAGACACGGATTGATCCGACAGCACGGAGTGGGAACACTCTGCTGTCGCTTCGCTCTCTTCTTTTCGCTCGCGGCCGGTGCGGCGTGGCGGCGGCGTGTGGCAGCGCTTGGGAGAATCCGAGGTGAAGCAGCTCTCAGAAGTCGAGCTCAGCAAGCTGAGTGCTGGCAGCCAGGCGGCCGCCAAGGCAGCCGAGGAGGCCGTTTCTTGCGGGGTGGGGTGATGGCCTGGCTGAAGCGCTCAACAAGATTGAAGCGCTTGGAATAAAAGCTTTTAGTTTTTTGGTGTGTTTCCTTTTTTAATTGTTCACTTCTGGGATTTTGCTTGCACTTAGTGAAGGCTGCAAACGCCAGAAGTCCAGTGTCTTGAGGAAGAGGAACCCTGAAGCCTGTCTTTTTCCACCTGAGGATTGGACCAAGGATTTGGGTTCCTCTTGCCCCAAGAGCTTTCTTCAAATGGGGTGAACTTCGCGGGGCCGACCATTTGCCAAGGGGTTCCGTTAAGGAAAGGACGGATTTCAAAGATTTGGTTTAGAATACTTCCCAGAAACATGCTACCACACACCATGACCCGAATTCCACGAGCTTTGATCCCTTCATGTCTCCTCACCGCGTCGTTTCAACTCCTCGAGCGCGCGGCGTTCGCGGTTCGACCGAAGGCGCTCAGCGAGATCATCAAGTGCATCGCCGAGATGAAGGAACGGACCGACCGGTGATTCCGGATCCGCTCGTGTCTTGGGGACGTTTTTTTTTTTGGGGAGGTAGAGTAAGAAGGTGCATCGCTACTATAGTAGTTCTTGCTAGCTCCTGGCATTACTAGGAACAAGAAGCTACTAGTAACAAAGGTCGACTCCCTGGACCATCTGGCGAGGTGACAGAGGTGTCAGATCAGCGACAAATTCTGTCGAAGCCGGATGAAGCCGGGGAGGAAACCAGGCGGAGGGTGAGAAACTCACCACCTTCCATGTAACGGCAACCGCTCAAAATGTCGCAACCCTTTCAAGGGGAGGTGTTGATTTATATAAACCTCTGAACGGAACAGGGCTGCTCCCTTAGTTTCTCTGATGACCAAGTGAGCAAAGGGAGATCATCATCTCGTTTCCGAAGAACACAGAAAAAAAGGCCATGGAGATCATCATCTTGTTCCCTTCAAAGGTATTTGCTTTGGTGAATTCTTTCCTTTACGAATATACCTCCGCAGGGTGAACTTGGTCGGACTCCCTCCGTCATTCCACCTCCTCTCCGGCGCAGTTCGTGCAGGCGGCCGATGCGCAGTTCGTGGACTCGGCCTTCAAGGAGGTCTTGAAGCGCGGCAACGCCATCGATCTGCTCCTGGGATGGTGCGAGGGCGTGGGGTCCAGGTTTCTTTGGAGCTCGGCTTTTTCCCTCCTTTTTGCACCTCTTTCTTTGGAAGAGACCGGAGCTGTTGGCACTCAGGTGGGTGAAGGAGAATGTTTGCCTTCGTGGAAAGTGATGTTTGTGAAAGGAGGGAGGAGGGCTATTGAAGCAGCTGGGCACGACACAGGGTTGAGTGGATTGAATCAAAGACATTTTCATTTGTACAGCTACATGTGTACCAGGTGCACTACAATACGTCACGAGGATCAGTGTAATCCACACTGCCTGGAACGGGGTGACCCATTGCGACAGCGCGGGTGCCGCGGTACCTGTGTTCGGCTCCGAGGTCCGAGGAGAACATTGGCAAAGCCACCAATGGTGGCGCCCGCGCCGCACATGACGCCAGCTTATCCCGCCTGAAGCACTGGCTCTTGCGGGTCTCAGGTTTCTTGGAGAAGTTTTGGGGGCCTAAGGGGGTGAGTCTGAACGGCTACTACGCTGAGTCTCTATTGAACCTGCCTGGGACCGGCTGGACACGTACCGCACCGAGCGAAGGAGCGTGTCAGGTGATGTCCAGTGACATCGGAGTGTGTCGCAGTGAAGAACTTTGAATCAGATCACGATTGCTGATTGCTTTATTATAATAGAGTAATCGTTTGTTCAGCTGAGGAACTGAAAGGTTTCGGCTGCTTTGTTGTTGAAGATGATTCGAGTGACCTCGATCATGTTTGATGCGTAAAACTGGGTCTCCAGATGAGTGCTTTTGGCAGGCTGAGGCGGCATGTGTTTTCACCTCTTGTTTCCAGTTCAGGCAGTGCACACGAACTCCCGGACCCGGACCGTGCCCGTGCGTCCAAGGCCACGAGTCGGAAGCCTGGCTGCAGCGCGCCTGTCGATCCTTGCTCTCCTCCTCAGCCTTGGAGGATTGGCAGCGCATCAACCCCTTCCTCTCCGAGAGCGAGGCGCGCGCTTGGTTAGGCGTCGCGACGTCGTCGCGACGGGGTGACCGCCGTGACGCGGCGGTGAGCGCGGTGGGTGACCGGTGGGCCGCTGGTTGCGGAGTGACTCCGAAGGATTTGTGCACTTGTGGGGGAGGGGAAGCTACATGGCGTGGTTGGATCGCTAGTAGGACCAGCTGGACTTGGCTGGAAGGTTGTAATTACTATACAAGGATCCTTCAACTGTAAATGACCCGCCTGCTGGGCAGCAGTCTTTAATATCTGACCACATCGTGTTGATTGTTGTGCTTCTTTGAACCTGGTTTTTGGGAACCTTCTCCACTCAATGCAACTCATCACCACCCCAGCGTGAAGAGCTTGTTCCATCCGTTCCTGTTTCATAGATGCTCTCTCTTTTCTCATGATACATGCAGTAGGTGAACCTATACATCTATAGACTTTAGTTGCAGCACTGCACCACCATCTAGACTCCACTCCTCTGAGGTATACATACGTCATACATACCTTCACTTCCCGCCCCTACTAGGCTCGTCTTCCACCCAGGCACGTTTACCCAGACCCAGGTGCGGGACATTCTACAGCTCACAAGCCATGCGATGCTCCGTGCCGTGCGGGTGGTGCTGGCCAATGGATCGCTGGCAGAAGCGAGGGACTTGCAGAAAATGCTCCTGAAGGTGCCGGGGGGTGTTTACTAAAACAGCATAAAACAGCAATTTATTTCTCACTTTTTCTCCATAATCTTACATGATTCTTGTTCTTATCATCATTGTTCTGTTTCTTGATATCAAATATTTTTTTTGGAGGGAGTCAGGTGCTGAATCGAAGAAAACACTCGAACATTGGCACATGGCCGAGAGCTCAATGAAACATCGCCGAGATCGTGGCCGAGTTTGAAGCTGGCCAGAGAGTCCGAAAACCATCCGAAACATGTCTTGTTTGGAAGGAACAGGTGTGATCACCCTCCAAATCCATCCTTCTTGGCGAATCCCCCCCGATCCCGCTGGTGACCGATCGCCGCTTCGCCGCACCCGTCAGGCCATCCGGGTGGTCCACGAGGAAGGACAACTGTCCAACGATCTCCTCGTGGGTTTGGCCGAGAAGGGCGAGGTCCTGGCCCGGCGCCTCGACGCCAAGCGGCACTACGTGGAAAGCAACCTGGCCCCTCGGTGCCGAAGGCGAACGAACGAACGCAGTGCGGAGAGCGGTCGGTGGACATTCACCAAGTCCTTATCTGGGTTGTTTGACCCCACGGTAGGGTCCAACAAGGACCAAATGCTTTCCTTCCCCGTTGCCTCCTGCGGGTTCCCCCTATCCTTCCCTTCCCCTGAAATCGCAACTCCTTTCGTTTGTCCGTCAGTTTCTTCACTCGTTCGGTCCTCTGTCCTTCCTTCCTTCCTTCCTTCCGTGGTCGTTTGCTTAGCATTTTGACTTTGGAGAAATGCTTGCAAGTCTACTCGAGTTGACCTCGTCCCGGTTTTTGGAACTTTCTGATCTGTTGACCTGCGAGTGAATTGCTGGGCCTCAGCGTGTTAAAGCCATATTATCATGCCTGCCCACTGCCAGTAGTAACGATCTGTATATATAAAGGTTTCATTTTCTTAATTTTTGCAAATTCACAAGGTTGAGCGCTTCAAATCATTCTGACCAACACCTTAACAAACACTTAGACACTTAGCTACCTTGGATATTTGCAATGGTCCAACGCCGTGATCCGCTGAGGCTTATGATCCTCATTTCTTAGTCTTCGAGCTGCTTCGGCCGCAGCAGAGTCGTCAGTGGAGACCTCCCGGTCGACCTTCCAGTGGCCTCCTCCTAGGTAAATCGCAACAAGAACTTCACTGGCTTACTGCTAGGAGAGGACACTGAAAGGGTACACTTCTCCAATCAACGATAAAGGCATACAAAGGCTAGATTTCTTCATCCAGCCAAGATGGCTTAGCTCTTCTTTTCTTTCTCTCTTTGCTCTGCCGCATCGATTTCGACAGATCCGTGAAATCGGTTCCTTTCATCTCTTGTCGAGGGTGGCAGGGTGGAAGGAGGGCAGGCACGGTGGCTGATACGTTTCTCCAACTCCGGAGTTGACCAAGATGTGATGGCCAAGATGGTGTGCATTTTAATAGGGAGACCTTCTAACCAATGGGTAGGACTGGTCTATTTCCGTTCTTCCATGCTGTGTTCCCACAAAAAACTCGTGGTGAGGACGTGTCAAAGATGTTTGCACAGATCTCCATTGATGGCGAAAGTTCCCTTGGAGATGGTCGCAGGTCTCGTAGCACCGCTCAGAGTTTTTTTTTTGCTCAGGTTCTCCGACAACAAGATGCTGCACGAGCGGCAGGTGGCCATCATCTCTGACTTCCAAAAGACAGTGGAAGGAGACTCAATGACAAAATGGGGTGTTGAAGGGTGATCCATCAATTCGAAGTTGTTTCGGTGTTCCAGGTGTTTTTGTTTCTTGATGCTTCTTGTCTTTCTGTTTCTGGTCGTCCACTTTAGCAGGGTCGGCCTGGGGTAGTGTTTCTTCGGTTTCTGTGGACATGGACTTGCAGGCCTTTGGGGAAATCATTGAACCTGAGCCTTTGGAGGGTCTCTCTGTATCATGCGCGCCTAGGGATCCCAGACAACAAGAACACCCCGGTGAGATTGATGTGGCCCTGATTCTTGTCATTGGAAGGAAGAGTGGAGCTCAATTCTCGCCTAAGCTTGGGATCTTTGGAACAGTTTCATTAGAACGATTGGGCATGCATGTTTTTGAGATGAAGGAGCTAGCAGCTCCATGACATCATGATAATCACGGAAAGGACCAACAGGACCAAAGAGTTTGAGTCAGAAAAACCATTTGCCGACATGTCGGCACACTCCTCCAAAAAGATCCTGGCAACTCGTGGGTCACTGGGTCACCAGCCTTATTTAACCAGCTACGATTTCTGCCGTGGATATTTTTTACTTTTTTCCGCTTCCGCCCCACTCTGCCGCAGGAGGTGAAAGCGGAGTGAAGCAGATGATCATGGGAGCAGGAAAGACCACCGTCGTGAGCCCCTTGCTCTCCATGCCACTCAGCAGTGAACAAAAACACCACGAAAAACACCACCAACCGCTACCACCACCGGAGGGGTGCGTCTGGTGCGGGAGTCTTCAGGTGGAAGAAAGACCACGACCCCCCCGGATGTAAGTCTTGAGTCTCAAGTCTTGTGCCTATTCAGCAAGAGAAAAAAAGATGAACGAAGAGCGATGGGGGTCCCATGGGTCATCGAAGTCCATTCGAGCCACATCGGGTCGTAGGGCCTTCGGCATTCGACCTGCAATCGCGTTTGACCTACTTTTTGCTCTGGTTGACAATGCCGAGAGAATTGGTCGCCCCTACTTGTTTTGTAGACTTGAGCCTCTGGAGTAGGATTGAGTGTTGCAAGCTTGGAAGCTGGCAATTTTCGGGTGGATTTGCAGATCGTGTATCACATAAACATATACTCAATCAAGATCTTCAACGACCCCTGACATGATGGATATGGACATGACATATGCTACACACTTCCCGATCGAGTCCCCTCTATGTCCTCATTCTGAAGGTGGCTATCCCCGATTCAAAACTCCCATAGTTTTCAGTTTTCAGAATACATCCCGAAGCCAAACGTGAACTGATCCAACTTCAGGAAGGGGCAGATTCGGCTCGGTCCTTGGGCGAATACTCATCGAACCTCAAAGCGCTTCCGACCAAAAAACACCCAGTGGCACGGCAATTTGTGGAGGCTGTTGGCGGATGGAAAGCGCCTGGTGAGTTTGGTGGTGCCTTCGGCACTTCTGGAATTTTGCCGTGGTGTGCTGATGGCCGTCTTCTCGTCCATCATCCAGATGCCTGGCCGGACAAATCTGCGCTTTCGGCATCCGTCACTTTTGTGGTCCTGCTCCATTGGAGGCTTCCGTTCCAATTGCAGATGATCTTGAAGATCAACCTCCAACCCCAAAAATGCACTGGTTCACGCCGATACCCTTCCAGGTTCACGCCGATTCCGTGGAGTCGGGTCGAATAATTCGTCATCGCCGGGACCGTGCCGGGACCGTGGCCGACGCGGTGCGTGGTCAGGAAGCGCATTTGCCTCTTCCACTGCGACCGCTCGGAAGATGTGGACATCGCCATCTGCGACCGCATCGAGTCGGTCCGAAACGAAGGCCACTCCATGGGATGAGGATTCGAGGATTATGAAGAGAAGATGAGAGAAAGAACATTTTGGGTCAGAGGAGTTTCTTGAGAAGCTTGAGAGTTGGTCTATGTTGGTTTTGGTCAGAAGCTTTGTTTCTCTCCCATCTTTGCTGGGTGTCACCTTTTGACCCTGGGGCCGGATGCCGCCCCCCTTAGGGGGGGATGTCCTGACTGGTTCGTCACCAGGCCACGTGCTGTTGACGAAGCCCACCGACGTGAAGAGCTTGATCTTGCGCTTCGTGGAGAACCTGGACATCTGCAACGACCGCCGGTGGGGGACCTCGGACCCGACGGATCGTCGGCGTCCCGCGGACGTCGGACCGGGCGAGGGTGGTTCGGACGACGGTCGACGGTGGTGGCAGGTCCAAGCGCAACACCGCGGCCTTGCAGAAGGAGACGACGGAACTGGGTCGTGTGCTGGAGATCTTCTCGAAGGGTGCCACTGGGACAGCGGATTGGAAGAGACACAACTGAGAGGAGCAAGAGGCCTTCTTTGAGGTGAAGATGGTAGTGGGTTCAATCTTCGGTAGTTGTTTTGGGTCGTAGTTGAAGGGATGGATGAGATGGTTTTGCCCGGGGAATGGAGCTGAATTATCAGGGCATCAAAAGGCTCAAACAAGAGTTGAACCACCAGCTAGATGGATTATGATGGATCTTCAGCACCATTCATCCAAACTCACAGGTAAAAAAGTGACAAATCGATACAAATCGACTAACCCCCAAACCTGGGGTCTTTGAGTATTTTGAGCCTGTAGAGTTATGTAATAATGTAATAGATCTATATGAGGATCTATTGGGAAAACAAATCTAAGACGTTTTGCTTGCTTTGGTGGATCCTCATGGAGCCGAGAGTCACTGAGGTCTGCATGATCGATGAGGTGGACCTGGTGCTTCACCCCTTGAGGCGAGGCGAAAACGAACACGCGCGGTTCGTCATTTCCAGGAAGGAGGAAGGAGGTGAGGCCCTTTTTTTTGTTCGGTGGGTGGAGCAATCTGATGGAATTGGTGGCTCTGGAGGTGGAGATGGCTGGAATCAGAGTATATATAGAACTTTTGATGACCTGCCAGCCAGTTGCCACTTGACTTGCACCGCAACTGAAGGCTCTGAGCCCTTCTGAAGTTGTTTTTAACTGGGCGCCATGGCACGCTCTGTGCCGCACAGTGGCGCCGTGCTTGCAGCTCTCAGCTGCTGTGTGCTTGGTCTGGCCTTCCTTTCACCGCCAACGATCCAACGGCCAACGGCATCCGGTGCGGCTGCCGCGGCCGGTGCTGGCTGGTTTCTAGAGGCCCAAGGTGCTCATGCGGAGGAGTACCTCATTGACTCCCTATTGGCTTCACCTCGAAGTGGTGCAGATATCTTTTCAAACTCAGAGGCATCGTGACTGCTTGGGTGATGTTGGGTGATGTTGGGTTGGTTGCAGCCAACTCTCTCCGCCAAACGAGAACTCCCATGAACCAGATCGTGTCATGAAACAGATCGTCTCCCGGCTCCCCTGGCTCACCCCTGCAAAACTCGCACGTCGCTCGCACGTCGTCCGCACGACCAGCGAGTTCGCCACGGACCGCCCCGGCCCCGGCCGTGTCTGCCGACCTGGCCAGACCGTGCAGAGCATGCGTGAGAACCCGCCCTTCTTCGCTCAATGGCCTCCATTAGTGCAGATCGCGGTGCCCGCGGTCCTGCTGCTGGCGGTGGCGGCGGCGGCACCACTGGTCGCGTGAGCGAGAGAAGTGGGTGTTGGTTGAGTTTCGATGAGATTCCTTTTCGGGATTAGCTAGTTGTTATAAGCATTGTATGGACATTGTGATGTGTATTTTGGTATATTTGGTTGTGACTGTCGTACGGGACTGAGAATCCCAGATCGAACAGCATAGCGGCGAGCGTGGCTAGCTCCTCCAGTGGATCCTATGTGTGCCACGTCTGTGGTGTCCTAAGGCTCCTCAGGTGATGCACTTCACAAGCATGTAACATACTGCACTTCAAGTAGCGAAGGAGAGGTGCATCCGGACTCTACTCCTGAAAATTCTGGAACATGAAGTGAACACATTTACGCACCACTTCAGGAGCGCGGTGTGTTCCCCAAACAATCAGAACGCGGACGACGCGGACCATACTTCTCCTCCTTCTCACCTGCAGGGTGGAATCCTCGAGGCCCAAAGAACCCTTCCGGATGGACTGAATAGCTCCGAACTCGGACGGCACTGAACAACATGGACCGTCCAACTCTCCTCCCAAGAACTACAGTAGTAGCAAGAAGCTTCTAGGTGGAGGACATTGCTATTAGGTTGGAGGCCATTACTACTAGTAACAAGAAGCTACTAGGAACAAAGGGCATTGCTACTAGGAGCAAGGACGCTACTAGGGGCGCTCCTGGCCATTACTACTAGTAACAAGGTTCGCTACAAGGAACAAGGTTTCCTCGCCCCCTTTCCGAGTAGCGGCCGCATGTCCGAGTTGGGCGGCGAGTGGATCGACAAGGCGACGATCCGCCGAGCCAAGCGGCGCAAGCGCGAGAAGAAGGACTTGGCTCGGCGTTTTCCCTCAGGGATCGGTTTTGAACAGCGGTTTTGGCGCAGAACAGATGAAGCCGTCGTGCTTTCCAGGCAAACTGAAATATGATGAACTTATGTCAGTAAGTTTTATAGACGTGCTCAGTTCAAAGTTGATGTCTGAGATCTGGAGGAGCTGGTCGCAATGCTCCAGCAACAGATGGCTGCGGCGAATGCGGCCGAAGCAGCTGAGAGAGCCGAGAAAGAGGGGGAGAAGGAGGCGGAGAAGAGCGAGAAGAGCTGAGACCAGAGATGTTTTGTTGGAGCTTTCGGCTTCTGGGAGATCTTCGTTCTTGGGAAGGGTCAGAAATTGCTCCAAGATCCGCAGATCCGCAGGGTGTTCTTCATGTGACTCCCGATACATGTGATACATTTGATGCAATCTCGTCAGATGTGGAAGCCTCTGACCTCGTCCCCTCGTTGCATCGCATCGGGGGTCTCCTGGGCTGCTGAGCTCCAGTTTTGATGTCGATTTGTACAGAACTTCAGATTGGCCAAAGGCCAGCCATGCGACGCGCAAGCCCAAGTCCCAAAACTGCTTGGAACGAGGCACTGCGAACGCAGCAAGCTGTTGGACCTGAACGGTGCACGCGTAGCCATCCCGTGATGATTTGGATGTTGCGATGGTATCGCAAGACTTTCTAGCGTTGGGAGAAGGAACATCTCTTTGGTATAGACACATGGAGACCATGGAGCAATGCCATGTGATGATGTTTCCACGACCTGTTCTGAGGGCAGTTTTCAACTCTCTTTGCTGGAAGACTTCATCTCGTGATGCGGAGTGACCCTGCTACCGGCCTTTTTCACAAAATCAGTTGACTCATTCGGTCAGCACCGGCCTGAACATTTCACCCCACTTGCACCCACTTGCACCCATTTCACCCCACTTGCAGCATTAAAAGAACATATAAAACACCCGCAGAGAACCGGAGAAGCCGCCGAAGCGCCAGGAGCGAATTGAACTTCCCCATCGGCCCGAAGAATCTCATCGACTTTGCACCACACCGCTGGCAGATTCCGCTGCACCTCTTGGAAGGCGAGAGCACGAAGAGTCCTGACACGAAGAAGAAAGACATCCAAACTCTCAGAGATTTGTGTCAAACAACCTTGGAGAGAGTTCGAGCTTTGACACTACCCCCAGCTACTGCTGGGCCTGGCCATTAGAATTTGGGGGTGGTTGGGGGTGGTTTTGACGGGTAGGATGATACCCACCCACCTACCTACCTACCTACCCACCCACCCACCCACCCACATGCCGGTTTCCCACGGTCTCAAGCACTCGTTTCCGGGAAGACCGGCGAGGCATCTTCATCAGCGAGTTGCAGTCCGGGAAGACCGGCGAGCTGACGCCGCCCGAACGCTTCGCCGACAGCGCCCTCGCCAAGGACGTCCGGACGCCTCGTTCGGGTCGCCGGTCAGCGTTCCTCGCCGGTGGTCGCCCGGTCGTTCGCCCGGTCGAAGACGGTTTTGGTCAACACACTTGGTCTTTTGAAGTTCTGCCAGATGCTTATGGGCCGATCATCCTCGGGACCTTTTCACGGCTCGAAAACAAAGCTTATCAATGAAAGACGTTCCCTTCCCTGAGACGGGTATGTGCTGAAGCTGTGGTAGAAGAACCGCTGACCAGATGTTTGTATATACCTTTTTTTTAATTCTTCTTTTTTTTATATGCATAAAATACATGTCCATTGTTTACAATCCATGGCTTTTAATCACTTGTTTGATATCATCCATGGATTTTGAAGTCTTCCCCAAGAAAACCACACCTTGGACCCTGTCCCGCCCCCCTTCATATAGATCATGAACAAGCTATTTTTGGACATCCATGGATATATCAAAACCTAGTGAGTACCTAGTACCATACCCAATATCTTCTTCTTACACTTTCTGCAATTCTCCCTCTATATTATACATTATATATAACTTGATTGGACATCTTCTTGGCTTCACCAAGACCATGGTTGCAGGACATCTTGAAGAAGATCGCCAAGACCATCTCTGATGGCACCCGACCCTCGGCTTCCTTGGCGTTCGGACATTTAACAGGGTAACCTTTAAGCTTTTTGCCACTAAGACCATCTAAAATCTAAGAGGTGGAAAGAGGTGAATCGTATTACTTAGAGAAACTGAGGGAGTCAAACAGGAGCAATTGCGGCAAATGCGAGGCTTTTTCGATTTCTCTCGGACGGAGCCGAAGCTGGCGCGGTAACCGGTGTTTGGTGCATCCCATCGAGTCAAAGAGCAGCTCACACGCCCAGCAATGGACGTAGAATGAAAAGAACGTTGGCCGCCTCGCTTCGTCGTTCAAGAACGAAGCAAAATGCGGCGGATGTTGACTTGTTCGAAGCCCAGGAGAGTTGAAGATGCAACGGTCCCCCCCACTTGGTGCTGCTGAACCTGGAGTTCTACGACGAGAGGCTCGGCAACCGCGTGCCGAGAGAGCTCTCCTTGCTCCGGCCGGTCCAGCCGAAGCCGAAAGGGTTTGGAGTCGAAGGCTCTGCAAGATGAGAGAAGTTGCTTTTTTTGGGGCCCGGGAAGAGTAGGGGACACTTTTGGGCCCAGCCAGAGCCCAGGAGTCCCACAGACGAATCCGCTTCTGTCCCCTTTGGCCACGCAGCTTCTGTCCCCAAGGCGCGTCTGGTAGTGACCACACCGATCCAGACCTGGTCGCGGACAACCGGGCGCGATGTGCGGTGGACCCAATGCTTTAGACCCAAGACCACCACCACCGCACGCTGGCCCGAAGCCGAAGAACCTGGTGGGCCTCTGTATAAACTGCGTTGGTCTGAAAACCACGACCAGGTTGGCCTCTGTATAAACTGCATTGAACACCACGACCAGGTTGAAGGATGTCATGGTCTCCTGGATGACTTTGTGGTTGGCCTCTGAGCACGTGGGCCGCTCCTTTGCTCACGAGCGTGAGGGCATCATCGATGGAGGGCTCAGCGATGCGGAGGTGCCGGTCCTTCCGAGTCCGTTCCTGCTTTCTTGGAAAAGAACCCAGTCGAACCTGTAAACAAGTCGAAGATCGGAGCATGAAACAAAGACCACCAAAAGTAGCAAATGTGGGGCTCTTTCTTCTTTTAGGACCTTTTGTTGGGTTCTTTCTGCTGCAGCAGAACGGATGATTCGACATGACATCGCTCCCTTCATTTCCTGTGACAATTCAAACCAAAAAACAATCTTCCACTTAGCTTTTGCATGGGATTCGCTGTTTCCCCGCGAACCAAAGAACTGCCGCACCCTTCCTTCGACCTCGCGGCCTTCCCCGGACCTCACGGGACCTCCGCCAGGTGCGCGAGTACATCACCAAGGTGGCGGCGCCGGACTCGCCGCTGGCCAAGCGGGTGGCGATGCTGCCCAAGCGCGGCTCGGACCGGAGCGAAGAGGTTTCACAGGGGGGGGGCGAGCTGCCCCTGCATGTGGCTGTTTTGTGGTGATTTGGGCTGCATGTGCTTTCTACATCTTTCTACCTGAGTTTTGGGACGTGTCACCCTGCTGGGTGGTCAAGAATACCTTGATCGAAGGGGCTTTGAGATATTTCGTGTTAAAGGTTTCTGCTGCAGACACACCCGCATGAGAGTGTAGAACTGCAGATATGCGGGGAAGCCCAAAAGTGGTGGACCTCATGTGCGACTCCCGGCATCGCGTCTAGTGGGGATGGTACTCGCCCTCCAGGTCCTTGGACCACAACTTCCTCATGGCACCGAAACGAATTGGCGCTCAGGTGACATCCAAATGTTGAACCTGTCCGCCGATTGGCTCTCCATCTTTTTACCCCATGTGCTCCAAAAGATCAATCGAGCCTTGGCCGCGTTGGACGTTGGGATCCGACAGCCTCGCCCGTGCGCAGCCGTCGCCCGGGTTTCACCCTGATCAGCTTGTAGAGGTGACATCAGATCTGGGGTGAAACACCCCCAACATGATTGGTTTGTCACTCTTGTGAAGTGGTTCCTGTTGCAATGGCTAACTCGATTTGTTGAGTTCGACAGATCGGCCTTTCCTGGTCTCAGAGATTCTACGTCTTCCGTGCCGGTTCACGTGGAGGACATGCCGACTCCAGTTCGACTCGCTCAGCGGAAAGAACCCCGCCGAGCGCAGCGCCAGGCGTGACCTACGGAGTCATGACCGACGTGCAGGTGGAGCAGGCGCTGATTCGCCAGCCGGGCATGCCCATGCCGCTCGGAGTTGACTCCGGCATCAGGTGAGTGGAGATTCGGGGCGGGCGAACTCGCGGGGGGTTTGGAGAGTGCTCTTTCTGGTTTTGGTGTGCCGCACTTGTGCAGGTGTCTTGGAGGGTGGATCTTTTGGTTCGTTGCGGTCTACTTCGTCGTCCGATTCTGTTGGACTTACATGGAGGAGCCATGGAGGTATCAGTATCAACGGTGCTTCATGTTTAACACTGGCTGTTAATAAATGTGCAGGTCCGGTGGACGACTTTTTGCCGTAAGAGAAGGACGCTCCACTCAGTAACTCAAACTCATTTTCATTCTGTTGGGAGGGCCCAAAAGGACTTGCTTGGCATGTTGGTTCTCTGGACGTCTTTATACCTTCGTACGGTGATTCAACAGACAGGTTTAGTTTGATCTCCTCAAAACGTTGAACCTGTTTCTAAAGTAAAGCATTCTTCCAAGGACCCACTTTCGACTTCTATGTTGGAGGGAGGGTATACACTTTTTTGATGCATGAGACGCTCGAGAAGCTCCAAGTTTTGCTTGAGGGACCAGATGATTTAGATGTTGGCAGTTGTCTCCCAGTCACCCCCTACTGTCTCCCTGGATGTAGAATGAGTTCCCCAGAACTCCTTGCACAGGTTGCGGCGGTCAATGCATTCATTCACACATCAACGATCAACAACATGTCGATGCTGAACGTATCCGCCAAGGAAGCCAAGGCCTCCCGCTCCACGCTCCGTCCTCCTTTTCCGCTCCGTCCCCAGGACCCGTGCGAAGCTGTCGATCCCCTTCATCGGCAAGGACGTGCCGTCGCCGTCCTCGGAGTTCGCGCACCCCGCGCCCTGGACTCCAACCAGTCGAGTCGTCGGTCGTCGAGTCCGCGGGGCGATCCGCGGCCCTCCGAGAGACGGCGGCGGAGCGTTGTGGGATGGTCGGTCTTGGGGAGGGTTAGGAGATGGGAGTTAGGGAGGTGACCGACCGAGACAGCGAGGTGATCGTTGTGGTTCTTCATGGTGAAACCGATGTTCTTCTTGGTAGCCTTTTGTCGTTGCCTCTCTTCCTTGTTTGAAATGACATTGCAAGTTGTTTGCACATTCTCTTCAGGGTGTCGTGTATCCCAAGAACCTGGAGACACATGACGTTCGTGCCTTCTCGAGGTATCAGAGAAAGCCTTTTAAGATGAGAACCTCAAATTCTCAAACATTCTCAAACAACCACCCATTTATTTGGCCAAGATCTCCCACTTCTCTCTGAACTCACTCTATGTTTTGTGATCACCGAGTCACCCCTCTCTCGTGCAAAAGCTCACCCTCTCCCAAAAAGCTCTTTACAACACGGACAGGTCCCAGAACAACTCCCAAGTCGTTCGGAACTTCTGCACCCCAGGGCAGCGCCAAGGAGGGACGCTGTGGTGCAGATCTCATTCGCAGACGACGCTCCTTTTGCTGAGGATATCACCATCGGCCTCACGTTGCTCAGCTTGCGCTACGAGGGTCTGCGCATGTCCGACTACGAGGCGGCGCCATGTCAAACAGACGAGGAGGCGTCGTTTCTTTGGCCGGGCTGGTTGGAAGGTCGGGTTGGTTTCGGGAGGAAGTTCTTTCCATGGTAAGGAAGGGAGGGGACTTGTGATCCCCCATTTTCAAGCTAGAAACTCCCCTTCCTGAATCCAGTGCACCCAGAATGTCATTGAACACTTAACAACCTTTGCTTTCGATCTCTTTCGCTTCAAGGACCTCTTCCACTTCTTTGAGGAGACCACGTACCTCGTACAGGAATCAAACTTCTTCTCAACGAATTCACCCCTTTTCGCACTCCAACGTTTGCGCTCGTCTGCGCTCATCCCAGCTCCCGCCAGGCGGTGCTCGACCTCTTGGTGGCCAACTTGGAGTCCGAGCCTGGCGTGGCGGCCGAGCGGCCCACGGCCATGCTCTTCAAGCGCTGGGTGGAAGGCGGTTGACCGCGAGCGCGGAGCGACGTGCGACGGGCCGAAGGAGGAGTGCGGCGGAGTTCGTTGAAGCGAGGAGTGCCTTCCCCACGTGTGGTTTGGGTAGCTTGCGTTGGTTGGTTTGTAGAGAGAAGTGATAGTATAGCGTGAGACTATAAATCAATCTTGTCTCAAACTCTTTTCGGACATCAGCTGATGACTCTCATCTATGCTGCTGGTTGCCTGGAAAGAAGTGCTCCTTTTTTTGTTAGGTGCCTTCATTCAAGGTCAAAGAATCATAAATAATCAATAGAGAGCTCTTGGAGTAGGATGTATGAATCCAGGAACTTCTGCTGGGGACATGAGAGTTTGTGACCCATGGTCGATGCCATGGTCGAACCCATCTCAATGCTTTCCAAGCAGCAAGGGAAGGACGTTTTCGTGGCGGCAAAATCCACCGACCCCCCATGTCTTCATCAGTCTTTCATGAAAATAGTGCGCATCTACACTTTTTGCATCTACTACGTGCTCGATGCCAGCACTTGACGTCCAAATGCAGCAGAGCTCTGGACTGTTGTCATCATCCCCTTCAGCATTTTATACAGTGGTTTCTGAGTAGATGACACGACCCCCAAGATGTCCTTTGGATAGGGGTCCATATAAACCACCGAACTTGGGGATTGTGCCATCTACTCTGAACCCACTGTATTTATTTTAGTATATATGTCAGTTGTTTAGCGTCGCCATGCATTGCCCTTTGCTCCAAGGCTGGCTTGTGAGATATCAAACTTGCCCGATCCACCAAAGAGCACCTCTTTGCACAGAGGTCGCACGTGTGGATGCGATTTAATCATGGGTGTTTGGAGGTTTTTCTGATCTTCCACAAGCCTCTTCCTTGACACCTCCCGGCCCCTCCCCTCACTCCGTATATTTTCTTGGAACCCTTACCCCTCACCAGCCATGGCAGAGCCTTCCGCACCGTCCACACCACGCTCCCGCTCCGCCACCCGTGTGCGCGACGTGGCATTGCGGATCTGCCTGCCCAGTGGGCGGTCGATGAGTTGGGCGGGGCCCAGCAGTGCCAAGGTCTCTTGGACGTGGCATTGCATCGTTTCTATCGCGGTTTCCATCGTAGGTCGCGCGTATTCAATCGCGCAAATATTCAATCGCGCGTGCCTCCTTTTTCCAGAAGGTGGTGAGTTGGGGTGGCTTTTTCTTTTTCCATCCAATAATTAGGAGGAAGCTCCTCTGGAGACGGGCGACCCCCAATTGGTTGGAAGCAGCTAGGTCTTTTTGTGACACCGAAACTGTGCCGAAAGTTCCCTAAGCTAACTTCTGTCAGCTGTTCTTACTTAACGGTGCCTGTGAAGAAAGCCTCTGCGGTCCAAATGCTTGCACAAGAGTGTGAAGAGGAGATTTGAAGCATCATGCCCAGTGGACAGCTGCTCCTGTGAGCTCTGGAACAGTGTGTGGAAATACAGTGTGCGCTCTGGAACAGTGCTCGATGACGCTGCTTGTTACCCCAAGCAGACAGAGTACACAGGCCTCTGGTTGCAGCCTCAGGGTGCAGCCGAGATTGATGCCGTGAGTAGAACCTTGCGCTGGCAGAGTGTATTTCCAGAACATGTCTAGGTTTGCGCGCCAGCGGTGGGCCACAAATTGGGCCGTGCCGCAACCGAGCGAGGTTCGTTTCTAGCTTGGCAGCCGGTCAGCGGGGAAGACCACTTTTTGGGGTTCAGGAAGTATGCAGTACGCCCATGTCGCCAGATTTTTTACAGATCAATGAA